GCGAGGCGGGTCATCCTCCATACCATGCTCCCACTGGAAGGAAGGATGGGGGATGGAGGATGAAGGAAAGAAAGAAGAAGAAAAGAAACACGCCTGCTGCTGTAGATGTATGACCCCCAAAACCGGATGAAGCAGGTAACGAAGGAGAATACAGGTTGATAAAACGGTCAAGCTGTTTTGCTTTCTGGCCTCATCGCACACTCTCACGCTCACCTGCAGCAGCGGCGCGACTGTGTTGCGAAGATCAAACAGCATTACGAGGCGACTGGACGCCACTGCAAACCACCGACTGTCAACCACACCAGTCGGCACAGACCCAGGTGCTGACGCTGATCTAGACGCAGAGAAAAGCGGGTATGAGCAGAAAGACGGTGGAGGGTAGGAGGAAGCAGCAGTGGCGAGGGCACAGAAGGACTGGCGGAGGACGGGGGCATGGGAGGGGAGCGTGGTGAGCGACGACGGCAGCGAGTGCTGCGGAATCTGCCCTGCCCACACCACACCCATCCCCACGGCACTCCTCTCGCCGCCTCGCATTCCTCCCGCTCCCACCCCTCCTCCTCCTCCTGCTCCTGCGCTTCCTCTCGCCCCACGCCCCCCCCTACTCATGTCCATTCGAAGGTCAACCATTCCGATCTGGTCTGCACAGGCGGTGAGAAGTATATGAGGCTCTCCTTCCCCCATATACTCGCACTGCCACCATCCCTCCCAGCCTAGCCGCCCCTCCGCTTCCCTCCACCTCACCTCCTCCTCCCACCGCTTCTTCCGAGCCTCTTCCGTTTCCTCTGCCGAGCCTAGCCCCGAGCCTGTGGTTAGGCCGGATGGGAATGCTGAGCCTGCTGCCGAGCCGGGCCTGCCCCAGCCTCGGACCGGACCTCCCAAGGCAACTCCGCCAATGGACGTGGTCCAATCTGCCGAACCTCTTCCCCCTCCCGCTCCTCCTCCTCCTGCTTCTACACTACTCTTCCCTGCTTTTAACGAGGATTTACTGTAGCTATACTCCTTGCTGCCAGGTGCTGCCCCTAAGGGGATGGGTCGAGCAAGGAGGGAGGACGAGGAGAAGGGGGAGGAGTAGGAGGAAGGATAGGAGGAGGAGGAGAGGGAGGGAGGGGGGTGATGCAGGTCGATCAGTTGCAATCTTCCAGTGGTGGTGATGAGGGCGAGTTGAGTGGGCACAGGGGAGGAGGCAGCAGGGCGGAAGGTCACCTGTAAGAGACAGCATGGGGGGGGGGGGGGGGGGGGGAGGGGGAGAAGCAGGATGAGGAGGAGAAGGGGAAAGGAAAAGGACTGGTGCAGGTCGATCAGTTGCAATCTTCCAGTGGTGGTGATGAGGGCGAGTTGAGTGGGCACGGGAGAGGAGGAGGCTGGACGGAAGGTAACCTGTAGAGCACAGGGGGGAAAACAGACGAGAAGGGAAGAGGGAGGAGAATATTAGAAAGGGACTGGAGGGTAAGAAGCAAGGATACGGACGGAGGGGGGCGATGCAGGTCGATTGGGTGCAATTGGCCTGTGGCACTGGAGAGGGGAGGGACGGAAGGCTACTTGTCGGGGGAAGAGTTGGCGAGAGGAATGGAAAGGAGCATCGGAAGTGTGTGTGGTAAGCAGAGGAGCGGAAGAGATGGACGGGTGGGGGGGAGGGAGGGATATGTGCCGAGACATCGGAACGAACGAACAGAAGAGCACAACCAAGCACACCTCCATTGTCGCCGGCGCATCTGACAGCCTCACATACTCCAATGCGCCGGCGAGAATGGACACACACACCGGCGCTGTCAGATGCGACAGGGCCACATAATCCAAACGTTTCTTTTGCCATTTTCCGACCAACACACACACCAACACACGTGCCCACGCACCCTGCCCGACCTCCCCCCCTCTCCCCCCCCACCACACACATGTGCAAGAGGCGTTGGCGATGCGAGCGAGAGCAGGCGCTTCGCCTTCAACCCTTCGAAATCACCAAAATCTGCGCCACAGCCGCCGTCCCTGCCGCTGCTGGAGCCATCACTGTCGTACGACAGAGCGAGCACGTGAGCATGGTGCATGGATCGAGCTGCCACGTGGCAGCTCATGACTGGCCGCTGCTGTTGCTGCTGCTCCTCCTCCTGGCCCTGCTCTTGGCCCGTCCCCTGCCGCCCCTGTCCCTCCCACCCCTCTTGGTCATCCTCAGAGGAATCTTCCGAGCTGTTTCTCGGAGAAGACGGCGGGGCGGGGTGTGTGCCCCAGTTACCACTGTTAAAGGCCGTGAGCTGGGGGTTGGGGGGGTGAATAAGCAGAGGGCAAGGGAGAGAAGGGGTGGGTGGGGATTGAGAGTCATCAGTGTCATTTTAGGGAGAAGAGGGCAGGGCGGAATGTGTGCCCCAGTTACCACTGTTGAAGGCCGTGAGCTGGAAGGGGGGAGGCGTGAATAAGCAACAGGGAAGGGAGAGAAGGGGCGGGATGGCTTTTGAGTCGACCCAAAAGTGTGTGCCCCAGTTACCACTGTTAAAGGCCGTGAGCTGGGGTGCGGGACAGGGGTAACCACAGAGAGTGGGAGGGAAGAGGGGGGGCCCATCAGCGAGTCGAAGAAAGGGCATAAAAAGGGTGAAGAGTGGGATTTTCCCTCGCACCGCACTGCACTGCACTGCACCACTCACTCACACCAATATGCCATCAATCCCAGCACCTCTTACCCAACTCACCTCCCCCAACGCCCGTCTCCCCTCCCCATGCCCAACCCCTCCCCACAACACTTTTCCCGCCCCCTTACACCCTTGCTCCCTCCCTCACCTGCAGAATTTTCTTCCCCACTCTGCTCCCCCGCACCACTGCCCCCTGCGCCCCTCCCTCCGCTTCCCCCACAAAACTGCTGCAGCCAAGACTGGAGTGGTGCGTGGTGGCAGCAAGGCAGTCGTAGCGGTGACCCGAGGGGAAGAGCAGGAGGTGAGAAGAGGGGTCCTGTTGGTGGGAAGGGAACAAACGGAAAAAGAAAAGGGGGGGGGTGGGGGGGTTTGAGGGGGCCGGAGTGGTGGGTGGTGGCAGCAAGGCAGTCATAGCCGCGGTGACCCGAGGGGAAGTGCAGGAGGTGAAATGAGGGGCTCTGTTTGTGGGAAGAAGGGACGGCGCGTGGGGTGCGTGTGTGTTAGGGAATGGGGAGGGGTAGGGGAGGGGGAATGGGGAAATGAGAGAAAGGATTCGACGCAAGTTCCAACTTTACGCGGATGTTCAATCAAGTCAAGACAGGCAGGCCTTTAACCTACTGAGGCAAGGCACCCACGTGACTACAGGAACGTGACTATATCAAAGCCTGACTGCAGAAAAGAATGTGACTGTGCGCGCAGGTCGTTATACCAAGGGAAGGGCGAGCAAGCGGTTTCCCAGCGTGGCATCGCCGCCTGCCAGCGTGGTGAGCTTGCTGTCCACGTCAGCGCTGACTAGGCGGTGCAGCAGAGAGGTCGGCACGGCGCCGTTGACGTTGGAGGTATACCACCGCACTTGCTGCACTGGGGACAAGACAAGCCACACAGAGGGGGAAAGGAGGTATACCACCGGTCCACCGCCGCAAAGGGGGAGGAGAAATTGAGCCGTTGACGTTAGAAGTGTACCACCACACTTGCTGCGCTGGGCCAATGGGGAAGAGGAAGCCACATGCACGGGAAGGAGGGGACGGGGGAGAAGGGGGGAAGGGGCACGAAGAGAGGGGAGGGGCAGCACGATCAATCCCCCCCCCCCCCCTTTTTTTCCCCCTCACATCCCCCCTTCCCGCCTTCCCCCTATCCTTCCCCCTCTCCGTTTCTCCCCAACTCATGCGGAAGCACGATCAGCCATTGATCCTCCCTCGATCGCACTCATCCCTTCCCCTCCCCCCATTCCCCCCATTCCCCCCATTCCCCCCATTCCCCCCCACTCCCTCCTATTCTTTCCCAACCCCTTCTCCCAGCCCTCCCCGCAATCCCCGCCGTCACCTCCTCCCCACCTCATACGGAAGCACGTTCAGCCATTGATCCTCCCTCGATTTCAGGAGCATTTCCTGCTCCCGCGCCGCTGCTAGCCCTCCCGCTCCCGCTGTCTTTCCCGCTTCCGCCGGCGCGGGAAAAATCGCCGCAGCTCTCCGCTCGGCGGTTTCGCCTGCGTCCGCGGCGGTGCGCGACGGATCCGCGTCGTCCCACGAGCGGTCGCGTGCGATTCGCACGCTTCGCCCGCGACAGACGAAGCGCACGCGACCGGACGGTGCCATGGCGTGTGTATCTACAGCGACTGAAACAGAAACTTAGAGAACTACTACTTCAAAACCGTGCCTAGGAAACCCTAAATATAAACACCAAAATCCTGAACCCCCAACGGTGAGTGTAAGGGCGCGCACTATGAACGGTTTCCCCACCAATCTCTCATTTGGCTGCCCTTTTGGTTCGCCATTGCTTCTGTTTACACGAAACGATCGGCAGACCCGATTCGTCAGGCGACTATGCGAAATTTATGGTTACGCGTCGTCAGATGTCGTCACCAGCGAAGCTGCTAGAATCAAAGACAACGTAGCGAAACCTGACTCGAATCCTGAGAACTTCAAATCTCGAAACAACTCGGCGGCTTTTGGGGATCGGGGCCTAAAGAAGTGTGGGTGCAAAAGAGAACGCACGACCAAAGGCATGAAAATTACGCTTGATTATAAAGGAATATTTTGGTGCATTTTAGCGAGGCTGTCAGTATGCAGGAAATTACTTCAGGGCCACCCTCGTTGGCGCCACATGCTGCTATTTGTGTTCTGTTGTAGTAGGCGGCGCCATTACTAGTGCGTTTCGCGACCATCTTCATTCTCAGAAGAAACACTATTCATTCTAGGTTTCCTTAAAGCGTTCCGAGATTCCCGTCGGCTCGTCTTTGTGATCGTGGCGTGCCCGGTTCTTTTAGAACTCTCATTTTTTCGCGTGTTCCGGGTAACCACCACATCGTCTAGCTAGCCTCTTCACGGCGAATCCGCACAGCGGCCGTCTCGGCAACACCGGCGTCGCGAACCGGCATTCCCAATGCTTCAGGTACGGCTCACAAAAGCGAGCCGTCGAAGCGAACCGCTGAATCCCAGCTTTCCATTCGCAGCGGAGTGCCTGATTGCTGGCATTCAGCTGGCCTTCCAAGTGCCGCTGATTCTACCCGTCCAGGCGGGTCACTCGGGTCGCGCGGCGGTGCATCAGCAGCTACCCGCGTTCCGACTGACACGTGGCGCGGATTTCGAGTTTTGAGACGTGTCAAAAGGCTTTCCATCGTCATCAGGGGGCCGTCCTCAGCAATGCTTGTACCTTGGTCTTTTTTTCGAGCATTCTCAAATAACAAGTGACAACGTTCCCCACAACGCCTCAGCCATGCCCTTCCCCCTCTCCCTTTTCCCCGCCTCCCCTTCCCCTCCCACCACCAGGCGTTGAAACGCGTTGGGCCAAGCAGGGTGTGCCTGGGCCTCCTCTCCGTCATCGTAGGATGGGTGCTCCGCTGTCTCTTCTGCGCCTTTCCCCCCATTCTCCCCTCACCCCCTACTCCCTTTCCCCTCTTGCCCCCTTCAGGCGTTGAAGCGCATAGGGTCAAGCAGGGTGCGCCTGGGTCTCCTCTCGGTCATCGTGGGATGGGTGCTGGGTTATCTCGCCATCGCCATAATTGCCAACCATAGGTATTTCTGTTTCCCTTACGTCAGTATTACTGATTCAAGGTAACCCTTGCTTCCGCCTGGGCCTGCTGTCGTGTCGGTCATCATGGGATGGGTGCTGGGCTATCTAGCTATTGCCATAAAAACCAACCACAGGTGTTCCCATATCACCAGTGTAACCCCAAATCATCCCAGGAAACCCTTGTTAGATTGAGGTAACTCCAGGTTACCCCTTGTCTCACAAATTCTGTTGCTAGAGTTGCCAGGCATGGACCACCCCTTGTGTTATTGCTCCAGAGACAAGGGGTGGTTGACTTCTGAGCTGACCTTTCGCTGTTCCCAGTTACTTTGAGGTATTCCCAGGTTACCCCTAGTCTCACACATGCTGGTACCACAGTTGCCAGGCATGAATCACCCCTTGTGTTATTGCTCCAGAGACAAGGGTTGGTTGACTTTTGAGCTGACCTCTCACTGTTCCATCATTCCCCACACACACTCATGCAGTAGGGCATGGATGTGGGTGGGGGACAGCATAGCAGGCATTGTCGTGCGCCTTGCCTGCACTAACCCTCAGAACCACTCTCTTGCTGCAAATCTTCTTTCTTCTTTCCCCATCCCCTTCCCCTCATTACCCACACACATAGGAGGGCTGCACAGTACAGCATGGACGACGGGGTGGGCGATGAGCTAGCAGGCATTGCCATCCGCCTGCCCAGTCCCCTCACCACCAGCCACTTAAGGCTCATTTTCCCTCATACACCCCCATTCCCTACACCAGGAGGACCACACAGTATGGCATGGATGATGGGGTGGGCGACGACCTAGCAGGCATTGCCATCCGCCCGCGCCCGCCCGGTCTTCTCACCACCGACCCCATGGACTACCCCAAGCCTAACCTCCTCTGTGCTGTCATTTCCTGTTGCCCCTCTCCCCACACACACCAGGAGGACCACGCAGTATGGCATGGACGACGGGGTGGGGGATGAGCTAGCAGGCATTGCCATCCGCCTGCCCGGCCTTCTCACCACAGCCACCTAAGGCTCATTCTCCCTCATCCACCCCCATTCATTACACCAGGAGGACCACGCAGTATGGCATGGATGATGGGGTGGGGGACGAGCTAGCAGGCATTGCCATCCGCCCGCGCCCCCCCGGTCTTCTCACCACCGACCCCATGGATTACCCCAAGCCCAAAGTTTTCTTCGACATTAGCATCGACGGGCAGCCTGCGGGCCGAATAATCTTCGAGCTCTTCACCAAGCAGGCGCCCCGGGCAGCGGAAAATTTCCGGGCGCTGTGCACGGGGGAGAAAGGGCTGGTGCCGAACGAGCCAGGCAGGGAGGGGGCAGGGTTGCCGCTGCATTACAAGGGAGCTGAGTTTTACCGCGTGATTGACAGGTTTATCTGCCAGACTGGGATCAACACGGAGAGCATCTATGGGGGGAGTTTTAAGGATGACCCTCTAGCGCTGCTGCTGAAGCATAATAAGGTGAGCTGGGGGAAAGAAGGGGCGGGTGCCGAACGAGCCGGGCAGGGAGGGGGCGGGATTGCCGCTGCATTACAGGGGAGCGGAGTGATTGATAGGTTTATCTGCCAGACTGGGATCAACATGGAGAGCATCTATGGGGGGAGCTTCAAGGATGACCCGCTTGCACTGTTGTTAAAGCATAACAAGGTAAGTGGGGCCAAAAATATTATATATAATCAGAAAAAGGTGCCTCAAACATTCTTCTTTATGAGTGCCAATATTAGGCAAATTAAGTTTGACTGAAGAGTCACCCCCTTCACATTGTGTTCTCCTTTCATCCACACACCCTTCCACCTGCAGAAAGGCTTGCTATCAGCAGCAAACATTGGGCCAGATACCACCACCACACACTTCTCTATTGTAGTGGCTCCGGCACCACATTTAGACGGGCATTACCCCATATTTGGGCAAGTGGTGAGGCTCAGTTCAGTAATGTTTTCAGCTGCACGTGATATGAGATTTGTTGAGAACCGTGGTTTGTGTTTTTCTTTGTTCCAGGTGTCAGGTTGGGAAGTAGTAGAGCGGATAAACAAGCTCGCAAAGCCTCCTGGTTCAGGGGATGAGCGTCCTCGCTTACCAGTGGTGATCGCTGATTGTGGAGAGATCAAATGATTACATAACATGTTTTGTCTAGCTGTAACGTATGTTCATATAGCTTGTTAGCATCCAGTGTAGCAGGCTAACCATTAGGTTTCATGTCCATTGTACGTAGGATGAATTGCATCTGTATTTATTAATGGTGTATAAACAACGCTACACCAAATTCGAAATCGCCGCCTAGGACGCTCTGCAGCGCGCCAGCCAGCGAAATCGCCGCTTAGGTCGCTCTGCAGCGCGCCAGCCAGCGAAATCGCCGCTTAGGACGCTCTGCAGCGCGCCAGCCAGCGAAATCGCCGCCTAGGACGCTCTGCAGCGCGCCAGCCAGCGAAATCGCCGCTTAGGTCGCTCTGCAGCGCGCCAGCCAGCGAAATCGCCGCTTAGGACGCTCTGCAGCGCGCCAGCCAGCGAAATCGCCGTTTAGGACGAGCCTCAGATCCGGCGCTGCAAATCAGCGCCCCCACATTGAGACCGGCTGCCCAGGTGCGGGATCCACGCCCCGACATCGAGACACGTGACGTCACAGCGGAACCATGGAAGACAGCCCGGACCCCGGGGATGCCGGGGTCCGGGAGGGAGGAGGACGTGACGGCAAGGCGAAATGGGCCACCGGAAGCACGGAGGAACGAATGACAACGATGACTTCAAAGGCGACCTGCCCAATAGCCGGGCACAAGAGGGGGAGAGAGCCTACGGAGCAGCAGGAGGGACCACTCGTCCGCGGCATGTGCGACAAAGTCACTAGGTGCCTCCACGACAATCTGACCAAGAGGCAACGCCTCGATACCGACCTAGGCGTGGCCACTAGAGAAGTGGTCGAAAGTGGCAATGGAGAGCACAGGCAAGGCAACACCTCCGACGCGGCGATGGCAGCTTGGGAGGCACATCGCCAGCGTCTACAGGAGTCGCATGACAAGCGTCGGCGAGAACTTAACACCCCTTTAGCACGCCCGGCACTCACTAAATGCGACAACTCAACGACATGTGGTCCCCGATTAGCCCGAAGACAGGAACGGAGGCGCAAATCAGGAGTTCCGCGGGGTCAAGGGGAAGGAGCGCGGCGAGGCCCGCAAGCCCGGGGGCAGCAGGAGCCGCAGGCTGGGGGGGAGCAGGAGCCGCAGGTTGGGGGGGAGCAGGACCCGCAGACTGGGGGGGAGCAGGACCCGCAGACTGGGGGGGAGCGGGACCTGCAGGCTGAGGGGGAGCAGACGTTGGAGTTGGAGATGGAGATGGGGAGGCAATGGGAGCTGCCTATTGGAAGGCAGCAAAAGCTGCAGGATGGGGGGCAGCAGGAGCTGCAGGCTGGGAGGCAGCAGGAGCTGGAGGCTGGGGTTGAATGGGACCCGCAGGTTGGGAAGGAGCAGGAGCCGCAGACAAAGGGGCAGCAGGCTTTGGAGGCGGAGATGGAGATGGGGGGGCAGCAGCAGCTGCCGGCTGGAAGGCAGCAAGAGCTGCAGGCTGGAGGGCAGCAAGAGGGGCCGACCTGGAGGCGGCAGGAGCTGCGGGCTGGGAGGCAGCAAGAGGGGCCGGCTGGGGGGCAGCAGGAGTCGCAGGCTGGGGGGGATCAGGACCGGCAGGTCGAGGGGCAGCAGGCTTCGGAGGCGGTGATGGTGATGGAGATGGGGGGGCAACAGGAGCTGCCGGCTGAAAGGCAGCAAGAGCTGCAGGCTGGAGGGCAGCAGGAGCCGCAGGCAACGAGGCAGCAAGAGCTGCCGGCAGAGGGGAAGGAAGACCCGCAGGCTGGGGGGGAGCAGGAGTCGGAAGTGGACATGGAGATAGAGATAGGAATGGTAACGGAGCAGCAGGTCGAGAGACAGCTTGGGCTGCAAGCTGAGTGGCCGCAGGTGTTGGAGGTGGAGATGGAGGAGGCACAGGAGGAGGGGGGGGGAGAGCGGCAGGGAAGCGTACAGGAGGGGTGTCAAACGGAGAATCAGTCTCAGCCGCAAGAAGGGGAGCAGCAAGGGTGTCGAGAAAGGAACCGGCCCCAAGAGCGTAGAAGCATGCAACTTGAAGAGCCGATCAGTGGGTTGCAAGAGCAACAGGCGCGGGTTCAGCAGGGGGTCGCTAGCCCGGGCGGCGCAGGCCAAGCGAAAAGGTCGCGAGCTCGGGGCCGAAGAGGGAGACGACACGCAGCCAAGTTGCAAGGAGCATCCCAGGGCGAGCAGCAGCCAGGGGGTCAGCAGGGGTCGACAAGGGCGCCTCAGGGGGTGCTGCAGGCCGGGGAGGTGCCGGAGGCGACAGAGGCAACCCAGGGAGGGTGGCAGACCGGTGGTCGGGCGGAGAGGACTAGGGCACCCCGGGGAGTGCAGCAGCCAGGGGGGCAGCCGGGGGTGACAGGGGGACCCCATAGAGCGCCCGGAGCACCCCAGGGAGCGCAGCAGGCAGGAGGGGAGCCGAGGGTGCCCGGGGCACCCCAGGGAGTGCAGCAGGCAGGAGGGGAGCCGAGGGTGCCCGGGGCACCCCAGGGAGTGCAGCAGGCAGGAGGGGAGCCGAGGGTGCCCGGGGCACCCCAGGGAGTGCAGCAGGCAGGAGGGGAGCCGAGGGTGCCCGGGGCACCCCAGGGAGTGCAGCAGGCAGGAGGGGAGCCGAGGGTGCCCGGGGCACCCCAGGGAGTGCAGCAGGCAGGAGGGGAGCCGAGGGTGCCCGGGGCACCCCAGGGAGTGCAGCAGGCAGGAGGGGAGCCGAGGGTGCCCGGGGCACCCCAGGGAGTGCAGCAGGCAGGAGGGGAGCCGAGGGTGCCCGGGGCACCCCAGGGAGTGCAGCAGGCAGGAGGGGAGCCGAGGGTGCCCGGGGCACCCCAGGGAGTGCAGCAGGCAGGAGGGGAGCCGAGGGTGCCCGGGGCACCCCAGGGAGTGCAGCAGGCAGGAGGGGAGCCGAGGGTGCCCGGGGCACCCCAGGGAGTGCAGCAGGCAGGAGGGGAGCCGAGGGCGCCCGGGGCACCCCAGGGAGAGCAGCAGGCAGGGGGGCAGCCGGGGGTGCCCGGGGCACCCCAGGGTACGCAGCAGGCAGGGGGGGGATCGATGGACGACCGGGAACAGCAGTTGGAGGAGTGGTGCCGACTTTTGGAGTTTGATACCCCCATGGCGACTGCGGAGGAGTCAGAGGCGGACGGAGAACCACCCAGTCCGCCTTCCCCATGCCCCCGTTTCCCGTGTGACACGTGTTTCCACACGTTCGCCACGAGAGGGGCCGCTGCGAACCACATGAGGGTATGCCGGGCGGCTGAGGCGGAGAGACGCGCGCAGGCACTTGGCTCGATCCCGTCTCTGGTGGAGACCGACACACAGGAGCGACCGACGCCGCGGGAATTTGGGGACGAGGCGTGGGCAGGGGTTAAGTCATGGGAGTGGGAGGCATTTTTCTGTGTGGAGGCGGTTGGAGGGAGGACAGTGCGCCGGATCCCGCAGCGGGCCCGGTCCGGGGTCTTAGACGCACTCTGTTGCATCTTGAAGCGGCTGAAGAGCCGACCGGGAGATGAAGCTGCTACCCTCCTACTCCTGGCGTTTCCGCGCCTCATCCTAGCCGTGCCTCCCAAGCCAGGCATAGGTCAGAAGGCGCTGATCATAGAGCGGCTGGGGGCCTTCTGGGAGGGGAGGTGGCGGGAGTTGTTCGACGCTGCCATGGCGGCGGCACGGCCAGCAGTTCGCCCACTTGCCTACACGTGCTCTGACCAGGACCCGGAGGCCATCCGCCTGTCACGGTGCCGATCTCGGTGTAAAGTGGGAGAGTGGAGCCGTGGTTTGTCTTGCCTCACAGCAGGAGAGTTGGCTCGACCGTCTGAGGCTATGGTGCAGTCGCTGCGAGGGAAGCACCCAGCTAGCAGTGGCGAGGTACCACCGTGGGTTCGTGAGTTTACTGTCGACGCTCCTCAGCGGCCTCCACTCACGACCGACATTCTGGCTAGAGCTATCCACACAGCTGCTCGCGCCTCAGCTGCAGGGCCATCGGGATGGGTCACAGAGCATCTGCGCGACACTTTCCTCACGGAACCTTCCTGCCTCTCCCACCTGCTGGAAGTGTTCAACCAATGGGTGGCGGGACAGGTCCCCGAGCGAGCTCGGCCCTGGCTCGCCGCATCCAACCTAGTCGGGCTTTCCAAACCCAACGGTGACGTCCGGCCGGTGGCGATCGGGGAGGTGCTTCCGCGTATCCTCGCTCGAGCTCTCTGCATCTCGCTTCGCCCTGTGATGGCTTCTTATTTTCTGCCGTGTAACCAGCTGGGAGTGGGCACTAGGGCTGGGGTGGAGATTCTTACTCATTCTTTCCGGTCAGCGCTGGCCACTCACCCCGACTGGTGTGCGCTGCAGATAGATGTCGCGAACGCCTTCAATTCGTTTCATCGCCACGCGATGTTCGAGGGGCTGAAGGAGTCGCCTTTCTCAGGAATGATCCCATTCTTGCGTGTCTTCTATGGGACACCTAGCGACCTGTACCTCCGAGCGGGCCCTTTCGTACAGAGTCTTGAGTCGGCACGAGGATCGCGACAGGGGGACCCGCTCGGCCCTTTTCTTTTCGCTTTCACGCAGCAGCAGGTGCTGGGGACGGTGACTAGAGAGTTCAGGGACCTACTTTTCTTGAGCTATGCAGACGATACCTACATCCTGGGACCAGCGGCTAGGATTCTGGAGGCTTTTGGGGTGCTGCGAGAGAGGTTGGAGTGGGTGGGGCTGGAAGTGCAGGCGCACAAGTGCAGGTTTTGGGAGCGTGGAGGTGGGGATATGGAGCGGGCATTGCCTTTGGGGATGCAGCGGGAGGAGGAGGGTCTTATTGTGGTGGGCGTGCCTATTGGGGAGGAGGATTGGGAGGGGGCCCGATTACGGAAGCGGCTTCGCGAGTTGCAGGCGCCATTGCCGTGGCTCCCCCTGCTCGACCACCCCCAGATGGCCTCGCATCTCCTCGCTATTGCAGTTTCAGCACGGCCGATGTACCTGGCCCGGACTATGCCGCCGCGGCCGGAGGTGGTGGAGGCCTTTAGAGAGTGGGACAGCTGTCTGGAGGATTGCTTTGAGCAGCTTTTCCCCCCTGGCACTTGGGAGCAGGATCCCGGCAGGTCTAGGCGCGCACGCATGCAGCTGCATCTCCCTGTGCGCCTCGGAGGGTTTGGGATCCGGGCGGCGGCCTCTTTGAGTCCGCTCTCCTATGTTTGTGGGTGGGCGCAGGCCGCACGGGATATTGCACATTTGGGGGTGGCGGGCGAGGAGGCGATGTTCGCAGAGTACCTCACCACTTCGGCGGGGGCGGAGCTTCTTGACCCGTGGTTTGCCAAGGCCATTGAGCAGTTGCCCGCGACTATACGCCAGGAGCTGCCGGACTTACCCCTGTGTGTGGCGGCCCCTCCTCTTCGGCTTTTCCAGGCGCGGCAGCGGCAGTTGGCTGTTGAGGAGCTCCAGGCACTCCGCCGCTTGGCTCGTGACGATGCCACCCTAGCCCGTTTCACATCCCTTCAGGGCCCGGGGGCTGGTGCATGGGTTTCGGCAGTTCCGGCTCATTCAGATCTCACATTCACTGCAGCGGAGTGGGGCATTGCTGCTGCTATACGGCTTGGTCTCCCAATCCAGCAGCTGCAAGTGGCGGGGAAGTGTGTTTGTGGCGCAGCGTATGATGACCCAGCAGACCCGCATCATGCGCTGAGATGCAAGCACCAACACGGTCCATCTCGGGTGCATGATGAGGTGAAGTTTGCGGTGGCAAAGATCGCTAAGGCGTCAGGGGGGGTGGTGACGATGGAGGATAGTGCGGTGCTGCCGGGGAAGCGGGTTGACGTAGCGGTGCGACGACCAATGGCTGGGGAGGCTCATGCTTTAGAGATTAGTGTCGCGGACCCGCTATCACTGTCTCCATCTCTGCTAGGGCAGTGCGGGCGGTCTATAGGCGTGGCGGCAAAGGAGTGGGAGCGTCGCAAAACGGGGGATTACGCGCCTCTTCTTGCACGGAACCGAGGCGTGCAGTTCACCCCTTTGATAGTGGAGACGTGGGGGTGTCTCGGCGGTCGCTTCCGGCGGTGGCTTCGACAGCAGGGGGACGCGCACGTGGGGCTAGCTGTGTCACGGGGGGCTTGTCGGGAGGATGACACTTCGTTCTCGGCTTACCTTTTGGGGTCTCTGAAGGCGCTCATCGGAGTGGCGTTACAACGGGCGCAAGCTCGTGTCATCCTGCTTCGGGCGGCGTCTTCCATGGGGGGGTTGAATGTGGACTTGGTGGATCGGGAGAGGGACGATGTCGAGGTGGAGGGCGGGCCTCTTTGGGTGGAGGCCCCCTACATGGTGGATGTGCAGATGTGACTTGGGGGGGAGGGGGGGGGGGGGGGGGGGGGGGGGGGAGGGGGAATGGGGTGCGAGATGGGACGTCTGGTAGGGGATCCTGGTTGGGTTTTTTCTTTATAGAGTATTTTTATGGGGCTTTTTATGGGTGTTGCGTTTGAGTTGTTTCTGGTGTCTTTCTTTCCCGTTCCTCTCCTCTTGTGCGATGCTTTTCTTTGTAAAGATTATGTGTCTGTTGTCTTTCCATGAATTGCATGGTTGTGTTGCACTTTCACTGTATTTCCATACCTCCACAACAGCTTTGACGCAGTGCTTCGACAACGTCGAGCCTGAAGTTGTCACTGATGGTTCGGTGGCAGTTTCAAGAGCACAGAACCACCCCGCTTCGACGTGGCGCTCGTGCAGATCGATGGTGACCGCGGATGTGGACATTTCCACACGGCATCCAACAAGGCATCAAATTTTCCGAATCAGCACATATCCACTCCACGCAAGACGCGTGGTCGATGACACGCTGGCTCCAGACCTTCCAGCGATGAATCTCCGCCCGCTTTCTGGTGATGCTTCCCTGCCAGCTCGTCTGTGCCTGCCTTGGGAATTGCTCCTTGGGTTGCTACTGATGCTTTCCAGACCAGCAGACTCCACAGATGTTGGTCTCAAATGTAAATCCAGTTCTTGCATTTCATATTCTGCTATTGTGCAGTTCTTGTTGCTGGTTTCTTGTTTCTTGATTTGTTCGGATAGCTGGTACTGAACTGCTCGTGCTTGGTCATCTAACTATCAAGATGGCTCTCTGCGCTGTTGCTTCGACCTCCAGCGCTACCCTCAAGACCTCGTTCCTGCCTAAGACCGAGAAGCTTGCCGATGCTTCTGTGGTTGTCAGCATTCCCGTGAAGCGGGTCTCACCGGTTCAGGCTTCCCTGGAGCCTGCCGTTTCCCGCAGGACTCTCTCTCTCGCCGGAGTTGCGTCCCTGGCCGCTGTGCTCTCCGCTCCCGGTCTTGCTTTGGCTGACTTCGAGGAGGACTATGTTAAGGCTACTTCAAATGTCATCGAGAGAGTGAGGTACACTCTGGGCCTCGCTAGAGACGACCCCGCTAGGAGCGAAGCCGTGAGTGATCTCCGAGAGCTGTCCAACACGTGGGTGGCGAGGTATCGCCGTGAGAAGAGCGTGGCCGGCAGGCCGTCCTACAGCAACATGTATTCCGTCCTCAACGCGATTTCTGGTCACTACATCAGCTTCGGACCTACCTACCCCATCCCGAAGAAGCGGCTCGACAGAATAATTGAGGAGGTTGACATTGCCGAGCGTGCTCTTTCCCGTGGCCGATAAGCGGGTTCCGGACGGCATGTATTTCAAAATTTGCCAGTGCCTTGTCGTTTTGCGTTGTTGATATTCGCTTTATCAATCGATTTTGGATTTTCTCAAATGTGAATTGCCAGCATCGTTTTCTCAGATTATGCTGCGGGGAAACAACTGACTATACGAACAAAAACCTGGTCTCACGTCTGCACTGCAGGCGAATCTTGTCTGTTGCACGTATGGTTTTAACCTTGCTATTCTCTAGGCCTTCATCTCTCAGCACCCTGCACTTGTCCTCCCATTTCCTGCACCCGTACATTCCCAGTCACCTCCTTGCTCCCCTATCATTCCGTCCTTCACTTTCATTCCCTCTTATGTTGAACGTGCGCTGTTTGACCAGCTTCACTCTTTCTAGAACAGAACCTGGAATAGCAGTCTGATCCAAATCGTGACAAAGAGGGGTATTAGATTGTACTGGCTCATTAATGTGACTCATGGTGGATTCAGTAAGCTGCTGGGCCACTTGTCAGGAGGCATTATCTGCCCCAAGCATACTTGTCCTGCCCATTTTGGCCATAGAAATAAATAATGTCCTGCATTGCAGCATGCGCGGTACACTCTTCAAGCTCGCCAATGCAGGAAGGCCAAGAACTAGCCCCAAAACATTAGATGAAACTACAACTGCACATGGCAATTACTTTTACAATGTTTCACCTACTTCATTGTCAACTCACACTGCACTACAAACAGCGCACTCAGACCATGTCCGAAGATGGGTTACTCTGGCTGCCAACAAACTCCAGACGAGCCATCTGGGCATCAAAATCAGCCTCAGCAGAGCTGTCAATCTCCCTGTCAATGCGTGACAAGGCTCTGCTCCCCTTCTCCACCACCTCGCTCCTCATTTTAACCAGTTCCACCAGCACTTGGCTCATTGTGGGGCGAGATGCCGTGGGCATGGCGGTGCAGGAGAGGGCGAGGCGAGCCATGCGGAGAATCAGATCGTCTGGTGCGGTGAGATATGGGTCCTTGAAGGCTGCTACGTTGCTTGATGCCACTAGGGGAGCCACCTGCATGGTTTGCGCAATGAAAAACATTGGGTAGGCAAGGCAGTACAGAGGAGTAAGGCAAGCCATGCGGAGAGTCAGATCGTTTGGTGCGGTTAGATAGGGTCCTTGAAGGCTGATACGTTGCTGGATGCCACCAGGGGAGCCACCTTCATTGATTGCGCCAATGCACAGTGCAACATTCAACATTGGGTGGCTTAGATGGTTGTAATCATGAGGGTGCATATGAGGGAAGACGGAAGTACGAAGGGAAGCAACTGAAAGACAGCAGCAATAGTTGGGTGTATGAGGATGGTATGGATGTGCTGTTCATTTCATGCCTGAGGTAGCATTGTGCAACGCCAGGTACTTCACCCACTGCCCGTGCAACACACCTCATTCTTCCCGCCTCACCCATCATTCGTTCTTCACCCCTCACTCATGCCCCACCCATCCCTCATGCCCCAACCATCCCTCATGCCCCGCCATCACACATGCTTCTCCCATCCCTCGTGCCTTACCCATTGCTTGAGGTTAAAAGGGTGTCCTCTGTCACATGCACCGCCTTGCATGCTGTGATCACCCCTCCAAAGCCCACAAGGCGCATCACTCCTGCCCCACCCGTCCCTCCTATCTCACCCATTGCTTGAGGTTGAAAAGGGTGTCCTCTGTCACATGAACTGCCTTGCGAGCCGTGATTACCACAAGCATCACCACTCCAAAGCTGCCAAGACAACACAATCAAAGGGCACAAGGCAGAACAGAAAGTGAAAAGCATTGATGTAGCCTCTGTTCTCGGGCATTACTTCTGCCCTGGGCTCCACGTCTATTGTTTGCTAAGTATCTTCAAGAATTCGGAGCCTATCTGATTTCTTTGTCCTCTCACCTGTGCACGTCTGCTGTTGGAGTGGCTTTGTGTGACTTGTAGTATGCAGGGTCCACATAGCCTGGAGTTCCCATCACTCTAGTAGCAGCCACAGATGTTCCCATGGTCGTGCCTCCACTCAGCTTCACAAGCCCGAAATCTGCAATCTTTGCCTGCTCACAATCACATAGTTGCAAGAGAGAGCAGGATGAGAGGGTGGGTAAGCAACCGAGACAAAGGAAATGATGAGAGGCGAAGCAACAGCAAAAACATACACACACTATGTTGACATGATCTTGTATGTCTTAAGGGAGTAAAGCAGGTTTGGATGTACCTCCATTTTCGCCCCAAGAAGAATGTTGGCGGGCTTGATATCCCGGTGCACAATCCCAAAGTCATGCAGATACTGCAACCCCTTCGCGACCCCAATCAGAACGTCCAACCGCTGGGGTAGCGAGAGCGGGAGGGTAGCACCAGGGCCGATCCAGCTTTCAAGGTCGTGGTTCTGCATGAACTCGTAGATGAGGATTTGCTCCATGTGTCTTGTGGCTGGGTTGAAGTCGATGCAGTAGCCCAAGAGACGCACAAGGTTGGGGTGATGCTTGCTCGCCATCTCTTTCACCTGCAGCGGGCACAAGGAATAATGACACAGTGACTTCCTAACATTGAACCCAATGCAGTTAATTAACACGAGACCTGGATGGTGCTTGCAGGCCATCTCCTTCACCTGTAGGCACACGAGATGAAGCATGAACAGATATGTGAACAATGACACAGTGATTGGAGAGAGATGTGAACAATGACAGAGTGATTCGATCTCGTTGAAGCCACTGCTGCAGCCTAGCAAGTGCCAATCTGATCTCACATGAAGTGGTGGTGACAAGTGCCATGTGTTACCTCGGTCTGAAAGTCGTTGGTGAGGATGCGGGCCCGTTTGACAGCCCATATCTGGTCGCAGCTGTGAGGAGACACGCCCTTGAAAACATCTCCAAAGCTGCCGCTGCCGAGCCTGTTCCCCTCAGCCCAGTTCGCTGTTGCTGCTGTCACCTCTGCTAGCGAATACTCTTTGCATACTTGAAACCGTGCTGCTTCCATATCTGCTATAATTGCATCATCTTGTCTCTCTGCTGCTGCTGCTGCTGCTACCACTGCCGCTGCTGCCGATGCTGCGACTGCTGCTGCTTCTGCTTCTTCTTCTCCTTTGGCGTTAGTGTCGATTTTCACTGCGAAGGCATCATTTTCCCTCCTTACAACTGCCGGTGCCAAAGCTATTGCATCTGATGCTGCTTTTTGGGATTCTGGGTCGTCGTCCTCCTTGTCTGCAGGTTGTGTGCGGTGGGTGGTGGTCAGATAGAGGTTCAAATAGAAGTAGAGACGGTTGCATCATCATAGTGGCAACGGAGCATCCGTAACCTCACAGCATACAGGAAAACGCTGAAAAAAAAAAAAAAAAAATCAACTTTAAACAAGGCTTGCCTTGAGACACCACTTCCAAAGATGCATCGCTCTCCAGCCCATCCTTAGCCAGTCTCCTTGCAGCCCTTGCTTTGTAGCAACGCCACACGAATAGCACGACGAACAGGAAAGCGGCAAGCCCAACCAGAATCACCACCACAAGAAGGATGATTCCTACTGTTGAGACCCCCCCTCCTTCACTTTGCTTTGGAGGTACTGCGGGTTACAAGAAAAGAAAGAAGGTGGAGGCATCACAATGATAAAACAAATAACTGTCTTATTGCGATTCCAGAGTTCCCAGCTATCCCATTTATTGCGATTTCAAGAATGCAAATAGGATGAAAGCATGCTGAATCCCAGATGGAATAGTTGTATATGCATTTTATGATTGAACAATGGTGGTTAACCCGATAGTTGCTTCCTATACATTCTCAATTGTTTTCTTACCACAAGTGTTGCAGAATGAAGAGCACAGCTGGCAGAATGCGTTTGATTTAATAATCTGTGTGTATCCGCATTCACTGTTGTCAGCTGGGCATGTCAAACCAGTTTGTGAGATATTCCTGCATATACAGATGTGTGCATGGCATAAGAGGCAAATCCTGTTATTAGCGAAAACTCTTTCACAAATTCATGTTGAGCGCACAGAGAGAATGAGTCATACACCTTACATGTACTACTTCTGATATGATACCAAGCATGTAGTTATTTTGGGCATCTAAAAAATCTTACAAATATGTTAGGCTCGAAAAGGTACCAAGTGTTCGAGGGAGAGGTCCTGTCAAATTGGTCGCACGAATGTCGCTGTGGCAAAGATAATCACAAAAAAGCAGCATGCATATTGCAACTAGGATGTTTCACGGAAGAACATAGTGCTAGTTGACAAGGCTTTGTGGTATCTGATGAATGATTACACTTTAAAAAAATTAGATATGATATACATGATAATTATAGAAAAAAAAGAGCAGTGTCGGGTCTTACAGGTATCTCAAGTTCCGTAGATTATCTACAGTTCCCACGATTTGCCCATCGATGAAGTTGTAGCTCAGGTCTCTGTATTGACAAGTAGCGGGATGAACGTAGGAGTAGCGGGATGAACGTATTAGTAGCGGGATGAACGTACAAGTAGCGGGATGAATGTTATGGGGATTAACAAGTAGCGGGACAGAATGAGAAATAATGAGGAAAGAAATAAGTGTATCAAATCATGATGAAAAGGATTTGCAATCATGCATGAATTAAAGAAGTTGGGTACACTCAAAACTGTAGTAGGGAGGATACCATGTACAGGAGCACACGATACCAATGGGCTGTGCATAAGCATCCCAAAGCTCATCCATGGCCATACATGGTTTGCATGGGACGTACAGATGAGTGAGCCTGGTCATGCCAGGGCTGTACATAGCAGGCGGTATGCTCCCTTGCAGCTTATTTGCCCCTAAATCCCTGGAAGAGAAGAAGAGTAATGAACTTGTCAATTCCACCGTCATTGTTACAATCAGACCATCAGTGTTACGAAACATTTCTCAAGACCAGATAACACGAAGGTTTGTAGAAGCGAGTTAAGCAGGAAGGCAATACCAACTCACATATGTGCAAGGCTATTCATGCTGCCAATGCTGTTGGGAATGGATCCGTTTAGGTCGTTGTATGCTAAATACCTAAAGCACAATGAAAACACATTGAAACTGGATAAAAGTGTTCTAAGAGAATGTTATAAACAAATGGTCTTTACTGCTGGTCTATGATGCCAAATTAGATAAACAAAAAGGCTCCTCACTATAGTTTAGTGCAATAATACTGACAGATAGGTAAGGCTGTCCAAATTGCCGATAGAGTAAGGAATGGGGCCACTTATATAATTTAATGAGAGGTCCCTGAAGGGCGTGGGCGTGGGAGAAGACAAAAACGGGGAGAGGGAGTAAACTCAGTGGAGCAAAGGAAGAAACATTGAGGAAGAGGAGCAGGAATTGTACAGTCAAAGCACAACAACATGCATCTAATAATCACTTCACAGATAGGACAGGTTTGCAGTGCATAAAATATAGATTCTCACAGATAAGACAGGTTAGGAAGGTTGGTGATCTGATCAGGAAATGACCCGGTAAAGTGAACTCCTGAAAGCCTTCTGAAAGATATATATTCGCAATGGAAATGGAGTGGGAGGAAAACAAAAACATTAACAGGGGCATAAACCTTCAAGACTGGACACTAGCACCAATGCGCTCTCATGGGTCATTGAAGGGGTTGTATGACAGTAACTCAAACAAAAAATGACAAATTTAGTGAGTTTCACTGATATTGTTTAAAAGGGGCAGACGAGCCCCTCTCTGTATAGAAGGCTCGCATTTGAGGTAGCTCGGAAACAAACAAGAAAAAAACACTTAGTGGCATTGGAAGAAGGGAAGGGGAGCCTTACAAATGTGTGAGGCCAATCAAATCTGTGATAATAGACGGGAGAATTCTATTCAAGGGAACGTAGTATAAATCCCTGTTGGGAAAGGCAGGGATGATGGGACATGCAGAAATGATGGGATGTGCAGGGATGATGGGACATGCTGGGATGATGGGACGTGCAGGGATGATGGGACATGCTGGGATGATGGAACATGCAGGGATGATGGGGCATGCAGGGATGATGGGACATGCAGAGATACATGAGACATGCATATGATGGAAAATGCACCTCACATGCTTGTCACGACGTGTCTTACATGCTTGTGACGATGCCATCGGCGTTGCAACTAATCTGGTCCATCAAATTATTCTTCACAGTTCCGTTAGTGCTGCACTCCGCTCCTGGTTCCCACCCACTGAAGTTCCTGCCCCAAGCTATATTCAGCTCCTGGAGAATTTGCCCTGAAGACAGGAGAAGAGAGCGAGGGAGGGAATGGGGAGGGAAAGATAGGGAGAGGAAACGATGGTTTGGACGGCTGCATGCAGTTACTACGTTCTTAGAGTGCTTCAACCACCCGGGGGGATTCAATGCCGCAAAACGGACCATGGAAATCAATTAGAGATACACATCCGACTGGAGGAAAAGCGGGAAAACGTTTTTTGAGTCGACTAAAAAAGCGACTCAAAATGCGACTCGGAAAAGCGATTCAGAAAAGCGACTAAGAAAAGCGATTCAAACGACGACGGACCTTGAAAACCATTCGGTGGAACACATCCAACGGGAGGAAACGGTTAATTTTTTTCATCTTCTTAAACAGCGAAATTAGTCTGTCGACGAACCTTGGGAGTCATTCAACGGTACACATCCAACAGGGGGAAACGCGAGACACGTCAGCAAGAACAGCGCGGCGAGAAGAAAGATTGAGCGCTCCATTTTCCTGGACGAAGACTGATATTGAGGCTCCTTAAGAATCGGCTCGCATCCGTAAATCGCTGCAGCGGCCTGGTCGCTCTTTGCTTGAATTGAAACTCTTGCTACTGCGACTGCTTGCTACCGTTTCGTTCGAAGCTCGAATGATGATAACTATATCATTGGATTAGAAACAGAGAAAGAAACGATCGCTACCGAAACACGGACAATAGCTCTCAGCTAATGCTTGCGTCCTGAAAAGAACGAAGTTGTCTAATAAGGGTTTCAGGGATGAGAGCGGAGAGATAAGGGGGAAGAGAGGGCTGTGTTTCCCTTCTTGTGGAGAGGGCGAAACGGACGGAAGTAGCTGCGGTAACATCTAATTAACGACTGTCGCAATGTCTCGTTACGACCCTTGTTAGGAAAGCTTATGATTCGTGCGAATTCTGTAACACGAGCTTCACTCAAGGTTCAACTTCTTGCCCTGGCTCGTCCCCACGTGATAGCTCCACCTCATCGACCTCCCTAGTACATATTTTGCAGGTGGATTCGCCAGCTGGGCATGGGAAGTTCTCCTTGCACTGCTGTCTGGTGACTCAGCTTCCTGCTGGATGTGGTGGCGATGGTGTTGTGCGAAGAGTGCAGACTGCGTTGACTGATGATGTGGCTTGGGCTGAAGAAGGCTACACAGCGGAGATACGCGTTTGAAAAATCACCTATGATGTGAAGGATACGGCAGTGTATGATTTGCTCTGTATACTAGACGAATGCGGAGATGAGCAAATTGCAGGAATTGCTGAGACACAAACCACTATTCGAGATAAACTCTTGCACTGCAAAGCGAGCTAGTTAGTATTGGATCAACGTCAAGCTGGCGATTTCGTGGGATGACGAATTTCAGCACTGCAACTACGGTTACTTTCCGGTGCAAAACGAAGTCGAGCCCAGCAGATCGCCCCGGTTTGCCGATATGACGCGTTCGCTCAATTCGCACGTTGTTTCGCGTTAGGCCATCCTTCTAATATCAAGGGTTAGGTGATCAGAACTGTTTCTAATATAGAGGTATTTTGTTTAGGATATGGTAAGCCAGGCTGGTATCTTATGAGATGTAATTGCCGTCCGCTTATTTTATTGCACGCTTGCGGCTGCTAGCTTTCCGATAAACACTCTCTTGAACTTGAGACGATTTTTCGAGTTGAGAGCGAGAGTTATTTTGCATCATTGTCCGACTGTCGAACCTAGCGTGTGCAGTTTAGATACGCAATCGAGCCAGTTTTTGTTCGCGATGACTGCGAAAGGAGATAGTCTTGAGAAGAAAGAGAAAGAAAAGGGGGAAGATGCGGGGAGGGAGGAGCACGAGGCAGATGCGAGTGAACAGATGGAACGTGAGGAAGAGCAAGAAGATGAGCGAGATGAGGGGAACGAGGAAGAAGACGACGAGGAGCGAAGAGAGGAGGAGCGAGGAGAGGAGGAAAGAGAGGAGGAAAGAGGGGATGAGGAAGAGGAGGTGTTTTCGATGCGCCTGGTGTGCATTGATTACTACATGGATGCTCCCATTCCTTTCCTTGATGCTTCCTTCTCACCCTTCCACGGTAAAAAGAATTTTCCCATGTTCCGCAGTTGCACGTCTCGTGAAGGTTGATTGCTCTGGTTACATCTGACATCAATGGTTACGCATCAAGTGAAACCTGAGGGCCCTGGTTGTATATTTGGTGGCATCTTACTGTCCTGGTTGCAAATTCGGTGACACATGGTGGCCCTGGTTGCGTCATGGGGGACGTTTGTCTGCCGTGATTACACGGCCGGTGACTTCTGACTTTTATTATTGCACTTTAGATGACATTAAACTGCTCTGATTGCACCTTGTTGGTATCAGACTGGTTTGAATGCACTTATGGTGACATCTAATTGATATGGTCGCATAATAGATGACATCGGACTGCTCTGGTTACACATTCGGTGGCCTCTGACTGCTTTGGTTACGAAGTTGGTGACATCATACTTTTCCTGTTGCACATTAGATGACATCTCACTTTCCTGATAGCAGATTAGGTGACCTCTGACTTTCGAGGTTCCATTTCTGTAGAATGGTATCAGATTTCAGCTTCTGTGTGTGGCACGTGGCAGTTCGCGCTGTGATGTAACATGTCCCCTTCCTTGTGTGCCACGTGGCAGGGCGAGCAGTGGATAAGGTGCCAGTTGTGCGCATCTTTGGATCCACCACCATGGGGCAACGAACCTGCCTGCACTTGCATGGGGTATGTATGCGTCCCACAACTCAACCTCTCTCCAGGCTGATCTTACCTTGGTGGGTGGCACTGTTACCATGAGGCGGAAAGCACTCCTGTACTTGAGCTATTGCACTTCCAGCTGAATATTGGGTCCAAGCTTTTAGCGTTCTTTAAATTCAAAACAGTACCTCTTTATTAACCACCCACCACTTTCTGCAGGCTCTCCCGTACTTCTACGTGCCATATGATGACGACCTACCTCAGGATATCGCCAAAGGTATGGCTCGTGATAGCTGAATATTCAGGCGCCAGTAACCTCTTAGATCTGACTTGAGAGAGTAAGAATTGGCCAATCTTGGACCTTATGATATGTCACACTTATTCCTGCTTCCTTCTTCCCCTCCCATCTCTCTCCTCCCTGATTCGCCTTCTCCCCTCATTTTCCACACCAGCACAGGTCTTCATGCGTCAGCTCGCTTCAGCACTGGAGTATGCACTCAAGGTACAGTTTCTGAGCGTAGTGGCCATTTTACAACTAAAATATGTCTTTCCTATTTTTCAAAAGCCACTCAAGGTGCAGTTTCTGAGTGTAGTGGTCATTCTACGACTACATTTGTCCTCCAATTTGCAAACACATATGCGCGCAAGAGGCAGCACGTGCATGCATGCTCTCTCGTGCGAGCTCTGCCCTTCATTTGACGTGTTATGTTGTCCTCCCTGTTCCTCCGCCCTCCTCTTCCCTTTTAACACACACCGCCCTTCTATCTCATCAGGTCGCAAGCCCTTATGCGCGCAAGCGACAGCACGTGCATGCATGCTCGCTGGTGCGAGCTCTGCCCTTCTATGGTTATTACCCCGACGAGTGCCTCTTTATCAAGCTGGAGATGTGGGTGATGCGCGGTATGATGCGGTGGAAAGAGGTGTGATGCCTGTTGTGATGGCCACTATCTGCATGGCGTGGCATGGCATGCGGTGGCATGGCATGGCATGTTACAGCATTGTATGACATGCATGCTGCATCCATGCTTCCCCGTGCATGCATCACCAGCCTCACACCCTCTCATCCATGCTCTGAGTCGAATGCAGGTTTTATCCAGATGAAGTGACACGTGCTGCATCCATCCTTCAGGTTGGTGAGGGCCCTTCTCGGTTCGGAGGTCTTTGATTCATGTGACGTGGATGGTTTACCCATTGCTTGGTCCATGTGCAGTCAGGAGCAGTGATGGGACGGGTTTTCCAGCCATACGAGTCCCACATTCCATACCTCCTTCAAATCAAGGTACCGAACATGCTCCACCATACCTTTAATGAATTAGATTGGCTACAATATCGTGTGAGTGGATCCCATTCGCTTCTTGCAAACCTCTTCAGACCACTCCACACGTGCCCCATTCTCCATTCTCCATTCCCCCTTCCCCATGCCGCATGCCCCATGCCCCATGCCCCATGCCCCATGCCCCATGCCCCATGCCCCATGCCCCATGCCCCATGCCCCATGCCCCATGCCCCATGCCCCATGCCCCATGCCCCGTGCCCCCTTCCCCATGCCGTATGAATCAGATGGACTACAATCTCGTGGGCATGGGTCTCGTTCGCCTCTCTCATGTCCTCTTCAGACCGCCCCTTCCCGCCCATCCCCCTCCTCACGCCTCTCCCACTCCTCCGCCTCCTCCTGCTGCTGCAGCTGCTGCTGGCAACACTTGTGGCGTTTCCAAAAGAATCAGCGGGGTGTTTTTTGCAGGCAACGTCTCTCCAGGATGCATATGGGGGGCTGGAGGGAAGAATGACGGATGCCTAACGAACAGCCAAGGCCTGGGGCAAGCTCACGATTGGCCTCAAATGTCAAGAGACGGACGCTCAGCAGCAGGGGACAGGGGAAGGTTGATAGGGAGGAAGAGGGGGTGGCAGGAGATCGGTTCCCAAGGGAGTGGTGTCAGGAGGCAGAGCGTGTGCGAGTTGGAGGCTGATGGGTGCGTGTCAGGTGCGTGGCAGCAGGGGGAAACATTTTTTTGAGGCGCTTCAAAAGTCGTCTCAGTTCGCGCTGATGGGTGCGTGTCAGGTGCGTGGGAGCAGGGGGAAACAGCGTGTGGGGAGATGGCTTAGAAGGGAGGAAGGGCTGGGTTTGCAGGGGGGGGAATGGTACAGGCGGCAGAGTGTGTGAGCTGGGTATGCATGAATGTGAATGGTTATTGAGTTACCTGAAAAGCATAATGTATTGTTCAGTGCAGACATGCCCTTGCCGCTGTCTCTCCTCCCTTGTCCCTGTCTCTCTCCATGCATATATGCGTGTTGGAAGCATCTTTATGTGATGTGAACGACTCAGTGCCTTGCGTCTCCTTCCCGTCACCTCTTTGCGTACACACATGGATGCATCATACACGCATGCAGACATCTTGAACGTGAATGACCTTCTTCCTTGCCTTACATGTCATGTCTCTCTGTTCCTCCCTGTCACCTCTGCGTGTGCATACGTGGATGCGTCATACATGCATGCATGCAGACATCTTGAACGTGAACGACCTTCTGCGAGTGCCTCTCCACGAGGCTGGGGATGACATTCAGATGGTGCCCTCGCTCGCTCCTATCTGGGAGGTATGCTCTCATGCGGGATGTTGTGCTCTTTTCCTGCTCTTCTGTGCGTGCATGAAGGCAAGCATACATGCCTCCATGCCCATGCCTGCGATGCGAATGCCTCTCCACAAGGCTGGGGATGACATGACACTCATGCCCTCGCTTGCTCCCATATGGGAGGTATGTTCTAATTTAGAAGGCACATCAGAAACGAAAGGACATGTCATTTCGGGTCGGGAACAACAGTTACATGTAACTTTTGTTTCTCTTTATTACTTGCAGGATGAGCGGCGGCGGACAGCAGCTGAAGCAGAAGACGCAGGTAAGAACAACAGAACCAGCGGCAGGAAGGGAATGGGAGGGAAAAGCAGTGTGGAGACTCCTGGGCGTTCAGGAATCGGAGGAAAAGCGGGAGCTGAAACAGCAGCAGAAACATCAGCAGCAGCAGAAGCAGGAGCAACGCCCCCTGCTGCCGACACTCCTGCCACTCAGAGAATGGAGCCGCCCCTTAGTGACTTGGACAGGGCTCTTAGGAGAGTGGTGTACGAGCTGGCTGCGGAGGAAGAGGCCGTGCTGCGAGAGAGGGAGGAGAGGCGGAGCAGGGCAACGGGAATGGGAAGGGGAATGAGTATGGGGATGAGAATGGGAATGGTAAGGGGAAGGGGAGTAGGAATGGGAAGTGGACAGGGGAGGGGAGATGAGTGGGAGGAAGGGCAGCGAGACAGGGCCCCTGCCACTCGCCGTCTGTTTTCCTCACAGCACGAGGGAGAGGGGGGAGGGGGAGAGGAGAGGGGAGCGATGGGAGGTGAGGTGAGGGAAGGAGCGGAGGAAAAGATGTATGAGGAGCCTAACGAGGGGAGAGAGGCGATCAGTGGAGCGGCAGAGCATGACGGGGAGGAGTGTCGCGTGCGTAACTCACGCGAGAAGAAGGAAATGGTATCTCCCAGAGAAACGAATGTCCCTGTAGCTCAGACACCTGTGAACTTGGAAACCCGTATACAGTCACTTCTTGTTGTTGCTGAGAGCCCTCTGTTGTCGTGCTCCCAGCCTGCCAACCTGCTGTCCCCAGCACAGACAGCTTCTGGAGAGCCCAGACAACCGGCTGTTGTTGCTGAGAGCCCTCTTCTGTCGTGCTCCCAGCCTGCCAACTTGCAATCCCCAGCACAGACAGAAGCAGTGGGAACCTTTGGTTTTACTCCAGGAGGAAGGATTACGCGTGATGGCTGGGACAGATTGGTGGAGAGTGGTGATGGGATGGAGAGTGCAAGGAAGCGGAGAAGAAGGGTGACGTTTCAAGTTGCTGCTGGGGCAGAGGAGGGATGGCATACTGCTGAAGGGAGGGTTGAAGATGGTGGTGCAAATGGTGGTGGTTTCAAGATAGGCGATGATGACAATGCCATGTTGCCGTTGGTGGATGAACAAGTGGTTGTCACACAGCTATCACAGGAACAGATGCAGCAGGTAACCCCCATAATTTGCTTTTGAGCCGACTCAAATGGCACATGGTCGATTGTGATAATGCCATGTTGCCGTTGGTGGATGAACAAGTGGTGGTCACACAGCTGTCACAGCATCAGATGCAGCAGGTAACCCCCCCTTGTGCTCGTGTGTTGACGTGTCTCTTTTCACAGCAGCAACTGGTGACTTCAACGGTCGTTTTGTTTCGTGTTTTCCTCTCCACCGTCTCGCCTCAACCCCAACCCTCTCCTCCCCATTCCTGCCATTTTCAGGAGGACCAGGAAGAAGCCCTGACATTTTTTAGATGGGTTTCCATGCTAATACTCAGCGTGTCACCCCGCCCCACCCCTCCTCACCCAGCCCCACCCTTTTTCACCCCGCCTCACCCCTCCTCACCCCTTCCACCTGCCTTCCATCAGGAGGATGAGGAAGAAGCCCTGGATCTCTTGAGATGGGTTGCCAATAGCCAGCGTGACAACAGCGAGGGTGACAGTGCGAGCGATGATGAGCGGCTGCTACTGAGCGAAGATATAGCAGCAGGGGAGGCAGCACAGGGACACACATACACACAAGCACAAGCAGTGCCACAGGAACGAGCAGAGGCAGCAGAGGCACAGGCACAAGCACACACACAAGCCCAAGCAGTGGATGTGGTTGGATCACAGGGGAACGTGAAAGGGTCACAGGCACCAGCAGTGGTTGGTTCTCAGGGACCCATGAGAGTAGGATCTCAGTTCCTAGCGGGTGGGTCACAGGAGGAGTTTATGCGATCAGGGTCTCAGTTCCGAATGGGTGGGTCACAGGGGTGTTCTCAGGGGGAGAGGAGGAAGGTGGCCTTGGAGCGAGCGTGGGAGGCGTATGAAGCAGCTGTTGCGGAGGAGTGTGAGGGGATTCTGGCGAGTGCGAGGGAGATGGGGGTGGAGTGGGAAGGAGAGGGGGAAGAGGAGGAGGAGGATGAGAGGGAAGGGGAAATTGGAGACGAGGAGTTTGGACAAGAGTGGGAGGAATGGGTGCAGCAGGGGGAGGGGCGAAGAGAGCAGGTTGGAGGGAGGGAAGCCAAAGGAGGGGAGGGGGTAGAGCATGGGCAGGGGCGGCTTCCTCAGGTGTTAGGAGGAATCGGACGAGAGGGCAAGGGGCAGGGGGGAGTATCAGTGGATGGTGGTGCTCGTGGAAAGGGTAAGGCAAAATTGGAGACTTTGCACGGAGGGGAGGGTATGGGAGAAAAGGGAAGTATGGGGGAAAGGGAGGGGTCAGGAGTTCAGGGAAGGAAGGGTTGCAGAGAGGAGGGAGAGGAAGAGGGAATGGAGTGGATAAACGAGTTTGTACGTGGTGATTTGATGGCCTGGCAGATGAATCAGACGGATGGTGCTAATGACGATAGTGAGGATGGTGATAACGAGGATGACGATTCTACAGAGCAAGAGGAGCAGGAAGAGGAAGGAGGGCAGGGGTAGCAGAAAGAGGTGGGATTGCAGAGGGGACGGGAAGTGGAGGGAGAGGAGGGAAAGAAGGGAGAGCAGGGAGAAGAGGAGGACGAGATAGTGATGACCCCACCAACCACCCGACTGCACCTAAGGTCACTTAGGAGGCGCCACAAGCAGCGGCTGCAAGGCACACGTCTGCGTAGCTCTGGCACTGGTACTGCCCGTGGGCCTTTGGGTGGCGTGGCTCTTGCGAATGGTTCAGGCCCAGAGAGGAGGTCGAAATCTGCGTGCAGCCAGAAGGAGGTGAAGAAAAGAGAGAAGAAGGACGGCAGATGCAGGACCAGTGGTTGTGGTAATGGGATGGAGCGCAGCAGAGAGGGAATTCGAGGAGGCGGTGTAGCGGGCAGTGAGGGAGGCAGTCGATGGGTAAGTCAAGGGGGCAGTCAAGAGGGCAGCAGAGGCAGCAGCAGCGAGGGCTCGGAGGAATGGCTGCCTGCCAAAGGCCAGGGTATGAGCCAAGGCTTGGGTCAAGGCAAAGGTGAAGAAGGCATGAGCCAAGGCGTGAGCTGTGGGTTGTTCCAAAGGATAGATCAACGAGGAATTCCTGAGGCAGCTGGACGTGATGTGCTGCAAGCTGCTGCACCTGCTGCCACTGCTGCTCCAGATGGCGTTGCCGCACCTCTCGCCACTGAAGCAGCTGCTGCTGCTTTGGTTCAGGATGAGCTTCACGAGCCGGCAGCAGCGCCTGCGGCTGCTGTACCTGCTGCTCTAGATGGCACCGTTCCACCTCGCGTAAAAGCAGCTGCTGCTGCTTCAGTTCAATATGAGCTTCACGAGCCGGTTGCAGCACCAGGCGTTAGAAACAAGGTTGAAGAAGCAGCGGCTTCTGCTATTCCTGTAGCACTAGCAGCAGAGATAGCAGCAGAACCAGCCGCAGGTTCAGCCGCAGAGGTTTCCATTCCAACGATACCTTCAGCCAGTACAAATTCAGCTGCCTGTGCCACGCCTTTACCATCGCCCTCTCCCGAAGCTGAACCTACTCCTGTCATCCACACAGTTTCTCCAGAGCTATCCGCTGATCTTCAAGTCGAAACTTCTGTGCCAAGCAGGGTCCCTCAGACACCGAACCCGCCACAGCAGACGGCGCAAACGCCTCAGCCTCCTGAGACTCTCCACACGCCTCACACGCCCCAGACCCTTCTAAGTCCTCAGTCTCCTCAGACGCTTCAAACTCCTCCAACTCCCCAGACTCCCCAGGCACCTCACACGCCTTTGTCACCTCCTCCTGCTGCTGCCTCCCCACCTCAGCTTCCCTGCGCCTTTCTTCCATCCCGCCACATCCCGCATGTGCTTAAACAGAGAACACATCTTGCAACTTGCCACTCGTTACAATCACATTCTACAGAAGAACGGTCGGTGGGCCCGCTGGTGTATCACAGGGCGCCTCCCTCGTTGCAGGAGCTGAGGGACACGTGGCAGGCCCATGGCTTGCCACGTGTGCAGTGGCCTGACGTGTACTACGGTGACGTCAGGGACGTGCCAGAGAGGCATCCGGTGTTTGGCGGGAAGGAGTTCAAAAGTAAGTCTGTGGGCGGGCATACATGCATTTTGTTGTCCGGTTAGCACATGTGTGTGCATCCCACGTAGGTGTCCTTTTTTTGTTACGCCCACTCGCTGGATCATCAACATATTATCCTTCCTTACCCTCTCTAGCCCCTCTGTCCATCCCACTGTACCCATTCCCACTACCCCATTGCAGTCCTCTCAGCGCATGATGCTCACCTCCCTCCTTTCCCCTTCGGCCCCTCCGGCCCTCGCTCCCACTCCACCTTCAACACAACCACACCATTCCTCACTCTCGCCTCACTCAACCCCTCCACCTCCCTCCCTGGCTTCCTCGACGCACCAGACCACTCTGCACCCATCTGTCCCCTTCGCCCCTTCAATGGCGGCAGCAGCAGTACTTCAGTTGCAGCGCCGGTTGCTGTACCTACAGCAGCAGCTGCAGCTGCTTCGGTGCGCTGGCCCGCCCCTAGGCTGGCTCGGGAGGGGGAGCCCGTACCTGGCGTGCCGAGCCGAGTTGACAGGCTCGGCCGTACGACTTATCAGATTGTGCCGGCTCAGCAGCCGCCCTCTCGGCAGCGGGTGGAGGTTTGGGCGTTGAGATAAGGGCTGCTGAAGAGGAGGAAGGATACTCGTGTTTCTGACTTGCGAAGCAGAGGAGAGGGTAGGAAGGGTGGTAAACGAGAGGAACGATCTATGACAGTTTGGGGTGATGAGGCTGATAAAAGTGGTGCTGGTGGTGCTGCCGCTGGCAGTGCTTGCAGTGCTGACTCTACTGGTGCTGATTCTAGTGCCCCACTCACCCATGCTGCTGCTGAAGGTAGTGCGGTGCAACCCAGTGAGGAGCAACAGGCGGAGTTCACTCTCGATCCAAACACAGGGCAGTTGCTTGTGGGAGGGGCTGGTGTGATAGGCTTGGACGGGGCAGGTACGGAGGCTCGGAAAGGTTTGGTGGGTGGGAAACCAAGGAAAAGGGAGGTGGGTTGTGGGAGAGGTGGAATCAGGAGGGAAGGGGGTGGGCGGGCTGGGGAGGCGAGGAGAGGAGGTGGGAGGAGGAGTGGGGCGGTGGGGGGAGAAGGGGAGGAGGGGGAGGGGGAGTTTGGGTGGGGGACGTGGAGTGATGTGGGAAGGTGGAGGAGAGAGGTTGAGGAGATGGGGGATGAGGGAGAGGAGGGGGAAGAGGGGGAAGAGGAGAGTGAGGGAGACGAGAGTGAGGAGGGCGAGGAAGAAGGTGTTGTTTATGGGGATAGAGAGAAGGGTAGTGATAACGATGATGAAGAGATGTTTGAAAGGCCTGCGTCACCCAAGTGGAATGAGGGGCACGTGCTTACAACGCAGCTGCTCTCACCCCCCGTACAGTCACAATCACGCCTCAAATCCCCCCCTTGGAGCACAGGGCTTAGATGGAAGTCAGTTTCACGGTCTGGGTCTGGGGCGAAATCAATGTCAGAATGGAGGAGGAGGAGAATTCCGGAAGAAGAGGCAGCAGGCGAAGAGGAGAGTGGAAGGAAGGAGGAACCTCTGATCCCACTCTCGTTTCAGCCCCAGGGAATTCTGAAGTCACCCACTGATCACGCTCGTTTCCATTCTCCTCAATCTCGATCTCGAGTCAGCTTCAGCGCCATGCGGCCTCCTCGCATCCCCCCTTCTGTCCTCCGCATGTCCTCAAGCGCTGGGGCCGCTGCCAGTCCCACCACCACCACCCCTGCTGCTGCTGCTTCTGCTGCTGCTGCCAGTCCCACCAACACCACCCCTGCTGCTGCTGCTTCTGCTGCTGCTGCCAGTCCCACCAACACCACCCCTGCTGCTGTTGCTTCTGCTGCTGCTGCTGCTGCTGCTGCTGCTGCTGCTGCTGCTGCTGCTGCTGCTGCTGCTGCTGCTGCTGCTGCTGCTGCTGCTGCTGCTGCTGCTGCTGCTGCTGCTGCTGCTGCTGCTGCTGCTGCTGCTGCTGCTGCTGCTGCTGCTGCTGCTGCTGCTGCTGCTGCTGCTGCTGCTGCTGCTGCTGCTGCTGCTGCTGCTGCTGCTGCTGCTGCTGCTGCTGCTGCTGCTGCTGCGCCTGTTGTTTTGGGAGACTCACCTGTAGGGAATTCATCTTTCCCTGTTGGAGAATCCCCACCCACACCTCCTTCTCCTGCCACCACCAGTCTGAACCCCTCTCACCCTCCATCCACTCTCCTCCAGTCACCCCCTCTCGCACTCCCCACACAGGATTTCCGCCCTCCTCTTTCTCCCTTCACCTTGCCGCCCTCCCCCTCCTCCACCTCTCCTGTTTCTCCAGAATCGTATCATATCCAATCTAGCAGGACCCCAGGTGGAATTTCAGGTGTTTCTAGGCCGTTCGGTGAACCTGGTTCTGGCGTGTGGAAGGGGCATGTTCTTGGCCAATCAGGAGCTGCCAGGTGGCGTGATTTCTCCCAGCTCACCCCAGCAACTCAGGCTGCCACTCCTGTCAGCCAATCAGGATTTAGGGAGAGTAAGAGTGGAAAGAAGGGGAGTGAAGGGAAGGTTGGTGGAGAGACGATGAGAAGAGAGGAAACGAGGGATGGGGGAGGAGGTAGAAGCGGAGAGAAGGACGAGGGAGAGGCGGAAAGAGGGGGGGCAGGGGAAGGTGGAGGAGAGAAGCTGAGGCCTGAGAAACAGAAGGGGGAGGTGACGCCAGGGAAAGTGAAGGAGGAGGAGAAAGGCAGAATGAAAGGCAAGGCAGTGAAGGGTGGTGCAGCAGATACAGGAAAAACCACAGGCAAGAAAAAGAGCACAATTTCTTCCTCCTCCAGCTCCCCTTCCTCCTCATCGTCCCCTGCCTCGTCCTCCTGCTGCGAGCACGTGGTGAGCATGAGTGCGGAGGTGCTTGCATGCACCAGAGGGGATCTACTGCCTGACCCTGCACAGGACGCGCTGTGCTGTGTCGTGCTGGCCACACAGGGGGAGGGGGATGGAGATGGGGATGGGGAGGGGGAGGGAGATGGGGAGGGGGATACGGAGGTGGAAGAAGCGGATGAGGATGAGGAGGGGGAAGAGAGCGGGAAAGGGGAGTGGAAAGGCAGGCGAGGGGAGGCAGCAGAGAGCGGGCCAGGGAGAGGGAGGAGGCAAGTCAGGTTGAGGCGAGTTGGAGGGAAGGCACAGGTGGACGTGCTTGTTCTGGAGGAGACTCCTTCAGGCCTTGCCCGCAGGTACTTGTGCCCGCTTCTTGCGTTCCCGCTCTTGGATGTTTATTATTGGCGCTCCTAGCAGCTGCAAGTGCCAAGTGGTAGTCGAGGCGAGTCAGGTTGAGGCGAGTTGGAGGGAAGACGCAAGTGGACGTGCTTGTTCTGGAAGGAACTCCTTCAGGCCTCGCCCGCAGGTACTGTGCTCCTCTTGTGTTCCTTGCTCTTGCTTTTCATTGGGTTGGCAGGTAAGGGCACGACTGATGGTTGCTGGCAGGGAGAGCGCTGAATGTGGGCTTTAACATTTTAGAAAACTTGCTTTGAATTGGGTTGGGAGGTAAGGGCATGCCTGATGGTTGCTGGCAGAGAGAGCGCTGAACGTGGGCTTTAAGCTTTCAGGAAACTTGCTGGGTCTTCTGTTCCGTTCCCTTCCCCATTTCTCCACCTCAGGAACCCTGACGCCCTCTCATCCTGCCGTATTCATCTGCTGTTATCAGAAGTCGCCGTGTTGGAGCGAGTAGTATCTGTAGTAAGGAAGTACGATCCCGACATACTTCTGGGATGGGAGGTGCAGGGGCGCTGAGTTGTGTTAAATACCTTCTCCACCTGCCTCCTTTGTCTCCTTCGCCCATCCTACCCCCAGGAACCCTGACGCCCTCTCGTCCTGCCGCGTGCACCTGCTGTCCTCAGAGGTTGCCCTTCTGGAGAGGGTAGTATCTGTGGTGAGGGAGTATGACCCGGACATACTGCTGGGGTGGGAGGTGCAGGGGGGCTCGTGGGGGTGGCTGGCGGAGAGAGCGCAGAACCTGGGCTTTAACCTCCTCAAATCGCTCTCTAGAGTGCCGCCCGTGCACGATGCGAGAATAGCGCAGAGAAGGGCACCGTTCAAGTGTGACAGAGCTGGGGTTCTTGAAGCACCTGCCTCGTCAACGCCACCAGCTCTGGTGCAGTCGCAGCCGGTGCATTCACACCCAGTACAGTCACACGCCCCACAGTCACATCCAGCACAGCCACTCCCGTTACAATCACCTCATGCAGCAGTCACATCCCAAGAGCCCTTGGATTCCCAGCACATCCCCATGTCCCCCTTGCACTCCCAGCTGCACCTTTCTCCATCTCTCCCTACTATGGGCCCTTCCCAGTCACCCCTTTCACCTCCTCTTGCCACTGCCCCTCTTGATGCTACTCCACGTGACACTACCACTCCTGACGCCACTCCACCTGACACCACCACTCCTGACGCCACTCCACCTGACACCACCACTCCTGACGCCACTCCACCTGACACCACCACTCCTGACGCCACTCCACCTGACACCACCACTCCTGACGCCACTCCACCTGACACCACCACTCCTGACGCCGGCTTCAATATCTCGCAGCAACAACAGCAGCAGCAGGAGCAGCAGCAGCCGCAGCAGCCCCATCCCCCATCCACTCTTCTCCCCCCATCCTCTCGTTTCCACTCTCCCCCACCCAATCCGTCCCCGTGCCTCAAGACATGAGCGCCTGGCACCATGGGTTCGGGGGATTCGCCCTTCCCTCTGTAGTTGCACACGCACATGCTGCTGAGACAGGGGTGCCAATGCACATGCACGCACATGCACATGTGCCTGAAGAATCAGGTGCACAGACGCATGTGGAGGGTCGTGTAGATGCGCATGCGAAGGGGAATGAAGTGAGGAAACGTTGTGCTGATGATCCCGCCACGTGGCCTCTCCTCATCCATGCCACGTCAGCACCAGGAGCAGGCGGGATCACAGATAGTGGTGGGAGCAGACGAATGGGGGAAAGGCAACAAGGAAGGACATGGTTTGCAGGGCAACAGGGTAGTGGGGTTGAACAGCAACGGGGAACAGGAGGGGCAACAAGGGCAGGGGGAATAGGTGGAGGGGTTGGAGGAGGGAGGACAGGAGGTGAAGGCACAACAGCTGGCAGCGAGAGGGAGAGGTGGAGGAGGGGGAGAGGGGTAGGTCGGGGACGGGGGGACGATGACGCAATAGTGGCAGACGAGTGGGGGAAAACGCACGGCAGCGGCTTGCATGTAGCCGGGCGGATCATGATAAACCTGTGGAGAGTCATGAGGGCTGAGGTGAAGCTACCTGTGTACTCGTTCCATGCGGTGGTGCTTGCTGTGCTGAGGCGACACGTGGCGAAGTATGATTGGCGCACGCTGACTGGGTGGTGGAGGGCTGGGGGTGCAGGGGGAGGAGGAGGGGGAGGAGGAGGGGGAGGGGGAGGGGGAGGGGGAGGGGGAGGGGGAGGGGGAGGGGGAGGGGGAGGGGGGGGGGGGAGGGGGGGGGGGAGGGGGAGGGGGAGGGGGAGGGGGAGCAGCAGCAGGAAGAGCAACAGGTGGAGGGGGGGTCGGAGAGGGAGGAACAACAGCGGCAGCGGCAGCAGCAGTGGGGAGGGTGCAACGTTGGCGGTGCATCGAGCATTTTGTGGCGAGAGCCCGGCTGAATCTTGAGATGATGCGACACCTGGACGTGGTGAGTGCTGCCGCGTGTTATCTTGTTAATGGTGCGACATGGGTGCCGCGAATGGGTCAACACGGGAACATTTTGAGTGGTGCCAAATGGACCACAATTGTCATGTGCGCCATCCATCCATCCTGTCCCCATCCTCTTTCCATCCCCTCCCGAATTTTTTACCCCTTTGCCCCTCCACAACCATCCTCGTTATAAGGTGAACCGCACGGCAGAGCTAGCGCAGGTGTTTGGAATCGACTTCTTCTCGGTGCTATCAAGGGGCTCTCAGTACCGAGTCGAGTCAATGATGCTGCGACTCGTACACTCCCAGAACTACCTGCTAATTTCGCCCTCTCGCATGCAGGTATGTGCATGTTACAGTTCAAGTGAGTAACCCCGTTACCACGTGTACAATCGCCATGTTATGAAGTCTATGTTATTATATTATACACATGTCTTCCCTGCCATGCAGTCTTTGTATCCCATCTCCCAGTCGCTACTCCTCATTTCACCTGACAGGTATCCTCCCAGCCCGCCCCAGCGTGCATCCCTCTAGTGATGGAGCCAGAGTGTCGCTACTACACCAGCCCCGTTGTAGTCCTGGACTTCCACTCGCTCTACCCCTCCATGCTCATCGCCCACAACCTCTGCTTCTCCTCCTGCCTCGGCCGCATCCCGCCCCCCTCCTCCTCTGCTGCTGGCGGTGCTGCTGCTGGTGGTGGTGGTGGTGCTGCTGCTGCTGCTGCTGCTGACTGATGGTGCACCTTCTGCCGAGGCTGGTGTTTCAACCACTGCCACTGCTCCTGCTGCTGCTGCTTCTGCCGCTGCTGTCCAATGGTGCTCCTGCCTCTGCCACTGCTGCAGCAGCAGCAGCGGCTGAGAAAGCGTCCGCTGGAGGCAACTTTTTCCAGGGTGGCGAGGGGGAGAGGCAGTGGTGGGGGGAGGAGGAGAGGCCGCTGGGCGTGACGACCTATCGCGTGCCGCCAGGTGTCGTGTCGTCATTGAAGGATGACCTGCTGCTGCCCAACGCAGTGATGTATGTGCCGCCTCAGGTGAGTGAGTCCTGCTGGCAGCTGAATGAGGGTTTTGCACCATGCTGAGCTGTGCTGTGCCGTGCAGTGCCATGTGATCTGCTGCTGCCCAACGCAGTGATGTATGTGCCGCCCCAGGTGAGACGATCTTCACCAGGAGACTTAAATTTGACTAGTTTCTCAAGCTTATTGCCAGCATTACCTTTCGGTACACCGCGAATTCGTTCTTAAGAATCTATCCCCTCCCACCCTCCCCAGGTGCGCCCTGGTGTGCTACCACGGCTGCTGAAGGAGATCCTAGCGACAAGGGTGATGGTGAAGAAAGAAAGCAATGAAGAAGCTCCCACCAGGGAAGCAGAGCCGGGTGCTGCACCGCGTGCTGAACGCACGGCAGTTTGCCCTCAAGCTTATCGCCAACGTCACCTACGGGTACACTGCAGCGTCGTTCTCTAAGGCTGAGCTGATGCTACCACCCTCCCACCCTGGCCCACCCCTTGCCTGCTTGCACACGCCCTTCCCCCACCACCACCAGGTGCGCCCTGGTGTGCTGCCGCGGCTGTTGAAGGAGATTTTGGCAACACGAGTGATGGTGAAGAAGGCAATGAAGAAGCTCCCTCCAGGGAAGCAGAGCCGGGTGCTGCACCGCGTGCTGAACGCACGGCAGTTTGCCCTCAAGCTCATCGCCAACGTCACCTACGGGTACACTGCAGCCTCGTTCTCTAAGGCTTTCGTCCCACCGTTTCCCACCCCCTCCCATCCTCCCAGGTGCGCCCAGGCGTGCTGCCGCGGCTGCTGAAGGAAATTCTCGCAACGCGAGTGATGGTGAAGAAGGCGATGAAGAAACTGCCTCCAGGGAGGAGCAAGAACACACGAGTGCTTCACCGCGTGCTGAACGCACGGCAGTTTGCCCTCAAGCTCATCGCCAATGTCACCTACGGGTACACCGCGGCATCGTTCTCCGGCCGCATGCCCATGGCTGAGCTGGCAGACAGCATCGTCCAGGTCAGGCTGAGCTGGCGGTGGGGATTGTCCAGGTCAGGCCGAGCTGGCAGACTTTTCAGAGCAAGTTTCAAGTTCACGGAATCTGGGTTGATGCAGGATGTAGAATCCACAGGAACAGTGAATGGAACTGGGTCTGACTGACTTGTCTCAAAGCAACACTGTAACCGCAACACTGGAATGATGACTTCAACCTCGTCCTTACTTCGCATGTGCAGGCGGGGCGAACAACTCTGGAGAGGGCGATTGCTCTGGTGAACAGCCACCCATCTTGGAACGCTCGGGTGGTCTATGGTGACACCGACAGGTGCGTGCACGGAGCTCTTGTGTTGGTGCTGAAGCTTGAAATGTTTAGGGTTTAGGGTTGCATATCAGGAAGCAATACATGTGTGCAATGGCTGCTTGCATCCCTTAATTCGCCCTTGGAACTTCCGTTTCCCTCTCTTGCCCGATGCGTTTTCCTCCCTTCATCCTACCTTTCCCTTCCCTCCCCTCCCGTCCCTTTCTTTCGCCCTGCTTCCCTGCAGCATGTTCGTTCTCTTGGAAGGTCGCACGCGAGAGCAGGCCTTCACCATCGGGAATGAGATCGTTACAGCGGTAACCACGCTCTCCCCAGCACCGGTGGCTCTGAAGCTAGAGAAGGTGTACCACCCGTGCGTGCTGCAGACCAAGAAGCGATACGTGGGCCTCGCCTACGAATCCCCTGCTGCCACGTGTCCCCCTGTGTTTGACGCCAAGGGGATTGAGACGGTCAGAAGGGACGGGTGCCCTGCCGTGAGCAAGCTGCTGGAGAAGTCTCTCAAAATTCTGTTCTCCACCAACGATCTATCCAGAGTGAGTTTGACATGGAAAGGAGTGTGTTAGAGCACCAAAGGTATCGAGACGAGACGGTCAGACGGGATAGGTGCCCTGCCGTGAGCAAGCTGCTGGAAAATTCCCTCAAGATTCTATTCTCCACCAACGATTTATCCAGGGTGAGTTTGAAAAGGAGAGGTGGAAAGGAGTGGCTTTGAATGCCAAGGGGATCGAGACGGTCAGGCGGGACGAGTGCCCTGCTGTGAGCAAGCTACTTGAGAAGTCTCTCAAAGTTCTGTTCTCCACCAACGACCTGTCTAGGGTGAGTTTGACATGGAAAGGGGTGTGTTAGAGCACCAAGGGTATCGAGGCGAGACGGTCAGGCGGGACTTGTGCCCTGCCCTGAGCAAGCTATTGGAAAAGTCCCTCAAGGTTTTATTTTCCACTAACGATCTATCCAGAGTGAGACTGAATACCAAGGGAAATGAGAGGGAAAGAAGGGACCTGTGCCCTGCTGTGAGCAAGCTATTGGAGACATCTCTCATTGAGAGACTGTCAAAATCTTGTTTCCCACCAACGATCTATCCTGGGTGATTCTGAACACGAAAGGGGATGAGGCAGGAAGGAGAGGCATTTCACTGTGTGCAAGCTATTGGGAATGTCTTGAAAGGTTTTACGTTCATACACCAAGATTCAACCCTCAGATGCATTCCAGACCCTCGACCCTCCTCCTCTTTCATCCCTCTCCCTCTCCGCCATCCCAGGTGCGCTCATACTTAACACGCCAGTGGCAGCGCATGCTGCAGGGCCGGGTATCTCTCCAAGACCTCGTATTCTCTCAGGAGGTTCGCCTGGGCACCTACACCACCAACCTTTAGGCCTTGCTCCCCTCTTTTCTTCCCTCTCCCACTCCAGGTGCGGGCCTACTTGGCGCGGCAGTGGCAGCGCATGCTGCAAGGGAGGGTATCCCTCCAGGACTTCATATTTGCACAGGAGGTTCGCATGGGCACCTACAGCACCAACCCCCGCGCCCTCCTCCCCCCGGCAGCCATCGTGGCCACCAAAGCCATGCAGAGAGACCCCCAAGCCCTCCTTCCTTTACATTCCTCTCTCGCCCCCCCCTCCTGCTCTCCCAGGTGCGATCATATTTGGTGAGGCAGTGGCAGCGAATGCTACAAGGCCGAGTCTCCCTCCAAGACTTCATATTCGCACAGGAGGTTCGCCTGGGCACCTACAGCACCACCCTTTGGGCCTTGCTCCCCCTTTTTCTTCCCTCTCCCACTCCAGGTGCGATCCTACCTAGTGAGGCAGTGGCAGCGAATGCTACAAGGCCGAGTCTCCCTCCAAGACTTCATATTCGCACAGGAGGTTCGCCTGGGCACCTACAGCACCACCCTTTGGGCCTTGCTCCCCCTTTTTCTTCCCTCTCCCACTCCAGGTGCGATCCTACCTAGTGAGGCAGTGGCAGCGCATGCTACAAGGCAGAGTATCCCTTCAAGACTTCATATTCGCACAGGAGGTTCGCCTGGGCACCTACAGCACCAACCCCCGCGCGCTGCTCCCCCCCGCGGCCATCGTAGCCACCAAAGCCATGCAGAGAGACCCCCGTGCCGAGCCTAAATACAAGGAGAGGGTTCAGTATGTGATTGTGTGCGGTGACCCTGGGTCCAGACTGGTTGATTTGGTGGTGGAGCCTCGGGCGGTGGTAGATTCGCAGTGTCTCCGGCTGAATGTGGGGTATTATATCACGAGGAAGGTGATACCCGCGCTGCATCGGGTGTTTGCGCTGGTCGGGACACGTGTCGCGTCGTGGTTCGCTGAGCTGCCGCTGTCGCAGCGGGTCGGGTTGGGGAAGCAGCCCCTGCTGACGTGGCAGGGGGGGGAGGGGGTGGGGACTAGGGGGAGTGTTTTTCCCGGGCAGGGGCAGGGGCAGGGGCGGGGGAGGGGAGGTGTATGGGGGAGAGGGAGGGGGAGAGGGAGGGGAAGAGGGAGAGGAAGGGGCAGGGGGCAAGGCAGGATCGATCAATACTATGGGAGCGTTCACTGTGTTGTTTGTGGGAGGGTGGTGGTGAAACAGGCGAGGGGAGAGAGGGTGATGGGAGGTAGTGTTGACAGAGTAGGATGGGGAGGAGGCAGAATGGAAGGAGCAGGAGTAGGAGGAAGCGGAGGAGGATTAGGAAGAGGGGGAGGGGGGGGAGGAGTGGGAGTAGGCAGGGGAGAAACGGTGGAAACGGGGGAAGAGGGAGGGGGTAATCAGCAGGGTATGATGGGGCAGGATGGGGTGGAAACATCAGGGCTGGCTGCTCCTGGCGTGGACGCAAGCAGCAGAGCAGGGGATGCAGATGGGTGCTGTGCGGTGCCAATCTGTAGCTCGTGTAGAGGCATTGGGGCAGATCCCAGCGAGGCTCATGGTGGTTGTAGTGGTAGAGGTGGTGGTGGCAGAGGTGGTGGTGGTAAGGGTGTGAGTGTTTTTGCTGAGGGTCAGGAAGGTGAAGGAGGTCAAGCAGGGGAGCTAGGGCAGGTGCCAGCGCTGGTGCTGACAATGAGAGCTGCCCTTCTGGAGAAAGAATACCGCCATCTTTCAGCGGTGAGTGTACTTGTTTGTCTGTCTGCTTGCCTTATTTTGTTTCTTCCGTTTTGACCCTTCATGCTCTGAATCCTGAATAACCACTTGTTGCAATATTTTCGGCAGATCTGCTTTGACTGTGGTGCATTTCCTGCTGTCTCTGGAACAAGCCAAGGTGAAGACAATCCGTCTAATTGTCAAGGGTTGGATACTTTTGATGTAGCTTGCGTGTCTCTTGATTGCCCCGTGTTCTTTGAAAGGCGAAAGGTGCAGAGGGAGCTTAGAGCAGCTGTAGATTTGCCATCGGCCTTGGCTTTTATCCAGAGCTGTTTTAATCTCTTACACAATTCCTGGTTACGGGTTGTCAGATAAAGTGTTCGGCTGGTGTACTTTTCAAGTTACGGTTCAACTAATAGCAAGGATGCAGTCTGACAATGCAGAAAGTCGGTTTCGTTGCCGCCACCAGCACCACCCATCAAATCAGTTTCTAGAGAATACCGTTTCCGCATCGCCGTGAGAGTAGCAGCTGACAGATCCTCAGTCCGCGACTCGTCCTGGGACTTTCGCGTTCAGAACTTTCTAAGCTTCAAGAGCTTATTGGGTGTCATATTGTTGGTAGAGCTATGTGACCTCTTATCGGAGGCATTTAAGCATCGCGTTATCGGGGACAGCAATCATGCAGGCTTTTCACGTTGCTGGGAGACTCTTCAGGACGCAATGACAGAAACATCGCGATCGTACGGCCAGATGATGGCCACGTTAACGAAAGGCAATCGTAGGCGTTCATTCGCTCCGTCGGTCACGCTAGGACGATGCCGATTATCGAAGCACGCACTAACGAGTCGCATGCGTCGCGAGCTCGCCGTGTTCTGGTCGCTAGTCTTCGCGACCGTTACAACAGCTGGTTACCACACCATACTCGCGACGGCCGCTAGTCCTGGGCGTAAGTGCTTCCGTCATCTTCGTCGTCATCGCCATTGTCGTCTTCTGAGTCGCTTTTGAGAATTCTCATAAGTCGTCGTCATTGTCGCCTCTGTCGTCGAAGCTATCTAATGCGTAACGCCTCTACAAGTTAGGTTGTCAATCGTGCATGGCTTTCGGCTTATTCCTTTTTCCAACCCGCAGTGTGGGAGCTAGTGTCACTGAAACGCGTGCTACCAAAGGCGTCCCCGCTTCCCTACCCCTCCCCGCTCCCCCGATTTCCCGTGTACTCGCTTTGTTGCTTCCACCTTACTTACATTGTAGTAGCTAGTTTTACTGAAGCGCGTGCTAACAGCGTCCTTCCCACCCGCTTACAGCGCCTCTCATCCCCCTCTCTCGCTTTTTTCCCTCTCTCGCTCTCCCCTTTCCCCCGACCTCCAGTGTGGGAGCCGGTGTCACTAAAGCGCGTGCTAGCAGCATCATCCCCAGGCGCCCTCTCCGCTTACAGTGACTCTTCTCCCCCTCTCCCCGCCTCCCCCCGCTCTCCCCTTTCTCGCCTACTTCCAGTGTGGGAGCTGGTGTCACTAAAGCGCGTGTTAGCAGAATCATCCCCTGGCGCCCTTTCCGCTTACAGTGACACCGAGGATCCGTGCAGTGGGGCGTGGGGCGACAGAGTAACATGCAACGAGGCGGGTCAGATCATCACACTGTGAGTATGGACATATCACTCGCTCTTTCTGTTAGCAAAATGTCCCTGGCGCTCTCTCACCTATTGGGACTCGGGGATCCGCGCAGTAGGATGTGGTGAGGAGTCAGGGTCACGTGCAACAGTCCAAATTAGATCCCCATTCTGTAAGTGGGTGTTCTTTGGGTGTAGGCTAACGGTGTTCTTGGGTAGGTCCTACTTAGTAACGTTCTTATACCTCTCAAAGGGTGATTGTAGAAGCTTTACAGAAACTTCACAGCGGAGGGGCGTACAGTTCCCTTACCAGGCACGGAGCCTTTGAGCCGACTCACAACTCCCCCACACTACACTCCACCTCCACCCCCTTCCCTCATCCGTTCCCCCTTACCTGTCCCCCTTTCCCCCCGGCCCCCTCTCCCCCATCAACCGCAGAAACTTTACACCAGGGGGGTTTACAGGGCCCTTACCAGGCAAGGAGCTGTCGAAAAGACTCTAATATCCCACTCACCCCAACCACCACCCTCCTCCTCCCCTCACTCCCGCCCCACCGCCTGCACCCGTCCCCCCACCCGTCCGCCCCCGGCTCCCTTCCCTCCCCCAACCACAGAAACTTCACACGGAGGGACTTACAGGACCCTTACCAGGCAAGGAGCTGTCGAGAAGACTCTAATATCCCACTCACCCCAACCACCCACTTCCTCCTCCCTTCACTTACTCCCCACCGCCTGCACTCGTCCCCCCACCTGTCCGCCCCCGGCTCCCTCCCCCCAAGCACAGGAACTGCGGAGGGGCTTACAGGGCCCTTACCAGGCAAGGAGCTGTCAAGGTGACCCGCAATGCTCCACACCCCATCCCCACCCCCTCTCCACCCCCTCCCTCCACCCGTCTCCCTTCCACCTCCCCACCCAACCACAGGAACTTCACAGCGGAGGGGCTGACAGGGCCCTTACCAGGCAAGGAGCTGTCAAGATTTCGCACTCTACAAACCCTGTGAGTGGTTCAGTGTGCTGTAAATGTGGTGCAGAGGAACTGAGAGTAGTGATGAGTGGTTTAGCTTAGAGGGGTCTTGAAGGAACGCTCTTATAAGGAGCTGGAACAGTGTGGTTGTGAATGGTCAGGTCATGCATGCAGGTTCAATGTTCACTTTACATGCGATCTTCTCTTGAGTTGACTGAAATGTCGAGCTAGCGCAGTCTGGATGTGAGTGGTCATGTCATGCAGGTTCAGTGTTCACTTTACATGCGATCTTCTCTTGTCACTCCTCTGCATCTGCTCCCCTCTGCAGTAATTTTGGGCAGAACAGTTTCACGGGGAAGATTCCCCCGGAAATGGCATCACTAACCTCCCTAACCTATCTGTACGTCTTCTTTTTACACCCAACTTGTCACGCGCACCTACCAGCCCAACCATTGTCCCTCTGATCACTCCCCCCCCACCTCTCTCATATGCAATATTGCCTGCTCCGAATGTAACAAGTCCCCCCACACACCCCTTCCCTCTTTCACCGAATCTCGTTGCAGGTCTCTGGCGTTTAACAACCTCACGTGCAAAGTCCCCTCGTGGTGGCTTGGCTTCTCATCGAAACTTACTCCCCCTCACCCCCTTCCCCTCTTCTCCCCCTCCCCCCCTCCCCTCACGTCTCTGCAGGTCTCTGGCGTTTAACAACCTCACAGGCAAAGTCCCCTCATGGCTAGGTCTCTCCTTCCTCAACCTCGTCGAGCTGTAAGGAGTGCAATGCGGTGATGTGCGGTGTAATGCGGAGCAGTGGGGTGCAGTGCAATGCAGTGCTTCTACTTTCGAGGCATTGTAAAAGTTGTCTTGAGTCCGATTTCTATCAGCATGCATAAATTCTCTCCCCATTTCTCGTGCTGCTGCGTCTGGCCCCTGTTGCAGGCACCTGAGCAACAACCTGCTGGAGAAACCTCTACCTGAGAGCATAGGCGGCCTTCAGGTGTTGCGAACAATGTGAGAGAGAGTGACATGACGCATCCTTCAGAGCATGTGCATTCGTCGGCACATGAAGCGATTGGCATGGCATCGACCACATCTAATTTGGGTCGTATTTTAGAATGCCCAAAAGCGTCCCAGAAACAACTAAGACGTAGCAGTTTGGTCGAGGTTTTGGATCTAACAATGGCATGTCTATCCATGAATCATGTGTGGCTCCGTGCGCTCGTTTCATGTGCCATGTGTTGACTTAATGTGCCACCATCACCACGTATGCATGTGCCTCCATACGTTCATCATGTGGCCTTGCCATGCATTCATGTATGTGCTACCGTGCATGCATGCATGCATGCCATCCTCCTTACTGCAACAGGGACCTGAGTCGGAACAGGCTGACAGGCAGCATCCCTCAGAGCATCCATGGGTGCAACGCTGCCACTTACCTGTAAGTTAAGGGATGGGATGGGATGGGCGTGGGGATGTGGATGGGAGGGATGGACTGAGAGGGATGGGCTCAGATCTTGCCACAACAACAGGGTCTTAATTGTTGGAGCAGACTGACTCACAGGCAGCAATCCAGTCCAACCCCCAGAGCATCGGTGCCACGCTGTCACGCGCCTGTGATAGATTGATTGGGCCGGGATGTGGGGATGGGAGAGGCTGAGGGGGATGGGGTTAGAGCTTGTCACAACAGGGTCTTTTGCGCAAGTGCAGGTTGACAGGAAGCATCCCTCAGAGCATCCTCGGATGCAACGCCGCCATATGCGAGAGAGGGGACAGGCTCAATGTTGGGGAGTTGGGATGAGTGCTTGTATCGTTCTCAAGAATGATAAAAGGTGATGCAAGGCCGCCACACGCCCTTGAGAGAGGGGAAGTGCAGGGATGTGGGGATGGGAGGGATGGGGTGAAATTTGTGCAAGTTTGGGTAGACATGCTACTATCACATTTCTGTCAGCTGTTACAGGAGTCCTGATATTGCTCATTCCGCCATCAACCATGCATGTCATGGTTTGCTTTTCGTTCATTTTGGATTGCACACCCTGCTCCTGCTTCATGAATCATGCACTCATCATTGCAGACCGTGATGTTAGTCTCATAAGGATCACTTTCTGCTCAATTTGTATCACAATTACGTGTCTCACAAGCGCAGGAGTCTTGCGTTCAACTCCCTCACCGGCACCATCCCAGCGTCTATCGGGTCAATGAGGAGCCTGCAGGCACTGTGAGTGAGCAAGCATTACCTTTTTCCAACACCCTTTCCAATGCTGCTGATCCAACTCTCCCTTGCTTCCCATTAATGAAGATAGGATGGTCCCTTATCTCCGGTGATTTCCAATCGAACCAACTGCCTGACTCCATCCTGCAAGAAATCGGGCAAGCCACCACCCAAACCCAAGTGACTATCACGCTGCTGCTGCTGCTGCAACTCTCCCTTGCTTCCCGTGATGCTGCTCCCCCCCCCACCTCCAGTGACCTTCAGAGCAACCAACTCTCAGGATCCATACCGAAAGAAATTGGGCAGGACACCACTCTCACTCTCTTGTAATGCCCCTTCACCTCATCCATCTTGCTTGTGTCACATTCCTCTTAATGCTTCTGCATGCTGACTCCTTATCTTTCTGCCCGTCTGCCTGATTGCTTGATTGCTTGATTTCTTGTTTGCTAGTTTGCTTCGATGCTTACTGCCCAATATCTGCCTGCTTGCAGATCTCTCAACAGCAACCTCCTTTCGGGGCCAATCACGCCTTCTCTCGGCAAGCTGCCTCTTCTTCGTAACTTGTGAGTCTCACCGTACCGCACTCCACTGCACACATCTGCTTGTGCCACTTTGAAGTTCTGCTTTTTGATTAGATGCATTCCAAGTGCTGCATGTCTACCACAGCCGCCTTAATCCAGGGGCGTGTGCCTTAATCCGGGGGCGACCCTTAATCCGGGGGTGACCCTTAATCCGGGGGTGACCCGTAATCCGGGGGTGACCCGTAATCCGGGGATGACCCTTAATCTGGGGGTGACCCGTAATCCGGGGGTGACCCTTAATCCGGGGGCGACCCTTAATCCGGGGGTGACCCGTAATCCGGGGGTGACCCGTAATCCGGGGGTGACCCGTAATCCGGATGTGACCCTTAATCCGGGGGTGACCCTTAATCCGGGGGTGACCCTTAATCCGGGGGTGACCCTTAATCAGGGGGTGACCCGTAATCCGGGGGTGACCCGTAATCCGGGGGTGACCCGTAATCCGGGGGTGACCCTTAATCCGGGGATGACCCTTAATCCGGGGGTGACCCGTAATCCGGGGGTGACCCTTAATCCGGGGGCGACCCTTAATCCGGGGGTGACCCGTAATCCGGGGGTGACCCGTAATCCGGGGGTGACCCGTAATCCGGGTGTGACCCTTAATCCGGGGGTGACCCTTAATCCGGGGGTGACCCTTAATCCGGGGGTGACTTTTAATCCGGGGGTGACCCGTAATCCGGGGGTGACCCGTAATCCGGGGGTGACCCGTAATCCGGGTGTGACCCTTAATCCGGGGGTGACCCTTAATCCGGGGGTGACCCTTAATCCAGGGGTGAACCTTAATCCGGGGATGACCCTTAATCCGGGGGTGACCCTTAATCTGGGGGTGACCCTTAATCCGGGGGTGACCCTTAATCCGGGGGTGACCCTTAATCCACGGGTGACCCTTAATCCGGGGTTGACCCTTAATCCGGGGGTGACCTGTAATCCGGGTGTGACACGTAATCCTGGGGTGACCCGTAATCCGGGGGTGACCCTTAATCCGGGGATGACCCTTAATCCGGGGGTGACCCGTAATCCGGGGGTGACCCTTAATCCGGGGGCGACCCTTAATCCGGGGGTGACCCGTAATCCGGGGGTGACCCGTAATCCGGGGGCGACCCTTAATCCGGGGGCGACCCTTAATCCGGGAGGGACCCGTAATCCGGGGGTGACCCGTAATCCGGGGGTGACCCTTAATCCGGGGGTGACCCGTATTCCGGGGGTGACCCTTAATCCGGGGGTGACCCTTAATCCGGGGGCGACCCGTATTCCGGGGGTGACCCTTAATCCGGGGGTGACCCGTATTCCGGGGGTGACCCTTAATCCGGGGGTGACCCTTAATCCGGGGGTGACCCTTAATCCGGGGGTGACCCGTAATCCGGGGGCGACCCTTAATCCGGGGGCGACCCTTAATCCGGGGGGGAACCTTAATCCGGGGGTGACTCGTAATCCGGGGGTGACCCGTAATCCGGGGGCGACCCTTAATCCGGGAGGGACCCGTAATCCGGGGGCGACCCGTAATCCGGGGGTGACCCTTAATCCGGGGGTGACCCTTAATCCGGGGGTGACCCTTAATCCGGGGATGACCCTTAATCCGGGGATGACCCTTAATCTGGGGGCGATTTTAATCCGGGGGGGACCCGTAATCCGGGGGTGACCCTTAATCCGGGGGTGACCCTTAATCCGGGGATGACCCATAATCCGAGGGTGACCCTTAATCCGGGGGTGACCCTTAATCCGGGGGTGACCCTTAATCCGGGGGTGACCCTTAATCCGGGGGTGACCCTTAATCCGGGGGTGACCCTTAATCCGGGGGTGACCCTTAATCCGGGGGTGACCCTTAATCTGGGGGCGCGCCTCAATCCAGAAGTGCGCCTCAATTCAGGGGGCCGCACCTCGTTGAACCTCAATAAAGCGCTTTGAACCGAGTTTCACCACGCCATCCTGCTTTGTTTGATGTCCATATGCATGCACCCATGGTGCATGCATGTAGAAACCCGTGCTTAGTATGTGCTGCTATGTTCCGCTTACTTCTTCTACGCAACCTTTCACCTTTATTACATTTATTGTGATTTGATTTTCCACCTGCCCCACTTCTCCTGGGCAGGACTCTCTCCAACAACCGTCTAGAAGGCCCCATTCCAGAGTCCCTTCAATACCTGCCCCTCCTCGCTCACCTGTACGCACTCCCATTTTTACGGCCATCTTGTACAGTCACAGTGCTCACTCGTGAGACTTCTCACTCCAACGTCCACCCTACCAGTAATGAGAGTCATAGCACGGAGATGTACGACTCTTTTTGGACGTATTCTCATTAGATTCTGAATTTACACTCGAGTGTACAATTGTTCTCTTCTCGTATCATTCCTGTCATCGCCCTCTCTTACCCACCCACTTATCCCACCCAACCAGTGACACGAGCCATAACAGCTCTCTCTACGGGATCCTTGGGTGTTCCCACTCTCACATCCATCCCTCTCACCACCCACCCTTCCTTCCCCCACCTGCTTAACCTCCCTGTGACGTCCCTGTCTCTGCCTGTTCTCACATGCCCCTCACCGCCCTCCCTTCCCCCACCTACTCCACCCTTCCGGGCCTACCCTACTACCAGTGACACGAGCCATAACACAGGGATCAACGGGTCTATACCAGGATCGCTGGCTGTCTTGACCACACTCCAGACACTGTATGTTCCCTCTCTCTTTCTCTCTCTTCTTGTTTCTCATACCACCACACATGTGACTCGCATGTCTGCGTGTGAACTGTGTTCTGTATGTCCCTCCCTTCAACTTCCCTTGCTGGTTCACTCCTCTTCTCCCCCCTACAAAAAGCGACTGGTCCTCTTGCCAACTGTAATGAAACAAAACGAGAAAAAAAAATGTGCCTCAAATATCGTCTATCTCTCCCCCATCCCCCCCCCCCCCACATCCTCTCCCCGTCAGGTCCCTTCAGTACTGCTCTCTCTCCTGTTCCTTTCCTTCCTCACCCATCCTCCCTCTGCAGTGAGATGATATTTTACCCGCCTAGAAAAACGTCCATCTCTCCCCCATCCATCCCCCCTTTCTTTCCCCCCATCAGGTCCCTCCAGTACTGCTCCCTCTCCGGCTCACTCCCTCCCTCCCTCACCCTCCTCCCGCTCCTCTCCTCCCTCCACCTCTCCCACAACCTCCTCTCGGGCCCTCTCCCTCCCCTCCTCTCCTCGCTCTCCACCTCACCACCCTCCACCTCGCACACAACCTCTTTTCGGGTGTAATCCCTGACCCAATCTGTGATATGCCCATAGTTGCTGACCTGGATCTGTCGGCCAATCAGCTGCAAGGAACCATCCCTCCCTGCCTCGTCGAGATGCCCACGCTCCGGATTCTGTAAGTGCAGCACAGTGCGCCGCCGAGCCTTCGCCGAACCTCGTGCGCCGAGCCTTGTGCGCCGAACCTGGGGTGCCATGCCCATCTGACGGATCTGTCTCAGTGCAAGTCCAGATCCACGCTCCGGATTCTGTAAGTTTTGAGTGCGCCGAGCCTTGTGCGCCGAACCTGGTGCCATGCTCCGGATTCTGTAAGTCCAGTCCAACAATTTTGAGCTGAGAATTTCCCCTAACGAGACCTGTCCTGTGTGCCATCTCAAGGGGAAAAAGCTGTGAGTTACGTCCTTATTTGCATCCCATCCCATCACTCCTCTTGGCCATCTCACCCTTCCTCCACCACCTCTCCTCTCCTCTCCTCTCCCTCCCCATCAGGTCAGTTGCATTTAACAACCTGTCAGGGCCAGTTCCTGAATTACCCGACGGCAGCGAGCTACAATTCATGTATACCCCTTTATGGCCTACAATTCGTGTACACCTCTTACTTTACAGGCTACAGTTTATGTAAACCTCTTACGTTATGAGCTACAGTTCTGTTCGTGGGCGCCGCTTACTATTCTCTCATATAGTTTTCAACCTTATCGTTCTGGCTATTCGTTCCCCCTCTCTTCCCTCTCCTACCTACAATCACGACTGTCTTGAATAACGCGCCTCAGAAGGTATCCACCCTAGCCTATCCTCTCATGCAACCAACCAGTCACTCCAAGCAACCCTCTGCCCCTCTCTCCTCTCCCCCGCACTTCACCAACCAGCTACGACCACAACTGTCTGGACGACGCACCAGACCAGGCATGCACTGCAGGCCCTTGTGATGTTACTTATCACTACAGGCAACCCCTTCCTCCCCGTTCTCCTCCCCTCTGTTCTTCCCCCTCTTCCCACCCCCCAGCTACGACCACAACTGTCTGGACGATGCGCCCGAGGAAGCGTGCGCTGGAGGCCTCCATGCCACCCCCTATGTGCCTGCAGGCCTTCATGTTGCCACCCAGTCACACTATAGGCAAACCTCTCCTCCTCCTCCTCCTCCTCCTCCTCCTCCTCCTCCTCCTCCTCCTCCTCCTCCTCCTCCTCCTCCTCCTCCTCCTCCTCCTCCCTCCTCCTCCTCCCCTCTCTCTTCCCTCTTTCCCCTCCCACCCCCCAGCTACGACCACAATTGTCTCGACGATGCGCCAGACCAGGCATGCGCTGCAGGCCTCCATGCCACCCCCTATGTGCCTGCTACCTCTGCTCCCAGCAACAGTAGCAACAGCGACACCAACAGCAGCACCTGTGCGTATTCCGTGCATGTAAAAGCACCTGCACCATCATGCTGCCACCCCTTATGTGCCTGCTACCCCTGCTCCCAGCAACAGCAGCGACAGCAGCAGCAACACTACTTGTACGTTCTGCGCGCATGTCAAAGCATGTTTTCAGTCGACTCAAAACACGCATGAGCAGGCATGCGCTGCAGGCCTCCATGCCACGCCTTATGTGCCTGCTACCTCTGCTCCCAGCAGCAACAGCAGCAACAGCGACACCAGCAGCAGCACCTGTGCATATTCCGTGCATGTAAAAGCACCTGTACCATCATGCTGCCACGCCTTATGTGCCTGCTACCTCTGCTCCCAGCAGCAACAGCAGCAACAGCGACACCAGCAGCAGCACCTGTGCGTATTCTGTGCATGTAAAAGCACCTGTACCATCATGCTGCCACCCCTTATGTGCCTGCTGCGCCTGCTCCCAGCAGCAACAGCAGCAGCAGCACCAGCAGCAGCACCTGTGCGTTCGCCATGCCTCAAAGCTCAGAGCGTCACATACACTGTTCGTTGACACCCCTTATGTGCCTCCTACCTCTGCTCCCAGCAGCAACAGCAGCAGCACCACCTCGGGCATACTTCCTTCTAGCACTGCTAACATTATGGTGGTCCGTCTTGTGCTAGTCGGCTTCTCTTCGGTTGTCCTCTCTTCTCCTTTCCTTTCCCCCCTCCACCCACCAGCATCCATACCTCCTTGGGCATACGTCCTGCTAGCGCTGCTAACATCACGGGTGGTCCGTCTTGTGCTATTCGACCTGTTGTCTCTCCTCTCTTCAATCCTCCTCTCTCTACTCCCCTCCTCTTCCCTTCCCCACCCACCAGCGTCCATACCAACTCTAGCATACGTTCTGCTGGCGCTGCTCATCATCACAGTGGTCTTTGTCGTCCTCTTCTCTCTCTAATCCTCCTCTATTTGCCTTTCCTCCTCTCCTCTTCCCTCCCATACACCACCAGCGTCCATACCAACTCTAGCATACGTCCTGCTGGCACTTCTCATCATCACAGTGGTCTTTGTCGCCCTCTTCTGCCTCTCTTCAATCCTCCTCTACTTTGCCTTCCCTCCTCTCCTCTATTTTCCAATACACCACCAGCGTCCATCCCAACTCTAGCATACGTCCTGCTGGCGCTGCTCATCATCACAGTGGTCTTTGTGTTGTCCTCTTCTTTCTCTAATCCTCCCCTTCTCTTCCCTTCCTCACACCACCAGCGTCCATCCCAACTCTAGCATACGTCCTGCTAGCGCTGCTCATCATCACCGTGGTCTTTGTTGTCCTCTTTGGCCTCTTCGGTACGGTACATCGCATCAAAGTGAAGGCCAGCAAGAAGAGGCAGATGAGTGAGTGAAGAAAAGGGGTTTTGAATTAAAATTGCTTGTCCCGTGAGTGTTAGTATATTGTTGTGCTCCTTGGCAAGGTACATCACATCAAAGTGAAAACCAGCAAGAAGAAGCAGATGAGTGAGTGACGCAAAGAGGGCATGAGATACATGTGGCTTTGTCCCTTGAGTGTTTGTGTTGTGCGTTGTGCTCTTAGCCTCTTCGGCCTCTTCGGCGCCAAGCATCTCATCAAAGTGAAAGCCAGCAAGAAGAAGCAGATGAGTGAGTGAGGGATCGCATGTGTCTTCGTGTATGTGCAGTGCGGGTGATGCTTGCGTTGCATGTTGCTGCCGCTGTGCTCGTCTCTCTCTTGCTCGCCACATACTGCTTCACTGTAAAGCCCATCAGTCTGAGCTCTCGAAGTCATTTTTGCACACTGCAGAGGTGGTGATGAGAGAGACACATTCTGGTGTACATTCCTGTTCCGCCACTCCCCATCCCCATCCCCCTCCCGTTGCCTGTTTCCCCTCCCACCAGCCCACCTCCCCGAGTTCTCAGTGTCACGCCTTCGAACCGCAACCAGAGGCTCGAAGCATGGTAGAGGCAGCTTCCCTCTTTCCCGTCAGCCCATCCCCGCCCTCTCCTTCCCCCTTTACCCCTCCCGCCTGCCAGCCCACCTCCCCGAGTTCTCAGTGTCACACCTTCGTGCCACAACCAGAGGCTTTTCCACGGAGCACAGAAGAGGCATCTTCCCTCGTCCCCATCAACCTATTCCACCAGCCTATCCTCCTATCCCAGAAGAGGCATCTTTCCTTCCCCCCCTTCTCCCACCTGCCAGCCCATTTGCCTGAGTTCTCAGTGTCACGCATTCGCGCCGCAACCAGAGGCTTTTCCACAGAGCACGGTAGAGGGAGCTTCCCACTTCCCCGTCACCTCTTCCCCTCACCCGCCCCCCCCCCCCCCCCCCTCCACCCCACCAGCCCACCTGCCAGAGTTCTCAGTGTCACGCCTTCGCGTCGCGCCAGGTGCTTTTTCACGGAGCACGGTAGAGGGACCTTCCCACTTCCCCATCAACCTATCCCATCAACCTATTCTCCCCTTTCCTTCCCTCCCTCCTCATAACCACCAGCCCATCTGCCCGAGTTCTCAGTGTTTTGCAGCGCAACCAGAGGCTTTTCCACGGAGCATGGTAGAGGGAGCTTCCCTCTTCCCCTCAGCATTACCCCCTATCCTTCCCCGCCCCTCTCCCACCTGCCAGCCCACCTGCCCGAGTTCTCAGTGTCACGCCTCCGCGCCACGACCAGAGGTTTTTCTACAGAGCACGGAAGAGGCAGCTTTGGGACTGCTTATATCGCGTACGACCTCTTTCCAGAGGCCAGCGGAGGAGCGGAGGGAGGAAGGGGGCGTGGCGGTGCATCGCATGGGCATGGGCATGGTTACATGCAGGCGAATTCCCATGCCATGCCACCTGCTATTCCCAATCCGGAGAGGCATGGGCTCCTGAAGCGAGCTCGCGACCCTGACAGTAAGTGGATACTTCAGTCGACTGAAAAAGGAGGGAGGAAGTGGGCAGGGAGCAGCACACGGGCATGGGCGTGGGCATGAGCGTGGGCATGGGCATGGGCATGGGTATGGGCATGCAGGCGAATTCCCATGCCATGCCACCTTTGATTCCCAACCCAGAGAGACACGGGATCCTCAAACGAGCTGGAGACCCTGACAGTGATTGGTTTTTTTTCTTTATCTTTGTTCGTGTCATGCTCTGCTCATCCTCCTCCTCCTCCTCATCCTCATCCTCCTCCTCCTCATCCTCATCCTCATCCTCATCCTCATCCTCATCCTCATCCTCATCCTCATCCTCATCCTCATCCTCATCCTTATGCCATGCCTAAATCCGATCCGTTGTTGCCAACCCTCCTTGCCATTGCACTCCATTTCCCCTTGTCACTCCCTTTCCCCTTGTTACTCCCTTTCCCTTACCATCCCCTTCCCCCTCAACCCTCTCGTCCCTGTTGCTCCCTCCACCCGCCTTTTGTCCCCCCCACTGCAACATCCCTGCACCTTTCCCACAGGCTTCTCGGAGTCTGCCTTCTGCCAGAAGGTGGCACTGCTGGCAGCAGCAAGCAACAGCCATCCATGCATGGTGCACGTGAGGGGGTTCTGTGCAAATGCCTTCCATCCCCCCCACTGCAACATCCCTGCACCTTTCCCACAGGCTTCTCGGAATCTGCCTTTTCTCAGAAGCCTGCAGGTTGCACTGCTAGCAGCAGCGAGCAACAGCCATCCGTGCATGGTGCACGTGAGGGGGTTCTGTGCGAATGCCTTCCGTCCCCCCCACTTTACCTTCCCTGCACCTTTCCCACAGGCTTCTCGGAATCTGCCTTCTGCCAGAAGGTAGCGCTGCTAGCAGCAGCAAGCAACAGCCACCCGTGCATGGTGCACGTGAGGGGGTTCTGTGCGAATGGCGGGGAGAGGATGGTGGTTCTTGAGCTGGTTACAGGGGGCACGCTGCGGCAACGCATGATCCGTGAGTGTCTATGTCGCATCAACTTATCCCTCGTGTCAAAAGGTTGGTCGTGCTTGAGAGGCGGGGAGAGGATGGTGGTTCTCTGCAGCAACGCATGATCCGTGAGTGCCTCAATTCATCCCATTTCTTTGGGTCAAAATGGTGATGGTGTATATTTCTTGCTACTGGCTGCAACAATGCGGCTAATCTCACACCTCCTCAATTCTCATTTCCCACCTCGTTTTCTTCTCTCTGCCCGGATCTTGACAGGAGGTGACCTGGACGCGCTGACGTGGCAGGAGAGGGTGCAAGTGGCAGTGGACGTGGCGGCTGCGTTGTATCACCTTCACTACAATCACACGTCGCCCTTCGTGCACCGCGCTGTGACGTCCTCCAATGTGCTTCTAACGGAAGACATGACAGCCAAGGTAATGTATTTCTTAGTCAACCCTCTGACAGATGTTTCCCACTGTTTCGCTGGCTAGTGAAGCATGTTTCTCCCCGTCTGCCCCTCCCCTCCCCTGCCAGCTGTCGGACCTGGGTTCTGAGTCGCTCAAAACAACCCTCTGACGGATGTTTTCCTCTGTTTCGCTGGCGAGTGAAGCGAGGGTTGACATCTTCTGAGACGTCTCAAAAGTCGCTGGCTAGTGAAGCGAGGGTTGACATCTGCCTAACGAGCGTTGGTTGTCATACGTTTCCCACCCCCAACGCCCATAATTCCCATGCTTCCCCCGCCTTTCCATTCCCGCTGCCCCCTCTTTCCCCCAGTCCCCGCACCCTCTTTCCCATCTGCCCCTCCAATTGTTGTTATCTCAAACCCCACCACACCCCCCTCCATTCCCCTTTCCCTTACCAGCTGTCGGACCTAGGTTTGGCCCGAGGCAGCTCCGATGCTTCGGGGTTTCGTCCGTTGCAGTCGTCCCTTGGAGTGGCGACGACTGCGGACGTCCTGGCTTATGGCGTGCTGCTACTGGAGCTCATAACGGGGCAGACTGCAGATGGAACAACACAAATCGTTGCGACAGTGAGTGCCGTTTGATTTGTATTGAGTCATCTTGTAAAGGAAATGGCTTATGGGGTGCTGCTGCTGGAGCTTATAACGGGGCCGACGGCAGACGGGACAACACGGATTGGTGCTACAGTAAGTGTTCTTTTACTTGTTATTCGTATTGAGTCGGCTTGTAAAGGCGGGATTGGCTTATGGCGTGCTGCTACTGAAGCTTATAACGGGGCAGACTGCAGATGGCACAACACAGATCGTCGCTACAGTGAGTGTTTCTGGGTTCTTGTAACCAGCAATTGTAGTGTGAGATGTTGCTGCTATGCTATGGGTCTGCTTTTGTTGTGACTATGCTGCTCGTTTCCCTCTACTTGATCCCCTCCTGTGCCCTTTGCTCAGGCAACCCCATTCCTGAGCGACCTGCTGCCTGCAAATGATGCCTCTCATGTCAGACGCCCAGCTGAAAGGAGAGTGTTTTGAGACGTCTCGAAACACGCCCAATTGAAAGGAGAGCACCTTTCAGGCATAACAGCATGATGCTCACTCCTCTGGTTTTTCTTCGTTCCCTCTTTCCCTTCTTTCTTCTGCTGCCCCCTTCCCTTCTCATGCAGTCGGCGCCATTCCTGGACGATCCACAAATGATGCCTCTCATGGCAGATGCGCAGCTGGGAGGGCACACCTGCAGATGATGCCGCTGACGCCTCCCCCTGCTGCTCCCCACCTGCTTTCCCTGCTTGCTCTCCACCCTTCCCTCCTCCCTCGTGCAGTCAGCACCATTCCTGGACGATCCACAGATGATGCCTCTAATGGCAGACGCTCAGTTGGGAGGGCACTTTGACCGGCCACAGCTGGAGGTGCTGGCATCGCTGGCTCGTGCATGTGTGCTGGTGAGACGTCTGAGGGCATGGCATGTGTTCGTGCTTGGCATGTGTATCTAGAGGCCTCTATGCCACCTTCCCCTAAATGGGAGGGCACTTTGACCGATCACAGCTGGAGGTGCTGGCATCGCTGGCGTGCGCATGTGTACTGGTGAGACGTTTTTTAGGACATGGCCCCACGCCTTTGTCTTCTTGGTGCGCATTCCTGGTGGGGTAGTGAGAAACCGCGAGCCAGCACGGTGAGCTGTTCCCATTCCCCGTGCTGTATTACCCACCCCGTCTCGGCTTGTCTCACCATGCTGTATGCATCTCGCCATGTCACCATGTGGTTCCATGTTGGCATATCTCCCCCTCTGTACCATCCCTTGCCCCATGCTGAGGGGGAGATATGCCATGTCTCACCATGCTGTATGTATCTTGCCATGTCACCATCCCCACGTCTGGTTCCACGTTGGTATATCTCCCCCTCTGTACCATCCCTTGCCCCATGTGCCCACACAGGACGACGCTGCCGCCCGGCCCACGATGCACGAGATACGGCAGGCGTATGAGCAGCACCTTCAGGTGGATCCTCAGGTGTTTGAGCCCCTGGACGTGGAACCTCAGGTGCTAGACTCCCTGGAACCAGACCTGGGGGATGTGCCACTGGGCCATGTTGGGACCATGGAGGGTCATGCAGATGCTGCCGCTGGTGATGGTGCTTTTGGTGCTGCTTCGGACATTGTCGCTGCTTCTACTTCTCCTGCTCCTTCTCCCCCTGCTGCTTCTGAGGCATCTCAATATTCCACTAGCAACTGGGCATCGAAAATTGTCGCCTCCATGAGTGCTGCTGCTGCTGCTCCTGCTGGGGGTGCTTATATCGAAGGGCATGCTGGGCAGGGGGATGCAGACAGCAGCGTTCTTCTAGAGAGCGGATTTTCTGCCCCACCTCCTAAGGGGGGAGGCAAGACCAAGGGAAAGCAACGACAAGGGGCAAGAGGGAAAGGAGGTGGGAGAGGAATGGGCGGGGAGGCAGGGGGGGGTGTAGGGTCTACTGTAGCAGGGGTAGCAGGAGTGGGAGGAGCAGCGGCGGGGGCATGGGCGGCGGTGGGGGGTGTGGTAGAGAGTGTGTCGAGAGGAGTGTGTGTGGGGGTGCCTGGGAGTGTGAGTGAGGTGAGGGATGCCGAGGCTGCTTCACTGCTTATATCGAGACCAACAATGGAAAATGGTGGCGGATATTGATAGGCCAGCCAGCTAGGTGATATGATGTTACCATCATAAGGATGACCAACCAATCTTTCTGCCTTGTACAATATCATTAGCAATATGAATGGTGCTTATTGCTTATCTTAATGCCTTGTTTTTTATGAGAGCCACTATTGCCCCTATAGTAAGGGGAAGATGGTGCCCTGTGATTCACCAGAGGCACTTCCAGAAAAGCATGCTGCAGCACATTGTTGAGTGCATTCAGCTGGTAAAAAGGGCTACCTCTTTTAGAAACACATCAATTCCCATGCTGCATGCAAAATAACAGGCTATTTTCATACGTACTCCTGCTCCCCAAATTCCCAACCCAACGTCCAACCCGCCACACCAATGTTGCCAATCAATGCATCCTACTCCCGTACTAGTCATCATCACTCTCCTCCCAGCCTCCGCCATCACCCCTCTCATAGTCACTGTCCAAGGCATATTCATGCGCAATATCATCATCCTCACCACCACTCTCCCCTTCCTCACCACCACTCTCCTCATCCTCATCAACACTCTCCTCCTCTTCATCACCACTCTCCTCATCGTCTCCACCACTCTCCTCCTCCTCCGATGCCTCACTGCCCGCCTCTTCCCTTTCCGCGTCCCCTCCCTCCCCCTCCTCCTCCTCCCCTTCCCCCTCCTCCCCCTCCCCCTCCTCCTCCCCCTCCTCTCCCTCCTCTCTCCTTGCAGGAACCCCTCTCGTGTCTCGCCTGGGCAGCAAAGGGCATTCAATGATGCGGCACTCCCGCAACGACGGCATTTTCCGAAGAAAAGAGGGCAGGCGAGTCAGCTTCTTGCAAACGCACACCTCCAGCTCCTCAAGCCTAGGCAGCCGAGTAAACGAATCTGGCAAGCTTCGCAACTGCTTCAGTCCCCGAATCAGCAACTTCTGGAGGGAAGACAGCTTCCAGATGTCATCCGGAATGTTTGAGATTCCGAGCTTGATAAGAGTGCAGGACCGTAGCCTCGGTAGATTCACAAACGACGCTGGAAGCTGCATCAGCTTGTAGCAATTGATAATCTCCAGAGTCTCGAGCATTTTCAGCTGCCCAAGAGACTCGGGCAGCTGTCGCATTCTCGAGAGGTAGACCAGCTGCAAGACACGCAGCCCTGCCAGCCCTCCAAGGGTCTCGGGCAGTGCTTTCAGATTAGAAGACCAATCAACCTTAAGCCTTTGCAGCTGAGAGAGTTGAGAGATGGAATCAGGGAGAGATTCAAGCCTGTTCATTTCCAGGAGCTCCAACTGCGTCAGAGAGGAGAGGCGACCGAGGGATGGTCCAAAAGACTCAACATTGAGCTTCTTAATCTTGAGGCTCTGAATGGAAGGAAGCGAAGGCCTGCTGCTGCTGCGGCTGGTGCTGCCGGTGCCGGTCACAAAACCCCTGGCAATACGTCTAAGCACCCTCTCATCGCCTAGCACCGCACTTAACCCACCACATGACCGCACCTCCAAAGCCTGTAAACGGGGCAGGTCAAGAAGCCACGGAGGGAGACGTGTCAGGCCGTTCATTTTGAAGATCTTGACCTCCTCGAGTGCATCCAGCCGTCCAATCCTCTCAGGCAGGACCGCTACTTTAGGGCAGTTTCCCACTTCCAGGCTGGTGAGGGAATCAACGCCCCAGAAGGAGGCAGGAAGGGCGGAGAGGCGTGGCATAGAATCAAGCGACAGCTGCTTGAGGCTCTTCAAGCAACCAAAGCCGTCTAGCAGCGTGCCCCTGAAGCGCTGCGCGCGCTCAATCTTGAGGGTTTCGAGGGAGGTCAGGCAGGAGAAGGACGGAGGGAGGTGGGTGAGAGCGGTGCAGTCCAGTAGAAGCAGATGGCGCAAGGAGTGCAGACCCTTTCCCATGCCGTCAGGCAGCACTGTGAGGCGCGGACAATTGTTAATCTCCAGGCGCTCGAGAGAAGACAGCTGGGAGAGGGAGTCTGGGAGTTGCTGCAGTTGCCCACACTCCAAAAGTTTTACCTCCCGAAGACCTGCCAGCTGCCCGAAGGATTCAGGCAGATGAGTGAGCAGGGGAATGCGCTCCATGCCCAGCTTCTCCAAAGAAAGCAGCTGCCCGAACTCCTGGGGCAGATGTGTAAGGTGTTGAAGGTTAAAGAGGAAAAGCTCTTGAAGTGTGGTAACCAGGGCGATGGAATCAGGTAAGGCTGTGAGACTTTCCAGATTTAAGGCGAGCGTCCGAAGCGTTGACAGCTGCCCGAAATCTTCGGGCAGCAATGAGAGTTGTCTTATGTTAAGGTTGAGGTTGGTGAGTGCAGGCAGGCGGGGAAGAGACACGGGCAGCGACGTGATGTCACTGCACTCCTTGATGGTTAGAACCTTCGCTCGCTGCAAATGCTCCAGAGCAGCAATCAGGCGGCGCATTCCCGTGACTTCAAGGAGAGTAATGGTTTCCAGAGCCCCCAAGCCACTGAAATCAACCCGCGACGGAGGAAGGATCGTGCTATTTAGGATTTCCAGAGTGGCGAGACAAGAAAGCTTGGTGAAAGAGGCCGGCAGCTGCAACGCCGAGCAGTAACTCAGAGTAAGACGGTTCAGTGCGGAAAGCTGCCCGAAAGAATCTGGAAATGACGTCAACCGGCACATGTGGAGCTGCAGCCTCGTTAAGGAAACCAGATTGCCAAAATCTGGAGGCAAACTTTCTAGCCCATAACTGTTCAGCGTGAGGCTTCTGAGGGACTGTAACGAGGTAAGAGTGTCGGGAAGACGCGTAAAGCTGCCCCGGAGGGTTAAATTCGTGAGCCGTGTGAGTCGGTCGATCGACGTGGGAATGACAACACCATACGAGCACCACAGTTTAAGATCTTCCAGTCGCACACACCCCGCGAACAGCGCGAGAAGGCTCTTCTCTGACAAAAATCCACACGACATCGGTTCGACACAAAGCTGTGTCAGATGCGGACACGTGCTGGCGAGGCGAGAGAAAGGAAAATTAGAGGCGGAGGTGAGGCTGTTTGAGTATAGAATGAGCTTTCTGAGGTTCGTGAACGGCGACAAAAGCTGAATGAGCCGACGCGGATTCATACGATGGTTACTGGTGAAGTGAAGCTCGTATTGCACGCTGTACGCGACGCGATGCCATTGCTTGCTAACACGTGCGTGCTCCAACTGGCCATCAGGCCGAACTAGAAGACGCAGGATCCGAGGAAGAATATCTTCAGGTAATCGCTGGATAGGCGATCCGACTGACATTGTGAAATGAGGAGAAGATAAGAAATGAAATTAATGGATGCCTGTCCGCCACTAATTAGGTAAGCCGACTGCTAATCCTCAGACAACATTTTCAACCCTTGGGGGGAGCAGTCAATACATTTCTCAGAGGATCAGTGAACATTTTCAACCCTTGGGCTTGTCAAGTTCATCGCACTCAACCGAGTCAAACCATTTTCAAGATTCTTTCGCGTAACACCACCTGCGAAATTGAAGGTGCAGGAGGACGAACTTTCAAACTCGATCCTGCGAGGATCACCCACGCCGCCACGTGCCCGGAAACGGGTTGTGGTGGCTGCATGTGCATGTGGTAGCGTACCCGTTTGAGCGTGCAAATCCAGCACTCAAAAATGTTACGGTAACTTCCATTTTCAGGGAGCTCAATCTATAAAAGTGAAAATCAAGCTGCACAATGCTGAGTGCATACACATGGCAATGAGCGCAGACTATTTCAGAAAACATTTAAACTCCCCATTCAAAATCACAGCCAATTTTCATACATGCTCTCCTAATTCCTGGTGTCTAACCCGTCACACCAATTTCACCATTTGACTGATTCTACTACTCATCATCATCACTCTCCCCCCAGCCTGCATCATCACCCATCTCATTGTCACTGTCCAGGGCATATTCATGCTCAATATCATCATCCTCACCACCACTCTCCTCCGATGCCTCCCCGCCCGCCACATCGCCTCCCTCCTCCCCCACTTCCTCTTCCGAATCCCCTCCCTCCCCTTCCTTCTCTCGCTCCTCCCCCTCCTCTTCCTCCTCTCCCCCTGCAGGAAGCCCTCTTGTGTCTCGCCTGGGAAGCAACGGGCATTCACTGATGTGGCACTCTCGCAGCGACGGCATTTCCCGAAGAGAAGAGGGCAGCCGGGTCAGCTTCTTGCACGCACACACCTCCAACTCCTCAAGCCTAGGCAGCTGCGTGAACGAATCCGGCAAGCTTCGCAACTGCTTCAGTCCCAGTGAGAATCAGCAACTCCTGGAGGGAAGAGAGCTTCCAGATTTCATCCGGAATGGCTGAGATTCCGAGCTTGATAAGGGAGCAGGTTCGTAGTTTGGTTAAATTCACAAACGACCCTGGAAGCTGCATCAGCTTGTAGCAGTCAATAATCTCCAGAGTCTCGAGCATTTTCAGCTGCCCAATAGACTCGGGCAGCTGCCGCATTGTCGTGAGGGAAACCAGCTGCAAGACACGCAGCCCTGCCAGCCCTCCAAGGGTCTCGGGCAGTGCTTTCAAATAAGAAGCTGAGTGAATTTTGAGCCTTTGCAGTTGCGAGAGTTGGGAGATTGAATCAGGGAGAGACTCAAGCATAAAGATTTCCAGAAGCTTCAGCTGGGTCAGAGAGGAGAGCCGACCAAGGGATGGGCCAAACGACTCAACGTTAAGCTCCTTTAACTTGAGGCTCTGAATGGAAGGCAGCAAAGGGCGGCTGCTGCTCCAACTGCCAACGCAGGACGCAACGCTCCTGGAAGTACATCTAAGAACTTTCTCATCGCCTAGCACCGCACTTAACCCATTACACGCCCGCACGTCCAGCGCCCGCAGGTGGGGCAGGTAAAGGAGCGACCGTGGGAGACTTTTCAGGCGGCTCATCCCAAAGATCCTGATCTCCTCGAGCGCCGTCAGCCGTCCGATTCCTCCTGGAATGACCGTTACTTTAGGGCAATTCCCCACTTCCAGGCTGGCGAGGGAAGAAACGCCCGAGATAGAAGCAGGAAGGGCAGAGAGGTACGGCATAGTATTGAGTGACAGCTTCTTAAGGCTTTCCAATGAGCCAAGGCCATCCAGCAGCGTGCCCCTGAAGCATTTCGCGTTTTCAATCTTGAGGGTTTCGAGAGACGTCAAGCCGGAGAAAGATGGGGGGAGGTGGGTGAGAGCGGTGCACTCCAGTAGAAGCAGATGGCGCAAGGACTGCAAACCGTTCCCCATGTCATCCGGCAGCACCCTAAGGATCGGACAGAAGTGAAACTCCAGGTGCTCGAGAGAAGACAGCTGCGACAGGGAGTCCGGGAGTTGCCGCAGCTGGCTACAGTACCAAAATTTCAGCTCCCGAAGAGCTGTCAACTGTCCGAATGTTTCGGGCAGCTGTCTGAGCCAGTCAAGGCCTTTCATACACAGCTTCTCCAAACAAATCAGCTGCCCGAACTCCTGGGGCAGATGGGCCAGCCGTTCAAGGTTGTTGAGAGAAAGCTGGCGAAGAGTAGTAACCAGGGCGATCGAATCGGGTAAGGCTGTGAGACTTTCCGGATTTAGCACGAGTGTCCGAAGCGTTGACAGCTGCCCGAAATCTTCGGGCAGCACTGAGAGTTCGTGCATGTCGAGTGTGAGGTCGGAGAGTGCAGGCAGGTGGGGAAGAGACGCGGACAGAGTCGTGATATCACTGCAGCCCTTGATAATAAGAGTCTTCACTCGCTGAAAATGCTCCAGATCCGCAACCAGGTCATGCATTCCGCTCACTTTGATCAAGATAACGGTTTCGAGTGCTCAGTTGACCGAAATTGACTGGCGACGGAAGACGAATGCTGCAACTTCGAAACTCCAGGACGGTGAGAGAAGAAAGCTTCGTGAAAGTTGTCGGCAGCTGCAGCGTCGAGCAATCATGCAATATAAAACGGTTCAGAGCGGTAAGTTACCCGAAAGATTCCGGAAGCGACGCCGAGCGGCATTTGTGGAGCTCCAGCGACGTCAAAGAAACCAGTTTGCCAAAATCTGGGGGCAAAGCTTCAAGAACATCATTGTCCAGCACAAGGCTTCTGAGAGACCGTAACGAGGTCAGTGTGTCGGGAAGTCGCTTGACGCTTGCCTCGAGGTGCAGATGCTTGAGCAAAGAAAGTCGGTCGATTGATGTGGGAATAGCAGCATGATCCGAACAGTACACGTAGAGTTCTTCCAGCCGCGTACACCCTTCGAACAGCGCAATGAGGCTTTTCTCGGTTACACCTCCGTAACCAGATTTTGACATCGTTTCGACATGAAGATGGGTCAAATGGCGACAGGTGCTAGCGAGGTGAGAGAATAAGAAAATAGGCGTGGAGGTGAGGCTGCCAGTAGGGAGGATTAACTTTTCCAGGTTAGGGAACGACGGCAGAAGTTGAACGAGCCGATGCGGACCCATACGGAGGCTATCAGGCAGGCGGAGCTCGTATTGCACGCTGTACGCGACGCGATGCCATTGCTTGCTAACAAGTGCGTGCTCCGGCAGGCCATCAGGTCGAACCAAAATACGTAAGATCCGAGAAAGAATATCTTCAGGCAACCGCTGGATACGCGATCCGGCTGCCATTGTGAGAGGAGCAGACTATAAGAAATGAATGGCTGTTGCCTCGCCAAGTCTGCAACTACAGATAACCTGAAATCAGAAACCTGACTCCTGAATGTCAATGAGGAAGGTCAGTCAGACTGGCTACTGTAGTTTAGTGGGGGATGATTAGTGGGAATAGCTTGGGAGGATGAGAGCGACTGCGTCCCTAGAGAGATCAGCAGATACAATTCTCTAGCAGCAAACCTTCGGACTTGTCAGGCTCACCGCACTCAACCGTTTGTTTTTCTCGAACTATTTCTCCCAGATACCCCAATGTTACGACGCCTGCGAAAGGAAGGCGACGGAAACCCCAATGACGAATTTCCCTCGCGAATCTGTGAGGATAACCCGCCTTCTGGATGTGGTGTATGCGCTTCCCGCGATGTAAGGAATTTTCTCTAATTCCTTATCGGGGTTGACTGCTGCGCGTACAACCCGATTTTCGGAGTTCGCACGTTCGGGCGATTTCCACGCTGCCGAAGCTCCTCGCGTCGCTTTCGGCATTTCCATCGCCAAACCTGCACCCAACCTCGCTCACCCGAGGTTTCCTCCTAGCTAGGCTAGCCTACATTAGTTCTCGCATTCATTGTATTCTCAGATTCATTCAGTCACAGTCTCGTTATTCGTTTACCTGCGCACTCTCTTTTACAACTCATAACACCTGGTATCAGAGCTACTTTCCTAGTTCACCCCGCTTTTCGAGGGTAGTTTGGTGGCATAGGGTGTGGTTGGTTTAGTGACTACACGACGGTTGGCTGCAGAGGTTGTTAACTCAACCCTGCCCGACTCCGATAGTTCGTGTTTTCACTTGCCGGGTGGCCACGGGTACCCAACTGCCCACCAGACGTAGTGCTAGAAACATGGATCAGGAGGCTGTTAACCGGCTGATGGCGCAAGTGGCAGAAATGGCGAGGGGCATGGAATCGCTGCAAGCGGAAGTGACAACACTGAAGGAGGAAAACGCCGAGCTACGCCGGACGCGAGGTGAAGCGCGTCAGACGTCGCCTGTGGACGAAGGCGAGGGCAACAGTCAAGTGATGGGCAATCCTCTGGACGAGCTCACACGTGACTTCGAAGAAGAAGATAGGCAGCGAGCGGCAGCAGCACCAGTTGCAGTCACGACGATCAAAATCAAGCCCGTCAACCCGCCCCCGTTCAATCCTACGGATAAAGCGGTTACGGTAAAAGGGTGGCTGTTCGGGGTTGAAGTCTTCTTCACTGCAGCCGGAGTTAATGACGATGCCACGCGCATTAATTACGCAGTCTCGCTTCTTCGAGGTGCAGCACTTGAATGGTGGCGCCGGACCTTGGAAACAGGGACGCCGACAGGTGTGACACATGCGGCAGACGGGACCTCTACAGTGGTTAATCAAGTTGCAGAACCAATCTTCGGTGTGACCAAGATACGCACATGGAAGGAGTGGGGCGCAGCCTTACGGGATCGCTTCGAGCACGTATCCGCCTCGGAGCAAGCTCGCATGAAGCTGCGTGCATGGTCGCAGATGGGATCTGTCCAAGACTACACGGCGTCATTTATGGGCTTCGCCGACCAAATCGATGACATGTCGGAAGCTGAGCGGTTGGATAAATACGTGAGCGGCCTTAAGTACGAGATACAGTTCGAAGTTCGCCGCAGCCGCCCGACATCGTTCCTCGAAGCAGTACGCGTGGCAGAGTCAACGGATGCGCTGATGCAGTACGCGAGAACGGCTTCCAGGGATGGGAGAGGTTTTCGTGGCCAGACCCATCGGGCCACAATCAACGCCGTCCATACACCCGACCGCCCTCCTAAGGGTCAGTGTTTCCGGTGTGGGAAGGTGGGTCACTGGAAGAACGAATGCAAGGAGAAAATGCCGCTGACAGAGAACGACAGGAAGGAGCAGGGAAATGGGAAGAGTCAGTAAGTAGCGGGCCCTTTACTGACTGTGCTCCGTCGCCCGAACACCACCATCCCCACCGAGTCGTGGTTCCGATTCATGCAATCGATCGCACTCGGCCGAATAACGGGGATAATCATGTGGATCACCCTGTGCTGGTCGCTGGCAAGGTGGGGAAACATCATTTGAAAATGTTCGTCGATGGAGGGGCCGGCCCAAAAAAATGCAACATGCAACTTGACAGGTGTCTGCCCGAAATCGACGCACGACTCGTGGATGGGACGGAAGAACGGAAGAAACACGGATGGTGCGGATCGAGTGCGGCGAAGATTTCGGCTTCAGCATGAAGTTCCTCGCGACGACGCTGGATGGCTGCGACGTGCTGCTGGGACGCGATTGGCTGCGACGACACAACCCCGTCATCGACTGGACAACGGGATCGTGCTGCGTCAGCAAGCACGAGGGGCTAATTAAGTTGCCTGCATGGACACCTGACTACATACAAGCCCCGTGCGTCAAAGCCATCACCATCGCCCACCACTTCAACAGGGGTGCGCAGCTGTTCGCCGTCTGCTTGCGCGAGTTGGCAGTCGACACCGACGGAAAGGACATCGAAAAGCTGTGTGCAGCTGTTCCTCCGGATTTAGCGGAGCTAATTCGACAGTACCCCGACATTTTCCCGGACGATTTGCCACCTGGGCTGCCACCCGAAAGACCCGAAGACCATAAAATCCAGCTGGAACCTGGCGCGCAACCTACTGTTCGGACACAGTGGCGGTTGACCCAGCCGGAACTCGAGGAACTACGCCGACAAATTATTGCACAGTTGGAGAAAGGCTTCATTCGGCCGAGCACCTCCCCGTTCGCGGCACCGATTCTGTTCACTCCAAAGAAGGACGGCGGGCTTCGCATGTGCATCGATTATCGCGCGTTGAACCGGGTGACCATCAAATCTCGCTACCCAATCCCACGCACCGACGACCTTCTCGATCAACTTCGCGGCGCTCGCTACTTCTCGAAAATCGACTTACGTGGCGGTTACCACCAGATTCGGGTCTTCGCCGACGACTGTCACAAGACCGCGTTTCGTACACGCTACGGGAGTTACGAATTTACAGTGATGCCTTTCGGCCTCACGAACGCGCCTTCGACATTCCAACTGACCATGAACAGGGTTTTTCGCGATCTTCTAGACCGATGTGTCATCGTCTATTTGGACGATATCCTGATTTTTAGCAAGACACGGGAGCAGCATCTCCGCGACCTGGACGCAGTATTTAAACGGTTGCAGGAGAACCGCCTCATCACCAAGGGCTCTAAGTGCGAGTTTTTTAAGCAGGAGTTGGAGTTTTTAGGGCACGTCATCTCCCGCGACGGCATTAAAATTGACCCGGCGAAGATTAAAACCATCCAGGAGTGGAAGGCCCCGACTAATGTCACGGAGCTCCAGAGTTTTTTGGGGTTCGTGAATTACGTCAGGCGGTTTATCCCGAATATGGCGGGGATAATTGGCCCGCTGACTGACCTGCTGCACAAGGACAAGAATTTCGTGTGGGGGGAGGAGGCAGAGGCGGCTTTCCAGGAGCTCAAGAATTTTCTCGTTTCCCCTCCTGTGCTGCGCATCGCCGACCCATCGAAGCCGTTCGAAGTCGTAACCGACGCCTCTGATTTCGCCATCGGAGCAGTGCTTCTCCAGGATTTCGGGAACGGGCTGCAGCCGATCGCCTACGAATCACGCAAGCTGCAAGCTGCCGAACGCAACTACCCGATCCACGACAAGGAGATGCTCGCCATAATCCACGCGTTTAAACTGTGGCGATGCTACCTGGTGGGCGCCGACGTCACTGTGCGCACGGACCACAAGTCCCTACAGTACCTGCGAGCTCAACCGAACCTCAACCCGCGACAAATTCGGTGGCTGGATTACATGGAGAGCCACTTCACCTACCGCATCACGTACAAGAAAGGGGCGAATAACATCGCCGACGCCCTGACTAGACCGACCGTACAATCCGCTGCGGTACTGATAACCCATTCGAACCCGCTACTTACAGGACTATTCACCCACGGCTACACTACGGACCCGTTTTTCACGACAGGCAATCATCAGCAAGCCACGACGCAGAAGGGGGATTATTACCTAAAAGCCGGCACCGACAGGATTTGGGTCCCCGCTTACCGGCTACTGCGTGAACTCCTCATCCAGGAGGTCCACGATTCGAATTACTCCGGACACTTCGGGGTTGATAAAACCCAGAAATTACTGCACCGTCAATATTACTGGCCCGATTCTTCTAACGATGTGCAGCGTTATGTGTCCTCATGCAGGGTGTGCCAAGCCATGAAATCGACACGTCAGCGACCAGCTGGGCTGCTGCAACCCCTCGAGCCACCCGAAAGACCGTGGCAACAGGTGACGATGGATTTCGTCACGGGGATGCCAGCTGGGCCGTCCGGCAACGACGCTGTCCTCGTCGTCGTCGATCGCTTCACGAAAATGGCGCACTTCGCACCATGCCGAACGACGATCACAGCCGAAGAAACTGCGCGCCTCTTCATCTCAACGGTCGTGCGACTACACGGCATCCCTTCGGCGATCATCACCGACCGGGACCCGAAATTCACATCCAAGTTTTGGAAGGAGACATGGGCGCAGTACGGCACGAAGCTACAGTTCTCATCGGCCTACCACCCACAGACGGACGGACAAACCGAGCGAACCAACCAGACGATGGAGCAGCTGATACGGACAAACTGCCCCGACCCCGCACGATGGGAAGATTCCCTCGCCATGTTGGAGTTTGCCTTCAACAACGCACCATCGAGCACGACTAATCACTCCCCGTTCTTCTTGAATTACGGGATGGATCCGACGGTGCCCACGGCAACTTCGCTCGACAACCCGGTCCCACGAGCCCAAACTTTTGTGACGGAACTTCAGCACATCCGCGAGAAAGCAGCAGACGCAATTCGCAAGGCGAATATTACTTCCCGCAAGTACACCGACCTTCTACGCCGGGAACTCGTCTTGACCACTGGGCAATTAGTGCTCCTCGACACGAAGAACCTGCATCTGCCCGGCCCATCGAAGCTACGGCCCCGATTTTGCGGACCGTTCAAGATTATCAAGATGGTGACACCTGTCACCGCGAAGCTGTTGCTACCAGACGATTGGTGCATTCACGACGCCTTCCACGTAAGCCTGCTTCGCAAGTTCGTGCCAGCCACGACCGACATTGCACGTCAGCAAGCTGCCCCGACAGCTCGACCTGTCCCAGAGCCGACACTCGACCCATTGAAAATTCTCGCCCATCGAGTTCGACTTGACGCAGCTGGCCGACACGTGGATTTCTTAATCCGCTGGACTGATCGCACCAGTGAAGACGACACGTGGGTGCCATCCGCCTCGCTCGACGCCTCGCCACTTGTTGGTGATTATTTGGCGCGCAAGCGTGTTTCGGATATTGACCGCCTTTCTTAAGGGGGGGGTGGTGTAAGGAATTTTCTCGAATTCCTTATCGGGGTTGACTGCTGCGCGTACAACCCGATTTTCGGAGTTCGCACGTTCGGGCGATTTCCACGCTGCCGAAGCTCCTCGCGTCGCTTTCGGCATTTCCATCGCCAAACCTGCACCCAACCTCGCTCACCCGAGGTTTCCTCCTAGCTAGGCTAGCCTACATTAGTTCTCGCATTCATTGTATTCTCAGATTCATTCAGTCACAGTCTCGTTATTCGTTTACCTGCGCACTCTCTTTTACAACTCATAACACGCGAAGAAATGCCAGCGTACCCGTCAGCAGGTGGGAATCCACCACCGGTCAGCGCAACTTCTTATGCGTATAGAGTCTGAACACATATTCTCTTCAACTCAAGAATGTAAAAGGAACTAATGTATGTATTGTAGTGATGCTAAACACTCCAAAACTGGATTCACAAACAATACTCATGCCAATTCCTAACTTCCACCACGCCATACCATTTTCGCCAATAAAATCATCCTATTCTACTAGCCATCATCATCATCATCATCACCTTCATTCCAGCCTGGATCATCATCCCGCATGTCGTCACAGTCACTATCATAAGCATACACATGGTATATATCATCATCCTCACCACCACTCTCCTCCTCCAATGCCTCCCCGCCCGCCTCTTCCCTTCCCGCGGCCACATCGCCTCCCTCCTCCCCTTCTTCCTCTTCCGCATCCCCTCCCTCCCCTTCCTCCCCCTCCTCCCCTTCCTCCCCCTCCTCCTCCCCTTCCTCGTCTCCCTCCTCTCTTCTTGCGGGAACCCCTCTCATGTCTCGCCTTGACAGCAAAGGGCATTCACGGATGCGGCACTCACGCAAAGTCGGCATATTCCGGAGGGAAGACGGCAGCCGAGTCAGCTTCTTGCACGCACGCACCTCCAGCCGCTAAAGCCTAGGCAGCTGGGTGAACGAATCTGGCAGGCTTTGCAACTGCTTCAGTCCCAGCATCATCAACTTCTAGAGGGAAGACAGCTTCCATATGTCATCTGGAATGGTTGAAATTCCGAGCTTGATGAGAGAGCAAGATCGTAGCTTGGGTAAATTCACAAATGACGCTGGAAGCTGCATCAGCTTGTAGCAATCGATAAACTCCAGTGTCTCGAGCATTTTCAGCTGCCCAAGAGACTCGGGCAGCCACCGCATTGTTGAGATGTGAACCAGCTGCAAGACACGCAGCCCTGCTAGCCCTCCAAGGGTCTCGGGCAGTGCTTTCAGATTAGAAGCCGAATCAATCTTGAGCCTTTTCAGCTGCGAGAGTTGGGAGATGCAGTCAGGGAAAGAGTCGAGTTTGTGCATCTGAAGGAGCTTCAGTTCAGTCAGAGAGGATAGGCGAGCAAGGGACAGGCCAAAAGACTCAACATTGAGGTCTTTGATTTTGAGGCTTAGAATGGAAGGAAGCAAAGGCCTGCTGCTGCTGCGGCTGGTGCTGCCAGTGGTGGTCACAAAGCCCCTGGCAGTACGTCTAAGCGCCTTCTCATCGCCTAGCACCGCGCTTAACCCACCACACTCCCGCACGTTCAACGCCCATAGCCGCGGCAGATCAAGGAGCGACGGAGGGAGACAAATCAGGCCATCCATTATAAAAATCCAGACCTCCTCAAGCTTCTCCAGCCATCCGATTCCCTCAGGCAGGACAGCCACTTTCGGGCAATCTCCAACTTCCAGGCTGGTGAGTGAAGAAACACCCGAGAATGAGGCAGGAAGGGCGGATAGGCGCGGCATAGAGCCGAGCGACAGCTGCTTGAGGCTCTTCAAGCAGCCAAAGCCGTCTAGCAGCGTGCCCCTGAAGCGTGTCGCGTGCAGAATTTTGAGGGTTTCGAGAGACGTGAGGAAGGAGAAGGACGGAGGGAGGTGCGTGAGAGCGGTGCAATGCAGCAGAAGCAGATGGCGCAGGGACTGCAGACCCTTCCCCATGTCGTCTGGCAACATAGTGAGGCGCGGGCAAGTGTCTATCTCCAGGTGCTCAAGAGAAGACAGCTGGGATAGGGAGTCCGGTAGTTGCTGCAGCTGCCTACACCCCCACAATTCCACCTCCCGAAGAGCTGACAGCTGCCCGAAGGATTCGGGCAGATGCGTGAGCAGTGGAAGGTCCCACATCCACAGCTTCTCCAAAGAAACCAGCTGGCCGAACTCTTGGGGCAGGCATGTCAGGTGATGAAGGTTATAGAGAGTAAGGTCTTGAAGCGTGGTAAGCAGGCCGATGGAATCAGGTAGGGCTGTGAGAGTCCTTAAATCCAGCACGAGTTTCCGAAGCACTGACAACTGCCCGAGATCTTCGGGCAGCACTGAAAGTTGTCTCATATCACTCAAGATTGGTGAGAGCAGGTAGGCGGGGAAGAGAGACGGGCAGCGACGTGATATCACTGCAGTGATTAATGGTTAGAGTCTTCACTCGCTGCAAACGATCCAGATCTGCAACTAAGCTGCGCAATCCCGTGACTCCAGCGAGAATAATGGTTTCGAGAGCCCCCAATCGACTGAAATTAACCCGCGATGGAAGAAGGATACTGCTATATTTAACCTCCAGGGCAGCGAGGGAAGAAAGCTTGGTGAAAGAAACGGGCAGCTGAAACGTCGAGAAGTGAATTAAGAAAAATCGGTTCAGCGCGGTAAGCTGCCCAAAAGATTCCGGAAGTGACCCGAAGCGGCAATTAAACAGCTCCAGGGTCGTTAAGGAAACCAGATGGCCGAAATCTTGAGGCAAAGCTTCGAGCCTACAAGCCTTCAGCACGAGGCTTCTGAGAGACCGTAACGAGGTAAAAGTGTCGGGAAGACGCGTAAAGCTGCCACCGAGGTTTAAGTTTCTGAGCCGTGTAAGTCGGTCGATCGACACGGGAATGGAACCAATCTCCGAACAATTCAGATCAAGATCTTGCAGCTGCGTACACCCCTCGAACAACGAAAGGAGGCTCTTCTCAGATACGCATCCACGTGGAATCGGTGACATCGGTTCGACACAAAGCTCGGTCAGATGCGGGCACGTGCTGGCGAGGCGAGAGAAGAAAAAGTTAGAGGCGGGGGTGACGCAGTTTGAGGATAGAATGAGCTTTTTGAGATTTGTAAACAGCGACAGAAGCTGAACGAGCCGACGCGGATCCATGCGGAGGTTTCTGGCGAAATGAAGCTCGTATTGCACGCGGTAGGCGAGGCGATGCCATTGCTTGGAAACAAGTGCGTGCTCCAACTGCCCATCAGGTCGAACCAGAAAACGCAGGATCTGAGAGAGAACATCTTCAGGTAACAGCTGGATCGGTGACACGTCTGACATCATGAAAGAAGGAGAGAACAAAACAATAATGGCTGTGTAGGAAAACCAGACCGTCTGCTGCTAAGGTAACCTGACTCCTAAACCTCAACCAAGCTATGTCAATCACCAGACAGAACGAGAACAACCAGGATTCACGAAGATAAGACGTTGAGAATCCTGAACAAGAACAACCAGGATTCTCAACAGGCTTGTCAGTGGCACCGTGCTCAACCGCTCGGTTTCTCTGGAACCGTTCCCCCCAAATTCTTTCAGAGGGCCTTGGGCTTGGGTTTCTTTCACATGCAGTAGCAACACCACATTTGCGGCCCGTTCACCCGCTGTGCCCTTCGCGACCCGCGGTTGCGTGTGCATTGGTGTTTGTATGTGTGGTGAGAGTGTACCAGGTTATATCCTAGAGATAACATGACAGTGGTTTTTCCCTAATGTGCATGGAATGGAATATAGTACAGTATTATGCGCAAATGTGGGTGCAAAGGACGCATCTCTTATGGTCATCAACCACCATGTTGAACAACATTAAACCGACTCACCTGTACAAGCGAAATTAATCTACCACTACTTCTGACTCTCGTATCCCATCCAATATCACAACCTCCCCATTCGACCATAACAAGCTCCTTCCACGTTCTTCCAGTCCTTCACCTTTTCCTCCACTCCGCACAAGTTCCACCGTGTATTCCTCCTCGTCATCACACGCCCCCCAACCTCCTTCACAGCCTCTATCACCGTCTCCTATCCAAGCCATGACATGACATATTTCCGATCCTCACCACCATCCACTCTATTCTTTCCCCCGCTGTCTCCTTGTCCACCTCTTGCCCATGTTTCGTGGTGCAAAAGGGTGGCGTTAATGTCTTCAGAACTATATTAGAAAGAATGGTGATGCTTGTTCAGTACTGTACCATTATGAGAGCTTGGTAATGTAGCGTGCAATATCAGGGTCGTCCAAGGGAACATCTAGGTCCCCTCGGATGCGAAACAGCTGTTTCACAAAGAGAGGCGGCTCCTCTGCCTTCACTCGACTCAACGCCGCATCCCACTGCTCTTTTGTCCCGAATTTCTCTGGAGCAGGGGAGGGTGGGAGGGAGGGGGGCATAAGGCAACAGCAGTAAAGGCGGCTCCTCTGCCTTCACTCTACTCAACGCCGCATCCCACTGCTCTTTTGTCCCGAATTTCTCTGGAGCAGGGGGCAAGGGCAGCAGGGGGAGGGATGTGGGAGGGCAGGAGTGGGGTAGCGGGGGTGCGGGGGGGCAGAGGTGTGTTGACGTCATTGTAGCATGCACCAAGAAAACAGAGCATTCAGATCCCCTCGGATGCGGAACAGCTGTTTCACAAAGAGTGCCGGCTCCTCTGCCTTCACTCTGCTTAACGCCGCCTCGAACTGCTCCTTGCTGCCAAATTTCTCTGATGTGTGTGGATGGGGGAGGCAAAGGGGGGTGTGTGGGGGCAGAAGGTAGTTCAGAAGCAGGCAAGGAAGAAAGGGGTGGAGAGCTGTTCAGCAAGAGGAGCGGCTCCTCTGCCTTCACTTGATTCAGCGCCGCCCCCCACTGCTCCTTGCTGATGCATTTCTCTGGCGGGAGGGAAGGAAAGGAATAAGGGGTGAAGAATGAGGAAAAAATGGAGTGAGTGGAAGGGAATGAGAGGTAATCAGAGTAGGAAATGAGGGGGAGTGAGAGGGAATGAGAGGGAACGAGAGGGAATGGATGGAAATGAGAGGGAATGAAGGAATAAATTTGTGTACCACTGCACAAACCACCCAGGGGAAGGAAACGGGGGAATAAAAAGACAAGATTATGAGCAAAAGGGGTGAGCGGTGGGGAAGCATTGATGAATGCATATGAGCGTGGGGAGTCTTGGATGGTGTGGTTTAGGGAGAAGGGAAGGGGGGAAAAGGGAAAGGGGAAGAGGGGGAAAAGGGAAAGGGGAAGAGGGGGAAAAGGGAAAGGGAAGAGGAGGAAAAGGGAAAGGGGAAGAGGGGGAAAGGGGAGCAGAAGTTGGAAAGGGACGGCATAGGAAGACAGGATGAATTTCTGATAAATAATAAAATACCTTGCACGCGGTCAAACGCTCTGGCGACAGCAGAGTCAAGGCGAGGGAGCATGGGGAGCACAGGAAGTGAGAAAGGGGAAAAGGGAAGGGGAACGGGAGGGGGGGAAGAGGAATGGCAGAAGCGGAGAGGAGAGGCTCACCTTGCACGCGGTCCAGCGCTCTGGCAACGCAACGGCAGAGACTCTTGGTTGAGATGGGGTGAGGTATGGAAGGGGAAAGGCAGAGAGGAGAGGCTCACCTTGCACGCGGTCCAGCGCTCTGGCAACAGCAGGGTCAAGGCGAGGCAGCGTGGGAAGCACGCCCGTGGCGAGAACCTCTGGCGTCAGCTCCACTTCCGTGCCTGTGCTGCGTGCTGCCATTCTCCCCCTGCTGGTGGGGGAGAAGAGGGGAGAGGAAGAGGCAGGATTGATTGAGGCAGTGAGGGAAGCACGCCCGTGGCGAGCACCTCTGGCGCTAGTTCCACTTCCGTGCTGCTGTGCTGTGCGCCCGATGCCATGCTTCCCCTGCTGGTAGAAAGTAAGAAGGTCCGGAAGAGGGAGAGGATGATCATCGGGGCAGTGTGGGGAGCACGCCCGTGGCGAGCACCTCTGGCGTGAGCTCCACTTCCGTGCCTGTGCTGCGTGCTGCCATGCTACCCCTGCTGGTGGAGGAGAAGGGGTGAGGGAGAGGGAAGGGGGAAAGCGGAGTGGGAAGCACCCCGCTGTGGCTAGAACCTCTGGCGTCAGCTCCACTTCCGTGCCTGTGCTGCGTGCTGCCATGCTACCCCTGCTGGTGGGGGAACGTGAAGAAGGGGAAGGAAGGGCAAGGAAGCGTGGGAAGCATGCCCGTGGCGAGGACCTCTGGCGTTAGCTCAACTTCCGTGCCTGTGCTGCGTGCTGCCGCGGATGCCATGCCGCTGGAGGAGGAGAGGAGAAGGGGAAGGAGGAGGAAAGAGCGTGGGGAGCACAGCTCAGCCCCATGCAAATGCAGGGCTCTCTTCAGCACCCTGGCGAGACTTTCAAACTTTTGTGCAAGAGAGTCAAGGTCCCGTATGACGCTTCTCTTTCTCCAGTCAGACACGAAAATCGCCTCAACTCTCATGTAGCTGCCTAGCGTTCGGACGCTTCAGCCCACCCGCGCAAGGGAACATCGCAAACTCTATAGCTCACTTTAGAGAGATTTCGAATGGACGGAAAGACGATACGGTACAGGAAAATGTTTCCGTGTATGCTTCCGTTTTCCCGTGAGTGGACGTCGATCATCCTACGGAAACCGAGCCTTACCGAAGCTGATGACTTGTCTACTCGATACGGAGCAGGGACCGGGACAGGTTCGCCTCGTACGCCAGAGAATAATGGGGAGTAAGAGCGCGGCGCGAGGGTGAAAGAGGTGGTGGAAGTGGGGATGGTGGGACGTGCGTACGCTGTTAGGAAAACACGGTTAATATACAGAATAGTTTCTTAAGTACAATTTCTTATGTACGAGGTTCTGTATGCGATTTTTTGCTTTATGGTTTAGTTCCTGCCATGGGGAACGGGACGGCCATCTGGAAGGTAAAAACACCTTGCAGAATTTTGCATGAGGTGAGGATGTAATGGTTAGTACTATTTCAGGCATAATACTGCATGCACAAACACGAATACCTACTGGTCCAGTCTAGTCTGCAAACCATTAGGAAAATGAATCATTTCACACGCTCCTAATAAGACAATTCGCTAATACAAACCTCACTAATAAGAACCAACCTTAGTAGGGCCACTGGCCAAAGCTGTATTAAACCCAAACTGTACTCACATTGCCATCATTGCACTTCCCCCACAAGAGCTGCAGGTTTCCACAAGCCGTAAGAAGCAGAGTGGAGTGGTACCACACATACCAGCCCCCTCCTCCCACAAACTCAACCCCTCTGCCCCATCCCCCACCTACCACCCCCCTCCCCCCCTAGCACAACCAAATCACCATCCTGTGGCTCCTCAGATCTGCATATGCAACAATCACATCCGCGTCAGTCACATCTGCCAGAGTCACTCCCCTCCCCGTCCTCATTGCCCGCCAGGCGGGGGGGGAATGCCTGGGCGCGGGGGGCCGTACATCCCCGGATGGCCCCCTGGCGGAGGGGGCATGCCCGGCCTTGGCGGACCCATCATCCCTGGCGGAGGCATTCCCCCCGGCGGGGGCATTCCCCGCCCGTACTGCATGGGCGGCGCACCGCCTGGCGGAGGCCCGCGCGGGGGAAATTGCGGAGGCGGACCGCCAGGGGGAGGTCCGAAACCTGCGGGCGGAGGAGGCATGCCCGGGCGCGGGGGACCCTGGGGGTACATGGACGGCGGCGGGCCCATCCCTGGCGGGCGCATTCCGCCTGGCGGAGGCGGCATCCCCGGCCGCGGCGGGGCTCCCCCAGGGAAACCCGCGGGCGGGGGGAACGAGACCGGAGGCGGACGGCCAGGCGCAGCGCCAGCCGCGCCGCCAGGAGCCTGGTATGAGATCGGCGGAGCCGCCACTTGCGGGCGCGGCTGCATCAGCGACGGCGCAGGTCCACCCACTCCGCGCGCGGGTCCCGCCAACCCGGGCTGCGCTTGACCGAGCGGAACCGTCGGAACTCCGCGCCCTGCTGCGCGCCCAACACCAGGACCCCCTGCCGCTGCGCCGGCGGCTCTCCCGCGGGACTCATCCTGCGGCGGCGGCCCTTCAACGGTAAGACTAACTACCTCCTCCCCGCGGAGAATAAGTAGCCCTAATGTCCGGCGCTCCTCGCGGTCTTCAGGCGCCTTGGAACCCTTTTTGGGCGGCAGCTTGCGGAACTCCTCGCAGTCTCCCAGGACGAGGTTCATGTGGCGATCGTAGGCCATAAATTTCCCGACGAGCTCGCGGCCATCGGTGACGGTGACGCGCATGCGGTAGTTGATGTACTGTAGCAGCTTAGATCCCTTGGACATCGACATGACGCCTCGATTTTCAGCGCCGTCGACGGGGGGGGAGAGGATTAATTATCAAAAGGACGACTTGTCAGATCATACTAAGAGTTCTCACGACACGAGTGAAGGGGCGAGAGGGGAGTATCAGCGGGATTGACCAGAAGGGAGGCTCGAAGAAAAATGAGGAGCTTTAGGGTTGAGCCTCTCTTTAGGGTAGACCTTCGAGATCAGAAGCGGGACGGGCATTTGCTGATCTGACAATGTAACATCTTTGAAGTGTAATAGGAATATATAGAATACATATTGCTTTGTACTCCTCTGTGGTGTTTGAGATTTTTCTACCGTAGAAGGATGCGTAAAAAGAATAAAAACCTTATCATAAAATCTTGAAGGAGTTATATATTCCTGAAATATCTACATTTACAGGTCTTTCTGGTGTGTATTCTGATTATCTCATGTGGATAAGAGGCCTGAAGTGCATAGCAGGATTGCTGCTTCTCGGCGTATTTGTCCCGGATGTCATCTTGCCGCGTATATCAGAATCCCAATGTGGCACATGGCACAGTGGCCAATGGTGGCGCAAATTTCTGTCAGCGCGACGAGGAATCCCGCACTGACAGGTCGAACAGCCTGCTTTTCCTGATCGAATGGGTTCGTTCGCACGTCCACCCTTTGAGTCGTTGCTGGCGACTGTCTGACGACTTTTGAAACCTCGGGGTCGCCGTCGACTTGCGTTTCGCGAATGGTTGTTCCTGTCGCAAATTTTCGAAAACTCTGTACATCCCTGGCGACGGTCTGACGACATTGGAGGGAAGCCTCGTTTGAGCCTTGCGATGCGATGGCCATCAAGGTCCTGCGACAAATTCGCTCAGTAGGCAAGCCCATCAGTCCGCCCACCCCACCTCATCCAACCCATTTGAGGCACCTGCATCTGGTTTCCTAGATTCTACCATCTCCGCTTCTCAAGCCACCAACTAGTTTATTCACATATCATACCATCTCAAGTTAGTGTCATTATCTGAAGTCGCTGCTCCATTTCGCTCTCTTAGCTTCTTCGCGTTTTTTTATCATAGCTGGTCGACAGCGTCATCATGCCGCAGATCCAGTATTCTGAGAAATATTTTGACGACGTCTACGAGTACAGGTATTCAACTTGTTACCGCTTGCCATCCACCCTAGTGCAGGACAGCAACCAAGCTCACTCCATGGTCCTGATACTGAACGTTTCGTTTTGTCGGGTGCCTCTTGCAGGCATGTAGTTCTCCCTCCTGATGTGGCGAAGTTACTTCCGAAAAACAGGCTGCTGTCCGAGGTAATTGATGCTATTGGCTTTCTGACAGAGATTATGGCATGCATGGTCAGAGTTCGAACCTGACAGCTTTCGTGTTGCTGACGTTGAATGTGTGCAGGCTGAATGGAGGAGCATTGGCGTGCAGCAATCTAGAGGATGGGTTCACTACGCTATTCATCGGCCCGAGCCTCACATCATGCTTTTCCGTCGGCCACTGAACTACGGACAGCAGGTTCCGCCAGCGACGCAGCAACTTCAGCAGCAAGTAGGGGCATAAGATAGTACCCCAGCGACCTCATACGGCTGGTGCAGAGGATTTGACCGAACAAGCGTCATCATTCCTCTGTCGCCAATCATAACCTGTGTCTAGAAAACAAACAATTTGTCAATACTCAACGCCTAGTTGCGATTTCTACCGTATTTCTTTCTATTTTATTTTAAGAGGTTCCCACTTCGCTGTCCTCTAGGCTTTATGGCACATCTTTCATGCACGGTATGTTTTGTACCATGCTGTAACTTTCGTACACTTGTGAAGCTCCTTGGTGCTCCTACGGAGTATTATCAAGGAACTATTCAGCTGACAGGCTCTTTTAGGCATAAAAAATTACTGTCATCCACTCTCTTGAAATACATGGCAGCAGTACCTTATTGCCTCCAACCAAGGTCTCTCCTCTTGCTGTGGTGGCTGTGACTGTTGAGGTAGGGTACCTACGTACTGCATCAGGTTATCTCACATCTGTCCAAGTAATCAACCTGCTTCCCCCATTTCTTTCCGGAATGATTGTCCTTCATGATCAAAGAGTGCCACGCCATAACATTTTTACCATAGATTACCTTACCACTGTGATCTAGCCAAATCCAAGGCATGGTGAATGAGTGTAGTATAATTTATCAGAGTAAACAGTCTACTAGTTTGAGAAATAAAAAAAAGCTTGAAGATCGCATGGAAATCACAATGGTGACAGATCTTCACATGTCTATCTATCTTCAGAGGTATCCTTTTCTATAACAAGTTGAACACAAAGCCACTCAAAGCAACTGTACAGCAGCAATGGATGGAATTTTCTCCCTGAGCTTCTGAGTAACAGCCACTCTAACCGTCATTACTCCTGCTGCGGGCCCATCAATTCTGACCTTCACAATCGGCGGATCAATCTTCACAAGAGTCAGCTCCCCACCACCCGTCCCTACCAGATATGGCCTGATCTCGGACAGCACCTGAAAGCAAGAAAGAACTATCAGTACAAATCTCTGAAAAAACAACACACCATAATCAGGTAAAACACGATGCATCAGCCACAGAAAGTCTCACCTTTTCCACGTTCTCCTCGTCCAGTGGAAGGCCCGTCTCCTGGTCCGTGATCTGCTCGACGGAGACTATCTCTGGAATCTTCTCCATCAACCTCCGTTCAATCCCCATCTTCATGGTCATTGTGGAACTCGGGCACGAACCACACGCACCCTGAAGCCGCAGCTTCACGACGAGACCATCAATGTCGTACAATTCCACATTGCCGCCGTCCGCCATCAAGTACGGCCGAACCTCGTCAAGAACCTTCTCGACGTTCTCCTCAGTCAGCTCCAAGCCCTCGGTGGAAACATCACCTTGTGAGGCAAGAGCGGCTGCTGCAATACACAAAAGCAAGGATGCTAAATTGCTCCGGCTAATTGACATGATGTATTTTTTTGTGAGAGTTTTACGCCAGCGTACCTGTAGGTTCTCTTCTGGAGTACCTCTGTTCCCCAATAATCTCCGCGTTTCTGACTAGGGGTGCAGCTCGAAACTGCATAGTAGAAACGTTTCCCGTCATAAGCGAAACAAGTTGAAAAAGACAATACGACTGGAAATGACGTGATCCACAAGCTAAGCCTCACCTGGCGACCTAGACGTGACGGAACGGTTGCTGAACTGACTAGCGTCGATGCTTCCCTGACGACGCCACTGAATGGAGCGAGACGAAGCGAGATAGTTGCCATGGTTCAGCGGAACTTGGGTTAAGAGCGTCAACGATATTTTACCCGCTCCACCACACAAGTTTCAGCAGCCCCTAAAAAAAGAAGCAGACTATACTTGTGTAATTTCTGTAATTGCAAACCTAATCACTCTGCTTGAAGACCAACGACCCTCCTCTCACGCAACGTTGGCCGTCACTCTCAACAGTCACGCAGACTCCGCTGAGGTCACGGAACGGAAGGCTACGTACAAAAGTGCTGTTACCAGAAGCTGTTGTGCCTGACACGCACGGCTGTGTAGGTTGGGGGGGAGTGTGCGTACCTAGGCTGGGCTAGGGGTATTGTACGTATTGTAGAGGGAAGGGTTGTGGTGTGGTGTGGTTGCAGGGGTCAGATAGGGGGAGGGGAATGGGGGGGTATCTGTGACCTGCACGAGACCTGCTTCTTGGCTGCCGTTCGATTTAAACATGCTCGGGAAAAGGCAATGTCGACTCCAGTGCTCGAGTGACACTTGGCGCAACCAGGTGACGTGGCAGTTGTCGGCAGTGCTTGGGAGTGTTCGTGTACGAAGCAACACTGATTCGATTAATGAAATTACAGACAAGCATAACTCTATTATTTGAAGGTTGGAGCAAAACTTCTTCCAGCATATAAAGCAGCACCCATTGTGGGCTGGCTAAACGAACGCCTCGATCAACTTCAGGCATTCGCTGGTCCTTTTGAAAGCCTGCGAGATCGTCTGATTGGAGCCACTTCCCAACCGTCGGCCACCTCCTCTTGTGTCAGCAATGGCTCCGGAGGAGTTTCTTTGGCAGCTCTACGCGAACCCGAACCAGAAGCTCCCACTCCAGCACCCCTTTCGGGTGTGTCTTCATCCATGGCTCCTCCGTTCCCCACTTCCTCCACATCAGAATCACTGTCATCGCTGTCTGCATTGCGGTTTGCCTGTAAAAACAAACACACACACAAACACAAACACGAAGTGATTGAACAAGTAGAAACGAATCAAGCACAAAAACGAATTAGTTCTTGTACCATTTAAGACATTCATTTCCTCTTGTCTGCATGCATAATCATCCAGCCTACGTTGACTCACCGCCCTGCTCTGCTGCAGTGCCGCGCGCCTTCCCTTGGCAGCAGCAGCTGCTTCCGCTTCTTGCAATTGCTGCACGAGAGTAAAATTTCCGTCCCTACATGCCTTGAACACTTCAACTATCTTGTCTGCTACCTGCAAGAGGAACGAGAGTAGAGGGAAACGAGGGGAGAGTGAGAAAGAGGAAGACAGGAACATCTGGGATAGTTATGGGAATCAGTCCTTAGCCTCCCTGTGACGTGACTCCCTCACTCACCTCTCTCAAGCTCCCATCCTCACCTCTCTGAGGCTCCCACTCTCACCTCTCTCAAGCTCCCATCCTCCACTTCCATGTTCAAATCCTTCCTTCACTGCATGTTCAGCTCCCTAATACGTCCACCCCAAATGAACCCCCCCTGTTGCCCACTGAGCTTCAAATCCTCCTCTCATTCCTCAAGTCCCTGACGTGCCACAGCTGTATTCACCGATTCTCCACTCGAACATAATCCCTCTTTCACCTCTTTCTGGAGCCCAACTCACCTCTCGCAGGCTCCCATCCTCCACCTCCATGCTGAAATCTTTTACTGTCGCCTCGTCCAGCCACTCCTCCAGCTCGTCCGAATACACCGCTCCTGGTACACCCACAATAAATTGAAAAAAAAAAGGTTAAATGAATCAACACAAAAGAACATTTCATATCCTGTTGAATCCCGGAACTTCGGCGTAGTAGTAAAAGGTTAAAACATTTGCACTGTGTGAATAGGCGAAGGAGGAATTGTGGAGGTCGCAGGTACAACAAATTACCGCCGATCCCCCTCCTCCCCCATCTCCCCCAAGCGCGCATACCCCCCCACGCTTATCGCGCATCCCCTCCCCACCCACCCCCGCTTACCGCGCTTGCTGTAGCAGAAGTGGACCAAATCCGCCTGCATGTGTTGCGCCTTCTCCGCGCTCCTTCCGCCTCCCCACTGGTTCTCCACCGCCAGCTGCAGCGCGGTCCAGCGCGCAAACACCAGGCGCACGCCCTCGCGGAACCACCCGTCCGCGTGCTGCTCCGCCGCCGTTATGGGGACGGGCACGGGGCCGGGGAGAATCGCTCCGCTGCGCAGCTCCATGCTCAGGGGGAAGATGGCACGCTGAGTGGGAGGATACGCGGAACGACGATGCGAGGAAGGGAATCCTTGCAGAAGAAGTCGCGCGGAAGTATCCGCGGGAAACTGGTTCGTGCGGAAGAGGTGCGGAACACTTGGCTGTCAGAAACGAAAACGTGACGGGGAAAGCGGGAGAAAGCTGACAAGTGAAAGGGGAGAGGGGATTGGGCAAGGGGTTGAGTTGGGTTGGAGGGTGACAAGGCCGATAGGTTTGGTTGGGCTGGTTGTCTTTGCAAGTTTGTCTCGAACATACAACATATTGTGGTGTAAACCATCGATCTTTTACCTTCTACACGGAGTGTCTCGTTACGAGTATTCAAATTCACTTCCCAAGGTCATTCTGACACCCTGGCGGTCCGTCCTAGAATGGACATTCCCAAGGTCATTTTCTGAGACACTCCAACCAGCCAGGCACACCGTAGTCATTCTCCCAGCCAAACCTAGCTCGCGCTGCTCGTTCCAGCCCTGCCTTCAAAGACCTAGTCTCTCGCCTCTGCTATTGAGGCTCTTAGCTTGTGATGCTTAAAATGCTTTTGCCCGGGATCAGCGTGACTGCTGTTTCGTGGTGTCATCGGGAAGGTTCAATCGCTAGTCCTCATTCGTTTCGCGAGTTCGTTAGCTTCCGCGGCCGTAGGTTTTGCGAGATTCATTAGTAGCCTTGTCGAAAAAACTTTCGCGAGTCCTCAGCATTCACGATTACCTCCTAGGATCAGATCCTCGTGACGCGATCACGTTTCTTGAAGGCACGTGGCAGCTTCTCATGCACCCAGCTGGCGCGACCAGACGCATGGTGTGCATGAACGGGTAGTGCCACGTATAAGCAGAAAACTCTTGTTGGGGGTACCGTATTGTTTCCATGGCTGCTCATGCCTATAGCGGATCTAGTAACCCTCGCAATAGCGCAAACAGCGGACCCCTGTCGCCATCGGGTGTGGCTAGAAGGGGGGGTGTGAATGTGACTGCAGCGGGAGGTGTGACTACAGCGGGGTCGGTGAGCGACAGCAGCAAGGCTGCCAGCGCGCTATGGCTCATGGCTTCACACTTCGAGCGGACACGTCAGATTCCACAGGTGAGGTTCCTTCTGAGTCAACTCAAGATTGAGCGACAGGCAGCGAGTGCGTTATGGCTCATGCTTCACACTTTGAGACACACGTCAGATTCCGGAGGTGAGGTGTGCTGACGTGTTTACCCCAGCTCCAGCAAGTTAAGTCGTTTGGAAGCCGTGTGTGTCAGAGACACAAGTCGTGGGTCAATGTCAAAGCACACCCCCTCCCACGTCCTTCCCCTCCCCTCCCCCACCTCCTTCCGCCAGCTAGTGAAGTGCCTGGAGGCCGTGTGTCAGAGCCCCCAGCCGTTGCAGCTCAACTCAAATTTCCCCTTGCTTCTCTCCCACGCCCCTTCCCCCTCCACCCCACCTCTGCAGCTAGTGAAGTGCCTGGAGGCCGTGTGTCAGAGCCCCCAGCCGTTTCTCCCTCTCGTGGAGGTTCGCACGCGGTGCTGGCTGGCCCATGTGTTGCTCAAACACTCCCGCAACGTGCTGCACGCGAAGGCGCACCTCGAGAGAGCGGTGAGACTCGGTGATGTGCGGTGATTAACAGTTCCAGTAGGGTATGGTGGAGTGCTGGCTGGCTTATGTGCTGAAACTCTCAAGCAACGTGCTGCACGCCAAGGGGCACCTTGAGAGAGCGGTAAGATGGGGTGGCGTGCGGTGTGTAGAGGTTGCACGGGTCTGGTATAATCTGATAGTCATCTAACCTGGTACTGGCTGGTTGGCGCATGTGCTGCTGTGCCATCAACAGCTTCCTTCAGTTCCCCTCCGTCCCTCCGTCCCATCCCACCTGTGGTGCACTCTCTTTTCCTCCTCCCTCTCCCCGCCACCTCCCCTTTCGCCTCTAATGCAGCAAGTGCTTCTGAAGGCCATTCCTGGGAATATCCCCCTCAAGTGCACAGCCCTTTCTCTGCTCGCCACGTGTTACCACCTGATTGGGCACGCCCACTTCCACAAGCACGTGCTTCAAAAGGGCCTCGATTTAATCACACATCAGCTCGCCACCCTTCCACGCTCAGCCTCGGGTTCTGAGCCTGGTCCCAGCTCGGTTGCAGGTTCGGGGTCAGGGTTGGGAGGAGGTTTGGGCGGAGGCTCGGGTGGAGGTTCGGCGGGGGAGCTGGCTCGGTGGATGGGGGTGTTTTCAGTGGGGATGGCGGGGCGGTTGCTGGGGGAGGGGGATGTGGAGGGGGCTGCTTCTGCGCTGGGGAAGGGAATGGCTGCTGTGCAATCAACAGGGGATAGGAGCATGATGGTAAGTGTGTTTGTGTGAACACATGCCTTTGGCTGCTGTTTGTTGATGGTTGAGGACGTGTCGGTTGGCGTAAGCGCATGCTTTTGCCCTCGCATGCCTTTGCCCTCACATTCACATGCCTCTTCCTTTCTTCCCTTCCTCCGTCCCTCCCACATGGTGAATCCACCTCCAGCTCCTGCTATCCGCTTCCCTGCTCCACATTCGCATCTCGACCGTCCATCACACGCCACAGCAGATCTCAGCCCTTCTTTCAGACTGCACCTCGTTGTGGCAGCAGATTCCGCCACGTCAGCAGCCAGAGTACCGTGGCCTGTTCGTCTACGTCCAATTGCTAGCTGCCACGTGGCACCTCCGCGTGGCTGACTACAACCAGGCCAAGGCTGACGTGGCAGCAGCAGAGGAGGCGCTGGCAGTAATAAGTCCTGCTGCGCCGAATCGTGAGGTGCCAGCTGGCAGCTCGCCAGCTGCTGTGTCAGCGCCATGCCAGCAGCAGCAGCAACAGCAGCAGGGGAATATGCATGCACAGAGACTGGGGCAGGATACGGGAGCAGTAAGAGCAGTGGGTGCAGCAGGAGCAGTGATCCCAGGGGAAGCAGGAGAAGCGCCAGGAGCATGTTACAGGGACGATCCGTTGATGCGGTTACCACTCGGCCCGCCCCACATGCTCAATGCTGATTGGCTGCCGCTGCCAGCTGTCAGGGCGGTGGCAGGCCTGCTAAAGGTCATGCTGAGCCGCCCGGGAGGAAAGCTCCTGGAATCTGAGGGGGCGCTGAAGGAGGAGAGGGAGATGTTGCGAGGTGAGTGGGTTGTGTGTGTGTGTAGTATAGGCTGTATAGCGATGCGGCTGTTTATGTGTGTGTGGGTGAGTGGGAATGCGGTTTGTGGGGTGTGATATAGCATCGTTGTGCATAGTCATTGCTATGTATTGCTGCTAACCCTTCCGGCGCTGACTCGCCATCCCTCCCATCCCTCCCTTTCGTCACCTCTCATGCCGCGTCCTCCCCATCTTCTTCTCGCTGTTTTCATTAACTGCGTCTAGTTTTCGGTCCTCTACATATTTCGTCTCAAAACCCTTTCTCGCCTGCTCCTTGTCATCCTTCTCTCATTCTCATCATTTTCGAAATCCTACACCCTACACCTGAAACCCAAAACCCAGATGAGCTACACCGCATCGGGGTCCTCCCAGGCTCGACAGGTACCACACTCACACCTTTGCCTCTTTTGGGAAATGTCGAGTCATTTTTTAGATTCCTCAAGGTGCCTGTGCACTCAGGGCAGCTCCTGTTTGATGCATATTACAGCCTACAGCCCTCCACCATGGTGTCAGCATTTCTGAAACTACCCTGTCATATGCTTTCAGCTGCTGTGTCTTTTCAGTAAGATACACTTGCTCCCTCTCGCTCCCACGCTATTTGCCACCCCAGAATCGAGTTTGGAGCCATGGAGTGTAGCTTGGGCCGGCACGCTTCTCCTGTTGCTCCTCTACGTCTTGGAGGCCCAGGCAGTACTGGCGCTGACTTCCACGGAGTCTCCCCTCTCGCAACGGGTAAGCAGAGAAATACAAGCGTGTGAAAACGAGGAAGGGATGATGGTGGAGTGTGCCGTGGGCCGGAACGAGTATCTCCTCTTGCTGCTCTACGTCTTGGAGGCCCAGGCAGTGCTCGCGCTGACTTCCGCGGAATACCCCCTCTCACAGCGGGGGGGGGAAAGGGGGGTTTGGAAGGGGACGCAGGTAAAATGACGCTCCTGTTCTTGCTCCTCTACATCTTGGAAGCCCACGCAGTGCTGGCGCTAACTTCTACTGAGTACCCCCTCTCTCAACGGGTAAGTCAAACTGAGGAACAACATGGGATTGGAGCAGACAAGTGCACTTCCCTGGTTTGTGGACATCCTTTTTCCTTTTTTTTTCTCCATTCTTCCACATCTTTCTCCTTTGCCCGATCATTCCAACCTCCCTACCAGGTTCTGCTGGAAATCTGTGATTGGTCGAGTCGCTTCCCGACCCTGCTGGCGTCGTTCGGGCCGAACCTCCACCTATTGCTCGGGCAGTACGCCCATGCCACGATTGATCTGCCAGTCGCAATCCGCCACTTCAGCACTGCTGCTGCCAAGGTTTGTGACTGATTTGATTTCTAGCTCTTCTGATCGCTCAGCAGATTGCCTTTGAGTCGACTCAGAAGCAGATTTGATTGCTAGCTCTTCTGATCGCTCAGCAGATTGCCTTTGAGTCGACTCGGAAGCAGATTTGATTGCTAGCTCTTCTGATCGCTCAGCAGATTGCCTTTGAGTCGACTCAGAAGCAGATTTGATTGCTAGCTCTTCTGATCGCTCAGCAGATTGCCTTTGAGTCGACTCAGAAGCAGATTTGATTGCTAGCTCTTCTGATCGCTCAGCAGATTGCCTTTGAGTCGACTCAGAAGCAGATTTGATTGCTAGCTCTTCTGATCGCTCAGCAGATTGCCTTTGAGTCGACTCAGAAGCAGATTTGATTGCTAGCTCTTCTGATCGCTCAGCAGATTGCCTTTGAGTCGACTCAGAAGCAGATTTGATTGCTAGCTCTTCTGATCGCTCAGCAGATTGCCTTTGAGTCGACTCAGAAGCAGATTTGATTGCTAGCTCTTCTGATCGCTCAGCAGATTGCCTTTGAGTCGACTCAGAAGCAGATTTGATTGCTAGCTCTTCTGATCGCTCAGCAGATTGCCTTTGAGTCGACTCAGAAGCAGATTTGATTGCTAGCTCTTCTGATCGCTCAGCAGATTGCCTTTGAGTCGACTCAGAAGCAGATTTGATTGCTAGCTCTTCTGATCGCTCAGCAGATTGCCTTTGAGTCGACTCAGAAGCAGATTTGATTGCTAGCTCTTCTGATCGCTCAGCAGATTGCCTTTGAGTCGACTCAGAAGCAGATTTGATTGCTAGCTCTTCTGATCGCTCAGCAGATTGCCTTTGAGTCGACTCAGAAGCAGATTTGATTGCTAGCTCTTCTGATCGCTCAGCAGATTGCCTTTGAGTCGACTCAGAAGCAGATTTGATTGCTAGCTCTTCTGATCGCTCAGCAGATTGCCTTTGAGTCGACTCAGAAGCAGATTTGATTGCTAGCTCTTCTGATCGCTCAGCAGATTGCCTTTGAGTCGACTCAGAAGCAGATTTGATTGCTAGCTCTTCTGATCGCTCAGCAGATTGCCTTTGAGTCGACTCAGAAGCAGATTTGATTGCTAGCTCTTCTGATCGCTCAGCAGATTGCCTTTGAGTCGACTCAGAAGCAGATTTGATTGCTAGCTCTTCTGATCGCTCAGCAGATTGCCGATTGCAATCCACCACTTCAGCACCACTGCTGCCAAGGTTTGTGACTGCCTTGCTTGCTAAATGTTTTGATCTCTCTTGCTTTCTTGCGTTCTTGCTTTCTTGGCCTCTTGCCACGCCGCTCCATATTCCACCAACGTGCCATTGACCCCCACAACCACTCTCGTTTCTGCTAACCTTGTACCTCCCACACACACATGCTCTCGCAGGCAGCGTCCGCCTCCCCCCACCACCTCCGCCATCGCCCCATCCGCCGCCTCACTCTGTGCCTCACCTCCATTACAATCACTCACAACCACTCACAACCACTCACAACCACCCATCACTCACAATGACTCACTTACTCTGTGTCTCCCCCATCCACCCTCACCCTTCCAGGCCGGGTTCTCCTCCCCCCACCACCTCCACCATTGCCTCATCCGCTGCATTGGCCTTTGCCTGTCCTCCTTACAATCGTTCCTTTTCCCGTCGTATTATACTGTATTTCTCTCTCACACACACACCCTTCCAGGCAGAATCCTCCTTCCCCCACTACCTCCACCACCGCCTTATTCAATGCCTTTCTCTCTGCCTCGCCACCATCACAACCACTCGTTCTCTGTCTTTCTCACCCACTCCTCTTCAGCCAGGGTCTTCCCCCCCCACCACCTCCACCATCGCCCCATCCGCTGCCTCGCTCTGTGCCACGCCACCATCACGACCACTTATTCTGTGTCTCTCCCCCCACACAATTCCCTCCAGGCTGCATCCTCCTCCCCCCACCACCTCCACCATCGCCCCATCCGCTGCCTCGCCCTGTGCCTATCCGCCATTGTCCACCTCACCATCGATGACCCCTCCCATGGCCACATATCCCAGGTGTGTTTCTATGAATCTGAAGCCAAACCTCGAAGCCCTTGTTGCTGTGGGAAGCTTCCAGTAGTTTCTAGCTAATAGTATGCTATGCGATTTGAATTTTATAAACAGTTCGTTCTGACTTTTTCCCTTTGCCGCCTTTCCTTCTGCAATTAACCCTTCTAGGCAATGGCTCTGGAATACGAACTAGCAATGCTGGAGTTATTTTTTAGAATTCTCAAAAGAAACTCCAACATAGCACAGCACGACGTTTGAGTCTTCTCAAGACTCAAAGCTCTCCAGTTCATCCCTTCCCCTCCAAACTAGCATTCAGGCGTACTCAAAGCTTCTGTTGGCTCTGGTACAGGAAGAAGCAGAGCACACCTGAATGCTAGTTTGGGCGCATCATGACAAGCTTACCTCCACTTCTTCTCTTCTTCTCGCCCGTTCTTCCAGGCAGTGGACATTCTATCAGCTCTGGAGCAGGAAGAGACACAGCACGCCCAAGCGCGGCAGCTGCAGCAGCAGCAACTCCGAGTCGCTTCCTTCCTGCTCAATTTGCTCGTCCTTACCTCCTTGTCTCTGCGTCATCCCCTTCCCTCCAGGCAGTGGACATTCTATCGGCTCTGGAGCACGAAGAGGCACAGCACGCCCAAGCACGGCAGCAGCAGCAGCAGCAGCAGCAAGGGGTAGCATTGCCCTCAACATCAGCACCAGCGGTTGCAGCAGGAGACGAGAGGAAGAGGGAGCAGTGCGCGCAGCTGCTGGCAACGGCTCTTCTGGCTTTGAGACAGGGCAACCTGGTGGATGCCAGGTGGGTCTCTAGGTGGATGCAGGGTAAGTCTGGCATTATGAGCTCACTGATTGCTGAAGAATAACTTGGCTGAGGTCAAGTCTCTTAGGCAAACGTGATACACTGTTCCATCCATTCCCCCTTCTCCCTGTCCTTCCACATGGCAGGTCGCGACTCGCCCAAGGGCTGTTGGTGACTCACCGCCAGCTCAGCAACCACCAGATTGCCGCCCATTTCCTGCTGGCCATAGGCGGCATCGCACTGCGCACCAGCGACCTGGTTGGAGCAAAGGACATCCTGAGGTCGGGACTGACTCTGTTCCGAGCGGCGAGGGACACACAGGGCGTGGTGGCAGTGGCGGCAGAGCTGTCTCGTGAGTGTAGAAAACAGGGGGAGATGGGGGCAAGGGACCTTGTTGGGGCAGAGGACCTTGTTGGAGCAAAGGACATCCTGAGATCGGGACTGACTCTGTTCCGGGCGGCGAGGGATACTCAGGGCGCGGTGGCAGTGGCGGCAGAGCTATCACGTGAGTCTAATTGAAGGGGGGGAAAGGTAGGGGACGGGGGGGGGGGGGAATGGGAGGGAGGAGGGGACAGTTGAGCCAAGTTATGAAGGCTGACTCTATCGTGTGCAGCAAGGGAGACCCAGGGCGTGGTGACTGTGGCGTCAGAGCTATCACGTGAGTTTGAGGGGGAGGGTGGAAGAGGCAGGGTGGGACTCAACTCAGCACCCGTGTATATCTTTGGCCTCCTCCTCTCTTCTTATTTTCCCTCTCCCTCCTTCCTGTCTCTCTTTGTCACTCTCCTGGTCCGACTCAAAAATCGCCCCATAGAGTGAACTCAGCCGTCACATTTTCCTCGTCTTCACACTCTCCTTCCCCACTTGCTCCGCTTTCCTCTCCTTCCCCACTTGCTCCGCTTTCCTCTCCTTCCCCACTTGCTCCGCTTTCCTCTCCTTCCCCACTTGCTCCGCTTTCCTCTCCTTCCCCACTTGCTCCGCTTTCCTCTCCTTCCCCACTTGCTCCGCTTTCCTCTCCTTCCCCACTTGCTCCGCTTTCCTCTCCTTCCCCACTTGCTCCGCTTTCCTCTCCTTCCCCACTTGCTCCGCTTTCCTCTCCTTCCCCACTTGCTCCGCTTTCCTCTCCTTCCCCACTTGCTCCGCTTTCCTCTCCTTCCCCACTTGCTCCGCTTTCCTCTCCTTCCCCACTTGCTCCGCTTTCCTCTCCTTCCCCACTTGCTCCGCTTTCCTCTCCTTCCCCACTTGCTCCGCTTTCCTCTCCTTCCCCACTTGCTCCGCTTTCCTCTCCTTCCCCACTTGCTCCGCTTTCCTCTCCTTCCCCACTTGCTCCGCTTTCCTCTCCTTCCCCACTTGCTCCGCTTTCCTCTCCTTCCCCACTTGCTCCGCTTTCCTCTCCTTCCCCACTTGCTCCGCTTTCCTCTCCTTCCCCACTTGCTCCGCTTTCCTCTCCTTCCCCACTTGCTCCGCTTTCCTCTCCTTCCCCACTTGCTCCGCTTTCCTCTCCTTCCCCATTTGCTCCTCTCACGTCCCTCCTCTCTGTTCTACAGTCTTGTACAGAGCAACAGACGAGGCAATGGCGGAGAGTCAGAACGCCGCGTACCTGAATCGCAAGCGAGGCGAGCTGAGTCAGCAGATCACAGCAGCGGTTGGCACACCAGGGCATGCCATACTGCTACAGGTAATGATCGTGTGCCATGCAAGAGTTGCTGTTGATCAAGGTAATGAATCGAGTCAGAAGTTGCAAGTGAGGTGAGCTGAGTCAGCAGGTCAGTGCTAATGTTCCTCTTCCCTTGGAATGGATACCTGCTGGGCATTTGTATTCGCACTGATCAAATTCCTTAGTTCACCCTTCCAGTGGTAATGCCAATCACTACCAGTGTTGACTCCCTTGTGCTTTTCCCCTTGGCCACCGCAGTATGGTCCTCCTCTGTAAGGCTCTGAATCGCTCTTAAAGCCTTGCAACCGACCGCATATCACTCCGTCAACCTCCTGAGAGATATTCTCTCACTAACACTGTCCCCACTCACTAGCTTTGGCTTGGTGAGGCTGCCATTTCTGCACCTGCTGGTGCTGCTGCTGGACTGGAGGGTCTTCAATCAACCCATATTTCCTGTGCCTGCTTCTGGTGTTGTGTGAAGCAATACCTGCCGCTGCAGCCCCCAGACTTGATAATTCTGCCAGCCTTGAAATGATTTAAACTTACTTCTGTAAGCTGTCCGAGCTTTCAGTGTGCAATGTATCAGCAATGTACGGTAGCATATATTGGCACTAATTGTGCCAATTCTGTTACAAGTTACACGAGGTCCGAAAGACAAAGAATACCCAGTCCGTATACCCCACGAATAAGTATAACCTACTGGAATAACCCAGGAAGTGGCACACGCCCAACACGTTAAGTCTCTAAGCCCCAAAAAAGAAAGAAAAGGATGCATTTCCCTGATCATATCTTACCACCCATGAACAGTAGGAAAACATGCCATTTCTCTACCCATGAACAGTGTGTGACCCATCAAAGAGGTCCGCATTTGCCACATGTGCTTGCACCGCGGCTAGCACATGATTCATCCCCGCTCCCGAACCTCCGCTTATCAACGCCGGACCTGTCGCTCCGGTTCCCAAACCTGCTGCTGCTGCCGGAACGGCATTCGCCGAACCAGATCCTGCTCCCCTCACCCCTCCGTACCCTAGATTCCCCCCACCTACCCCAATATTGCTCTCCCCCTCGCCCTCATTCCCCCCACCGTCTCCCCCCAAACCCCCCGCTCCGCCCACTCCCCCGTCCCCCTCCCCTTCTTCCCCCAGCGCCCCCCCTGCCCCTTTTTCCCCTTCCTGGATGAGCCGTGTGAGCAGCTCGTCTATCTGCACTGCTGTGGCGTCCCTGTTGGCTTTAGTCAGCGTGAGCACGGCTGAATGGGGGGGGGGGAGGGAGAGAAGGGAGGATAAGGAGGAATGGTATGAGGCAGAAGGGCATGGTTGATTCTCCCTTCCCCCCCCTCTTTATCCCCCTCCTGGATGAGCCGTGTGAGAAGCTCCTCTATCTGCACTGCCGTGTCGTCTCTGTTTGCCTTTGTTAGGGTGAGCACGGCTGCAAAAGAGGGGGTGGGGGGAAAGGAGTGGGGGGGTTGCTACGTGCCTGCTCATATGAAGTGATGCCTTGTTGTAAGGGCACGTCATAGATATTGTGACATTGTGAGACGAGCTTAGAGCGCCTCATAGATAATGTGATACGCACCGAAACGCATCCATGGCAAGAATCCTGTGCACCGAATCCATTGCATAAGCACCTGTGTCGGCGCGCTGCTTGATCTCCTCTACTAGCTCCAACGTGTGACCATAACGAGGGGCGGGCAGGGCACCAAACACCTGAAGACACACACAAACGAGAGCGAGATAGAAGTGAAAAGTGTGAACGCGTTGCGAATGCACAGGAGGAAGAGCGTATAGAGGAGGAGCAGGTTCTACGGAGTTGAATGGATAGCCTAAAGGCTGTGCAGCAGGGAGTTTGGTGAGAATGAAAGGGCTTACAGCAACAGGAGAGGCGAGCAGGTTGAGCACAGCGTCTCTGAACTTGTCACTGCAGAGCTCCATGCGCCCGATCTGGTGAGAGAGAGGGAGAGAGAGGGGAATGTAGGGAGGGGGAAGAGGGAGAGGGAGGCAGTAGGGTCGGAAGAGAGGGAAGAGGGCAGCAGGTTGAGAACAGCGTCTCTGAACTTGTCACTGCAGAGCTCCATGCGCCCGATCTGCATGGGAGCGTAGGGGAAGGACGAGGGCAGGGGGAAGTGGGACAGGGACAGAGGTAGGCAGAGGAGGGAGAGGGGGGGCAGCAGAGAAAGCGCGTGGGGTGGGGGGAGAGCAGAAGAGGCGAGCAGGTTGAGAACGGCGGCTCTGACCTTGTCACTGCAGAGCTCCATGCGACCGATCTGCATGGGGGAAAAAGAGGGGGGGAGAAGGGGAGTTGTGGGGAGATAGAGGGGAAAGAGGTTGGATGGAGATGGACGGGGAAGGGCGAGGACACAAACCTATCTGACGTGTGGTGTCCGATGGCATGAGGTGCAGCATGAGGTGCGGCATGAGGTGCGGCATGAGGTGCGGTATGGCAAGGATGACCCAAGAACCTACAAGCGCCATCTCACCTCGTCCACGATGTGCAGTCGTGTAGTGTCTGACGGCATGAGGTGCGGCAACACTACCCGCTCAAACTCATCTATTGCCACGTAGTACTTGCCGATCTAAAAGGGAGAAGTGATGAGGGAGAAAGAGAAAGAGAAAGGGAGAGAAGTGGAGACGTGTTGGGCTCATCGATTGCCGCATAGCTCATGCCGACCTGCAACCACATCGCAACGCGCGGGCCAGTTTCACCAACCAGCTTTACTGCCCCAACTGCATCTTCCACCTCCACCCTTCTCCAACCCATCTTCTCAAGCCTTCTCACTCCCATCAGCCCCCACCCGTCAAGCCCACCCTCCTTTTCCTACCTTATCCCCTTTCCCCTTTTTTCCCACCCCAGCGGTCCCCCATTCCGTCGTCTTTCCAGTCCCCCCTCTCCCCCCTCTCCAAATCCCCCGCATGAACCAAAACCCTGGTTTCCAAGATCGGGTCTGAAACCACTTCATATTCTGCATAGAGACGACCTTGACCCCTCCTGGATTCCCCATCCTCCTTCCCCCTCCGTTTCCACTCTTCCCACCTCACTCACACTCTTTTCCCCCCGTTCCCCTACCTCATTGCATCATCCTCCTTCCCCCCTTTCTCCCCCGTTCCCCCCATCCCCCCCACCTTGGGTCCGCAGCCTCTTCGTAATCTGCACAGAGGTGCGCGCTCGCCCGCGAAAGTGACTGTAACGGGGGAAAGAGAAGGGGAGGGGGATGGGGAAAACGGGAGAAAATGGGGAAAGCGGGAGAAAATGGGGAAAATGCGAGGGGTTGAGCGAGAGTGGAAACAACGCAAACATGAGTGGACGCAGATTGAGTTGAGAACAGGTGGGTGGCCAGAGGGAGGGGCGAGGAGGGGAGCGGGAGGGCGACGCGGAGGGGAAGGTGGAGGGAAAACAGAGATGCATAGGAAGGATGGAGAAAAGCACAGACCTCAATGCCTCGCTCCTACTCAAAACCCCCTACCAGTTACTCTGCACTCTCTCTCTTTCCCCCCACTCGTTCCCCTCCTCACTCTCCTCCTTTCATCTCCTCTCACTTCCTCTCTCCCTTCCCCTCACCCCCTCCCATACTCACTAACATCCAGCCCGAGTCGTTTCCCCGTGCCCTCCGCCTTCGTTTCCTCCCTTTCCTCCCACTCCCTTCCACCTCACGTCCTCACCTCCCCTCCCCTCCCCTTCCTTCCCCTCCCCTCCCCTTCCTTCCCCTCCCCTCCCCTTCCCCTCCTCCCATACTCACTAACATCCAGCCCGAGTCGTTCCCCCGTGCCCTCCGCCTTCGCCTCGACCGTGTAGAACCCCGCTACTAGATGCTGTGGTAAGCGCTTCGCCACCTTCAGAACCAGCCTGCAGTGTACACGCGATACGAAACCACAGGGGTGTATTCGCAATAACGTAACCCACTCAAAGCGGCCTAGCACCACCAAGACATCAAGCGTGTGCGAGTACCAACGGGGAAGACAGCAGAACTGACAAACGGAAATCGCTACAGAGATTCAGTTCAAATACGGGGCAATGAGAGCACGCTGGTACATAAATGGGACAAGAGGAGAAGGGGTGTCTGTGCACTCACGAGGTTTTCCCGATGCCTGGCGCACACGCGCCCACGCACGTCGTGTACGAGCCCACGCGTGTCATGCGCGCGCCACGCATGCCATGCACACGCGCCCACGCGTGCCATGCACACGCACGGCGCCAAAACGGGGGAAACGGGAGGCGGGAGGGGTGGGGATTGGAAACATAGCAGGGGCAGTTGAGCAACATGCACGGGGGCGGCGGGTTGAAGAGGCGAGAGAAGGACACGAATGGAGCCGCACGGGAAGCAAACCAGAACACGCGTTTTCAGATGTTTTCGGATGGGTCAAGCTTGAGTGGTCACCCTGTGCTGCTTCCGGTTCGTCTCAACCGTTGGTTGCGCCGCAGGATGCGGCACGACGAGCGGCAGGTTGAGGTGCTACAGTGCTGCTAGTCTGCTGTTTTAGACGTCTCAGGAAACGAGACGCGATCGCTATGCGGGTTACTCTGGCTGTTTTATGTGAAATAGCGGGCGGATGGCACAGGACAGTAGTCGGTGTGCTTACAAAGAGGTCCCTGGCTACAAAGACTTTTCCGCGATGATCGGGTGTGACAATATCGAAGTACCTGGCTGGCCGGTGACGAACACGTTCACGGTGGAGCTGTTGGCTCCGCCGGTGCCGCTGGTGCCTTCGTGCGAGACCATCTGAACCATCCACGGAGTCGCGGGGTGGCTGAATCTACGGCTCAGATTCGCTGCTAGCTGCTAGCTACGCTACGTATTACAATGCCGCAGCTTCGCCCAGTGAGCTGAATGTAACGTCGTGGTGACGCTATGTCTCCTCCGTAGGCTAGCTAGCCTAACCGCTGTTGCTATCTTCGTCCCTTGAAAAATGCGTAGCCTCTGTTAGTCTCTGCCTACTTCCGTGACGTCATGACGGGAAACGGATGCCTGAAGGGACTCTCGCGAATGGTTGGGACCAGCCACGTGACGGGACCTAGGCTTGACGAAATCTAGAATGTAAACAAACGGAAAATAACATCTGTCTTTCAAGACGCAGCGGTACGGAAGCTCCAAAGTGCTGGAGGAAGCGGGAAGCGAATGGGTCCGTGCTGTTTTGACGTTTCCTGTGTTAGTTTCTGCTGCGTGAAGGAGTAATGGATGCATGTACGTACGATGCAGATCCCCGCTTGGAGAGCAAGGGAGAGCAAAGGCAAGAAGGAACTGTTCTCTTTTGGAAGCAATGGGAGGAAGTGGTGAGGGGAGCATAAGTTCGTGTCCGTAGGCTTGACATGTCAAGTGAGGGCGTGTCAACCCGAAGCGCATTCAAATTAGCGTGTAAAACATTGTAGCTGAAGTGTCAAGTCGAAGCGCATGTACGAACATCAGCGACGGAATTTCATTGGTTTGAGAATTTGTCATGGGTGGATCTGCCAGGTAGCGAACAATTCAAAAGACAGATTGTGTGCTGATTGGGCAGCATCTGGTCGTGAGATAGGCACCTGCGACCATCTTCTCTCGTTTGTAGGTTTGACTGTGCCAATTTAGAAAGTGTCCGACGATTTGTATTGGATGGCAACATGCAATTTCTTGACACCCTGCCAACAATGTTGGCTGAGTGTCAAAATGCCAAATTGACACTGCCCGCTTTGACATGTCATCCCTACGGACACGACCTAACCCGAAACAGCTTGGCGAGGTGAATTCTGGGGAATGTCCTACCCCCAGAGCACGCATCGCGAAAAATCTGGATTAGGGGACGAAATTGCTGGAAGGAAAATCATTGAGTGTAAAAAAGGATTTGGAACTTGGCGAACCATGTGACGCTATGTTGCATAATGTACAGCGTGGTGACGCTAGAAACTGGAGAATGGTCAATCATTTGAAATCACCCTGCTGGGGCAGCTTACAAAAAATCCTTGGCGGTTGCTGGGTGGGCAGTGGCAAGTCCAGCGCACAGCCGGAAAAGCCGGGTGCCACTGCGCTGGACGCAACAGAGGCACAAGAAAGGCCAGGAGAAAGTCCCGCAAGCTCGAGGCGGGCTGAGCTGGCTCCACGTGGGACAAGACATGACTTGCTTTCGTGGCACATCCAATGAAATTGCAGGAGCCCCCAAGATGCTGTGCTGTAGATGTCCTGTCAGTCTGTGGTGGAGGAACAGCGTGTACACGCTGAGCAGGCAGCATGCAAACACAGTACAAGCAGCATGACCAAGTTGACCCAAATACCGCTGTTCTTCTCTACTCAATATATTACAATGTAAAAATGGCCAGTTATGTCTTTTGCCAAGATTATTCAGCCGCTGCATTTACCTGCAGCGCAAAACCAGATAGCAATTAAAACACAAAGCCTTACACACAAACAGCTATAAGCGCTATGCTCACGTGGGCAAAGCAGTTCATAACCCAGCTGAGCTTCCAAGCAGGCACTGCTGCTACCGTACTGTTTTGACCTCTTCGTGAATGGTTAAATACTATCTACCATGAATAACCACTCATTGGATCACAGGTAAAAAAACGGTTGGAGAGGAAAAATTGACCTCTACCAGTCATTAGGATACACTTGCCGGAGCTTCTTTCCAGGTACATACGTGCCATCTTGGAAACCCACGAAAAACTGCACGAGCACAAAAAAAGATCCACAATCAGGCTCCCCATTCGTGGATGCGCAACGGAGAGAATAGAACCAGAACCTAGCTTACCTTGGGAATCCAGGGGTGAACAACTGGTGAAGCATCACTCTGGGCTACGAGATTTTCCTGAGCGACGTAAGTGGAGACACCTCCTGCTCTATCTCGAGTGTCTACCAAGACGTGGTAGAATGGCTGGCTTCTCCCATGTGTCAATAGGTCCACTTTCATCGCATCTTGCCAGCTGGAAGGGGCCGAGCACTCAGGATCGTGACCGTACACAACGCCGCGATAGCCTGTACACGGAAGGGGGTGAACAAGGATGGTCTATTGGACTGGCCGTGATGAAGAGTGATAATGAGATGAAAATCGTTACAAACACTCACCGTATCTGCGGTGCACGATGACATCTCCCACACGGTACATAATGCGCGGTTTGGCCTGAATCTCTAACAAACGCTTCCGAAACTCCATCATAGCTAGGCTGTCGCGGACCTGCAAGAAAACGACAGCGTTAATGACTAATTTGGAAACACCGGTGCTACAAAAGCATAATCTCGAATGCAGCCTACCACGCATGCTTCCTCGTAATGTTCTGCCGCCACCAGAGCTGCCATCCGGTCTTGCAGCTCTTTCACCTCAGACGACACGACCACGTATGACTCGCTCATTTCTAATTCCTGCATAATCAATGGAAAGTGAGTGAGGCCCGTTACGAACACGAAGGGTATAGAAACACGACATAAAAGGAGCCAAGAACGGGAAAGACGCACCTTCCTAGCCCTCCTCTCCACAACGCAGTCATTTCCAAAAGAGTCGCGAAAATTCTCAAGCGGATCGGCCACTTCCATGCGCCAGGCCTTCGGTCGCCGGACTTCGCGATTGCAACAGACTTTAGTAGAGAGTTTTAAACATTGACTATTTCCAAACATCGAGGACATTGACGAGCGCACGGTTCGTCCTTTCTGAGCTACCTGCTCTTCACTTTTAAGTGGCCCATAACACGCGCAATCCTTCAAGACTACGGAGCTCGCTGAGAAGGCGGCCATAGCTAAAAAAATTCTAATGACTTCAAAACCCGTTGGAAAAGGTGAGCATCAAATAAAAAAATATCGGAGAGATCAACGATGGTGGTTGGCGGCGTTTGCAATGCTCGGCATGAAACAGCCAGAAAGCCTGTGACAACCTAGCAAGGGCAGTCCAGCACTGAAAAGGAGCCGACAATCGCCTTCGTTTGTTGGGAGTTCCAACAGGAGTGGGGAGGGAATAGGGAATGGAGAAGAGTTCTCGGGGGGAGGTCAGTCAGTCACATGGGCCGAGGGGAGGAGGAGGGAGATGGAGAAGGATCGGGCAGATGTCAGGTCAGGTGACATGGCATAAAAAAGGGATTGTGATCCGCTGAGGAGGAATGTTTACACGAGGAAGAGGTAGCATCCCTCCCAATGTGGAGCCACATTAGTGGCTGCGGTAGATCGTGGCACAATCAATGGCGCCGATTGGAAACCCGTTACCACTGGAGGCGGGCTTGGCGCGCAGGCTCCGACTGGCGGTGAATGGATGATGTTGCAGTTTCGTTTCCGTGCAGACCGCAACAGGATGAAAGGAGGACGTTCTGTCCACACGTGGTGACTGTGGATGGTGGTGATTTTGACGCGACCCATCGAAATCGACCGAAAATGTGTGGACATCCGTTTGAGGATATTCGATGTGCAATTGATATTCCCGTTTACTTGGGGGATGAAATCACGGAAAATTTTATGTACCGCACTGCTCTAAACCGTTTTGAAGACTGTCCGAAATGTTCTGTATCGCAAAGGATAAGAGGATATCGAAAGTGGTCTCCCCACAACCCATCAAACCACATGACAAAATGCTGTGATGTAATATCTAAGACTGAAATTAATGCGAGGCGCTCTTTACGCGTACAAATTCTTTGGTGAAGTTCCTTGTGAGAGCTTGTACGGCTGCGGTAAGGTTACGTGTGCTGATCAGCCTATGATAGTTGATGCCTATTTTAGGTGCTGATCAGCCTATGATTCCAGATACCGTAGTCATACTTAGTGCGGTGTGTACACGAGTAGGTAATAAGCTACGAAACAAATGTTTCGGATCTACAAAGTGGCAGCAGATCTTAGCTTTCTAGATCAGGGAAGACAATGGCATTGGCACTCATCGTCACACCTCATGGCCCCAAGCCTATTTTCAAGGCCATTTCGGGGATCCACCCGCCGCGAGAAGTTCATTCAGCCGCGAAGCATGTTATGGTAACCAGGAATGAATGGCGAACGAGCGACAACGATCGCGATCCTGAGCCGACGAAACCTGTGGGATTGACCATTAGGAGAAGGCCGTCTGGCATCGAGCGTGACGAGCCTGCTAGGGACCCTATCGCCGTCGGTGACTCATCAAACGCGCATTCGTGGCCTTCCACAGATGAACAGGTTGAAGGAATTGTCAGGACGAGTAGAGAAAGCAGAGAAATTTTAGACAGAAGAGTCAGCAGAGACAGAAGAGTCACCGGGAACAGGCAGGGTGATGTAGCCAGAAGCGATCAGAGGGTTAAAGGGCTGGTTGAGGTTCAAGACAAGGAATCGCACGGCTTGGTGAGAAAGCCTGTCAGGCAGGGACGGAATGTGGTCTTGAAAACGCGCGACCGGTTTGAGACGAATTCAGCGGCTTCAGATTGGCTTAGGGGGGAGCTTTTTGCCGGAAAAGCTGATGAGAATGCGTCAGCGTCGCCAGGCCGGCAGAGGGTGGCAGATCGGGAGAGTCGGTGTGCTGCTGCTAGGCTGGCTAACGAAGCAAGATCGTCCGATGCGGAGAGGCCTGCGGAGGAGGTGGGGACCCCTAGATGCATCGAGGGGCGTGGTGAGGAGGTAGGGAAGCTTCCATTGACAGAGGTGCGTACGGCTGGTGATACATTTCCGAAGCCATCCATAGCGTTAACTCCAGGCCCGACCAGCAGCAGCAGCCGACGCTGGGGAAATGACACTGCTGCTGATGCTAAAAGCAACATGGGTGGGGGGGTGGGGCGTGGGAGAGAGGGTGCGAGAGAACGGGCGGCGAAAGCAGCGGCGGAGATCAGATCCCGGGGGTTGAGGGGAACAGCGGAGGTGGTTGAGTGTGTCACACGCCACAGCCTGGCCGTTGATAATCGGACGCTTAACCTGCTGCTCGGGGTGATGGTGGGGGGAAGAGCAGTACAGGATAGTGGAGATCTTATAACGGAGGAGAGAAATGGTGGGAGAGCCGCAGATAGGAGGCTTCCCGCTGTGTCTGGAGAAGGGGGGACAGGGTTTAAGCGAGGGTTAGAGGAGAGGGATTGGGAGGGCGCAAAAGCGGTGGCGGAGGCGTTTGAGGCGGAAGGAGTGGAGTTGAATGAGCGGATCTACACCACGCTGATCTCATGCTTCGGGTGAGTGTGATCTCAAGGTGACCTTTGTGTTGCCTCAGATAACATTTAGTTGAGGTAATAAATGAGTTCGCTTCGAAAGTTTTTGAAGGCGGAAGGAGTGGAGTTGAATAAGCGAGTCTTCACCACGCTGATCTCATGCTTCGGGTGAGTGTGACCTCATGGTCCCTCCCCTGTCTCCTTCTCTCCTTCCCTCGCCCCCTCTCACCCCTTCTTGCCCTGTCTTCTGGTTGCCGTCACCACCAAAGCACCCACCGTGTTTTTAGCTCCCCCTTCTACTGCGTACTGCAGCAAGGGCGCGCGCATGGGGGGCTGCTGGCGGTGGCTCCGCGCCATGGAGAGGCAGTGGGGGGATTTTGTAGTCGACTATCTTATCTTTTCTTCCCCCCCATCCCTCCATTTTCTGCTCTCCCCCTTCCCCTGCGCGCTGCAGCAAGGGCGGGCGCATGGGGGACTGCTGGCGGTGGTTCCGCGCTATGGAGAGGCAGTGGGGGGCGGCGCAAGTGCAAATGGGAGCGCACATGCAACCAGTGGCGGAAGTGCAAGGGGAGGCGCAAGTACAGGGCGCGGGCGGGGGAGAACAGGGGGAGGGGGAGGCTGAGGGGAGGTTGGAAGAGAGGAGCGGGGAGCAGAGAGGCTGGGGGAAGGAGGGGGAACGCGAAGGCAAGAAGGGGGAAGGAGAGGGGGGTGCGTACGGGAAGCATGTGTTGCTTCCAGAGGATATCTATGACGTCATGCTGGGGGCATGTGTACAGGTGAGCACGGGGGAGGTGAATTGAGAACCTGGGGAAGCGGGAAAGTGGGGAGGGGTGGTGGTTGCGTACGGGAAGCATTCGCTGCTTCCAGAGAATATCTATGACGTCATGCTGGGGGCATGTGTGCAGGTGGGATTGCGGACGAGGGATGTTACGCAGAAGAGGGGGAAAGGAAGGAGGATGAGTGGGTTCGTGTGAAGCTGTGATTGGGCCACTGCCCATTGTATGGTCAGTGATTCCGTTTCCGTGTTCTTTTTCCGCTTGCCCTCCTCATCTTCTCCCATTTGTCCTCCCAGTGCGAGGACTGGAAAGGTGCCCTAGCCATCTACCACCACCTCTCAGCACATGGGTCTGCTGCCACATCAGCAGCAGCAGCAGCAGCAGCAGCAGCAGCAGCATCATCATCATCGTCATTAGGAGCAATAGCAACACCACCTGCATCAACAGCAGCACTGTCCCACTCACATCCCCATCACCATCACCAGCAGCAGCAGCAGCAGCAGTGGGCGCATGCCAACTGCCAGTCAGTTCGCGCTGGTGTTGAGAGCATGTGCACGAGCAGGCAGGTGGCAGCTCGCCAGAGACCTGCTGCTCGCTGCTGATGATGTGTTTGTTGCTGCCCTTGCTGCTTCTGGTTCTGCTGCTGCTCGTGGTTCTGGTTATGCTCGTCCCCGTTCTGGTTGCTCTGCTGCTGCTGCTGCTGCTGCTGCTGCTGCTGATGGTGCCGTTTCTGGTTCTGGTCTTGGTGCTGCCGCTGCTGATGGCAGTGATGGTAGTGGTGGTGCTGGTAATGGTGGTGGTGTTCGTTCTGCTGCCTCTCCTCCGCCTCCTCTTTCCCCACACCACCCGCCCCTTGCCACCTCATCTGCCATGTTCACTGACGTCATCACAGCTTGTGCCAGGTCAGCACAGCCAGCTCCAGCTCTCTGGCTGCTCGACCGCCTCGATTCTCACCCTTCCCCCGACCTCCATGCTGACGTGGCAGCCTACACAGCTGCCATCTCAGCATGTGCGAGCGTTGGTCAATGGGAAAACGCCATCCGACTGCTGACTAGGATGCAGCAGCAGCCAATCGGAAAAGAAATGGGCAGGACTGGGAAAGCCTCTTCCATGCCTCCTGGTTTTGAGGCTCGGCCGAAGCTGGAGGTTCGGGGAAAGCAGGAGGTACGTCGAAAGCCTGCACTTCGGCCGAACGTGGTGACATGGACGGCGGTGATGTCAGCATGTGCGATGGCAGGACGTGCTGACGTGGCAAGGGAAGTGCTGAGACGGATGATGCAAGAAGGGAAAGGGGAGGAAGGTCAGGGGAAAGGAGAGGGTGAGAGGAAAGGGGAGGGTGAGGGGAAGGAGGAGGAGAGAGTAATGAACAGACGAAGGAAAGAGAGCAAGGAGGAGGAGAGACTGGGTATGACAGGTGCCACCTCAGTATCTTGCTTGGATGCCATGTCAGACGCCACATCAGATTGTCGGCCCAATGTGGTGACGTGGACAGTGGTGCTGACTGCATGTGCTAGGGCGGGGGAGTGGCAGCAGGCAGAGGCACTGTTCACCCAGATGCAGACAAGCGGAGTGATGCCAAATGAGGTCTCCTGGGCGGCATTGATCAGCGCGTATGCCAAGGGCGGGCAGTGGGAGAAGGCTATCAGCACCCTCAGAGCCATTGGAAGGGGACGAGGTGGGGAAAAAGAGAAGAGGGGGATGGAGGAGAAGGGAGAAGTGGAGAGGGAAAGTGGGAGTGGAAATCCAAAGGATGTTGAAGGAAGAGAGATCAGTAACGGGTCACCATCAGCATCATCCGAAGCAGCAACATCAGCAGCAGCAGTAGTACCAGCAGCAGCAACGCCATCTGAGCCGCCTAATCCACCTCAATCCTCACCTCTCCCGTCTGCCTGGAACGCTGCACTGCATGCGTGTGCCAAGGCCGGCAAGTGGAAGCTTCTGGGAAACCTCGTGCAGGAGATGCAGGAGGTGGGCTGTCCCCCTTCTGTGGTGACCTATGGGGTGCTGGTGGGGGGGTATGGGCGCGCGGGGCAGGCACGACTGGCGAGAGAAGCGTTTGAATCGATGCTGTCTGCAGGAATAAGGTGAGGATAGAGGGGATACCATTTCTCTTGGGTGCTCCCCCTCTGTGGTGGACCTATGGGGTGCTGGTGGGGGGGTATGGGCGCGCGGGGCAAGCAAGACTGGCAAGAGGAGCGTTTGATGAAATGTTATCGGCAGGGATAAGGTGAGAAAGAAGGAAATACCATTCCTCTGAGGTGCCCCCCCTCTGTGGTGACCTATGGGGTGCTGGTGGGGGGGTATGGACGGGCTGGGCAAGCAAGACCGGCGAGAGATGCGTTTGATGCAATGCTATCAGCAGGGTTAAGGTGAGTCTGAAGGAGGTAGATGTGGCTTCTTCCCCCTCTTCTCCCGCACCCCCCCTTCCTTTCTTCTGTGGTGACCTAAGGGGTGTTGATGGGGGGTCATTGGGCGAGTGGGGCAGGAGAGCTTGAGGAAGTTGGATGCGATGCTGGATGCACAGGTAGGGTTTAGGGTGACTCCTGACTTGCGCTGACTAGTGCTTCTGATCAAATGAACGTTGGTATTATGGAGATTCCTGTTCTTCACTTTTCCTTCCTGCCTTTCTCCCATTCCCTCTGTTTCTTGCCCATCTATAAATTTCTTCTTGCTAAAGGCCAAACGCAGTGGTGTGTGCTTCGATGGTGCGAGCGTACACACGTGCCCGCCAGTTCGGGCAGGCCATGAAATTCTTCGAGGCGATGCCCGGACTCGGGGTGGTTCCTGACAAATACACCTACACCGCACTGCTCTGGGCTTGCGGTGCCTGCAGGCAGTGGCAACGGGCAGAAGAAATATTTTCGAGGATGAAGCGGCAGGGGTGTGTGCCGGATGGGGTGACATACAGAACATTGATAGAGAGCTATGAGATGAATGGAGAGTGGGATAAATCCATGGAGGTTCTAGAAGACATGAATGCATTGTCTTCAAGAATGTTACAATGGACACGCCATGGCAAAAGGCAGTGATGTAATGTAATCATGACCTTGTGAGAACCTGTCTTGGCACAGCACTCCAAATCCACCCTCATGTGCAATTTGTGTGGAAGCAAGCAATTACTATATTTATGTCGATAACAAAACAATTCTTTCACAATATTGTGAGTACATAGTTATCTCTCTACCTGTACTCCCCCCTTCTATCTGCTGCGCATTCAAGCGCCAGCACAGTTCTCTTTTCAATACTATCAGTCATATAAGCACTTTCCAGATTGCTAGTACCGTAGCTGTGACTGGTATGCATGCTCTCTCCAGGTGTCTGGCCGAGCAACCAGCTAGCCATCCGAACTGTCCAGCTGCCCAACTGTTCCCCAACCAAATCAGCGCAGTACGATGAACTTCTCGCCGTTCACTGCCTGGATCTTGCCCACCCTCTTGATAATCTCCTGGAACCGCTTCTTATCCTGCCAGCCACACACATGGAAGAGGAAAGAAACGATGCAAGGATGAGTACAAAGGGTGGGGATGAGATGAGAGCAGGTATGGGCACAGCAGCAGGACACAATCTGGTTTTTTAAAGGGCCACCATGACAAGACAAGCCTGAATTGACCCACCCACCGCAATTCCCACCTCCCAACCGAACGCCCACCCCCTCTCCCATGCCCACCTTCCACTCCCATGCCCACATTCCACTGCACACAGAATTTGTCTCTCTCACCCATTCATCTCTTGACTCACCTCGGCAGTATTGAGGCACGATCGGAAGCGGTTCACCAGATCGGCGCTCTTGATAGGCGCCTGCCTCCTCTTTTGATTGGACTCACAAGTCAAGTATCTACTTTACAGATCACACGACTCACCTCGGCAGTCTTGAGGCACGATCGGAAGCGGTTCACCAAATCGGCACTCTTGATAGGCGCCTGCCTCAAAATACCCTTCACCGCCTCCTCTGTCACCGCTGTCGGCTTAGGCCCTGCCGCTGCTGCCCCAGATGCACCTCCCCCAGATGTACCTCCCCCTGCCTTCCCTGCTGCAGCTCCCCCTGCCCCTGGTTCCCGCTTCGCAGGCAGAGGGGGGGTTCGTTTCCCCGGTTCCACCTTCCCCTTCTTTGCCCCTGCTGCCGCTGCCCCAGATGCACCTCCCCCAGTTGTACCCTTCTCCAGGTCCTTCCGCTTCAGCCCCCTCCCTGCTGCTGCCGCCGCTGCTGCTGCAGCAGCACTTAGCGCAGCAGCAGCACCAGCAGCCACAGACGCCGCTGCTGCCCCCCCCTCCCCCTTCCCACCTCCTGCCCCCTGCCCACCCGCCGCTGCTCCAGCCCCCTTCCCCTTCTGGAAAATAGGGGAGAAGGCAATGTCTAAATCCTCTTCGTCGTCTTCCCCGTCCTCCTCCTCTCCTGCTCCCCCGAGTCCCCTCGCTCCCATCCCCTCCTCCCCTTCCACCCCAGCCTTATGCAGCAGCTTCTTTAGGGCCTTGCCTGAGAGGCTTAGGGCTCCCCCCTCCCCTTCCGCCTGCCCCTCGCCCTCCTCCTCCTCTTCCTCTTCCTCCTCCTCCTCCTGAACGGACAGAGGAGAGGGGAAGGACGGACGGAGGGGGAGGAAGAGGGGGAAGGGAGGAGGGGGGAGGAAGAGGGAGAAGGGAAGAGGGGCGAAATAAAATTCGAAACCCTTCTAGACACGAAAAGAAAGGAGAGAGGAGAAGCGTGGAAAGGGGAGGGAGGAATGGGAGGGGGGAATGGGAGGGGGGTGGGAGAGGGAGAGGGCGCCCATCAATCAAGGCATTCTCACCTCTTAAGCCGGGCTCCGCTCCTGCTCCTTCTCGTCCTCCTTGTCTTCTAGCTGGATTGCTGCTGCTGCCTCGTCACACACACACGCAGAGACACACAAACACCTCTAACCATCCATCAAGCCACCCTCTGCCATTCTCACCTCTGAAGCCGGGCTCCTCTCCTGCTCCTTCTCGTCCTCCTTGTCCTCTGGCTGCATCGCCGTTGCCTCAGCAGCACAACCACGCAGAGAGACAAACACACCCCTGCTCATACCACATTATTACCCTCTGCCCATGCATCAAGCCTCTCTCACCTCTTTAGTCGGGCTCCACTCCTGCTCCTTCTCGTCCTCCTTGTCTGCTAGGTGGATTGCTGCTGCTGCCTCGTCACACAAACGCACAGACACACAAACACCCCTGCCCATGCATCAAGCCTCGCTCACCTCTTTAGTCGGACTTCGCTCCTGCTCCTTCTCGTCCTCCTTGTCCTCTGGTTGCATCGCCGTCGCCTCGTCATCATCTGAAAACAGCTCGTCGTGCTCCCAGTCCTCGCCTGCAGGGGAACAAGGGAGAGTAAGCATAATGTAACGTTCTTCTAGGTGCCTCGTCACCGACTTTTGAGAAGTCTCAAAAGCTCCCAGCCCTCGCCTGGTGGGAGGAAGGGAGAGTAAGCATAATGTAAGTGTTCTTCTAGGTGCCTCGTCACTGTCCAAAAACAGCTCGTCATGCTCCCAGTCCTCGCCTGGTGGGAGCAACGGTGAGGTTCACATAGAGGTTCACATAGAGGTTCACATAGAGGTTCAAAATCTTCCGTGTGCACCTCATCATCATCGTCGTCATCCCCTCCCTTGCACTCTCCTCCTCCTCTCATGTATTCAGAGCAATACTAATGCTACCACTACTGACTAACACCCTCTCACCTTTATCCCCGTCCATTTCCAGTTCAAAGTCTTCCGTGGGCACCTCATCATCATCGTCATCATCTCCTCATAACTCACAGTAGTATGTCAAACTAAATCTGAGATAGTACTAATAAAACCACTACTGACAACACCCTCTCACCTTTATCCCCATCCATCTCCAATTCAAAATCTTCCGTGGGCAACTCATCGTCATCGTCATCATCCCCGCCCTTCTTCCCCTTCCCTCTCCTCCTCCCCTCCCCGTCCTCCATATCTCCCCCCATCCCCTCATCGTCCGATCCTAACCCATCATCCAACCCTCCCTTCTTCCTCCCTCCTCCCCTCCCCCCACCGCCCCCTTCCTTCCCTCCCCCGGCGAGAAGCTTCTCGGATTCTTCCTTGGTGAGCCACCGCCGAAACCCATCGGCCTTGCGTCGTTTAGACTGCATGCACAGCTCTGCTTCTTCTAGGGTCAGCGTCTTGTACTGCGCTTGCTTCGTAAAGGCGTACCTGGGAGGTGGGAGGGACGGTGGTGGGGGGAATGGAGAGTTTGAACAAGGAGGGGCTTGGTGAGTGAGTGGTTTAGAAACTGCATGCACAGCTCTGCTTCCTCTAGGGTTAGCGTCTTGTACCAGGCTTGCTTTGTGAAGGCGTACCTAGGGGAAGGGGGAGGGGGGAGGAGAGGGGGGGATTGAAAGAGGAGTTTGAACAATAAGGGGCCAGGTGAGTGCTTCAGTGACCGCATGCAGATGCTTAAGAAGATTCACATTTCTACTTCTTCTTCTAGAGTCAGCGTCTTGTGCTGGGCTTGTCTTGAAAAGGCGTACTTCGGATGGGATGGGATGGGGAGTGGGAACAACAGGAGCTCAGTTACCACACCACACCACAGCACATCACACCAGATTACACTGCACCGCACCACGCCGCACGAAAACACACCACACCTCACCGCACTGCACCACACCTCACCACTGGCTAGCGGGGATGGCGACAAACTCCTTGCCGTGCATGACGAGCAGATAATACGCCGAGTGCTGCCACCCACCCTCCATGTGCCCCACATACGACGCCTGGCCTGTGTCGTCCTCTAGTAGCAATGGCCGCGTGCGCGCTTTGGCCTGTAGTGGCATGTTAGGAGCGGGGTGAGGGTGGTGGGCACGGAGGCATTTGAGCAGGAAAGAGGGACAACTGGCCTGGCCCGTGTCTTTTCTAGTATAAGCAGCTACACGCGCACCTTCGCCTGGAGTGGCATGTGAGGCGGGGTGATGGGTGATGGGCATGGAGGCATGGGGTTGCGTGGGGGCATGGGGATGCATGGGGGCATGGGGGCATGGGGGGTGCATGGGGGCATGGGGCGCAAACGGCAGGAACAGCAGCAGCATTGTTGCAACTTGCAACTACATGCATCCATGTCACTCTGGGCTGATGGTGGTTTGGAGGGGATTTTTGAGGTAACGTGTAACACAAAAGGGAGGCATAAAAGGACAAAATAAACCACCTGCTCACCCGCGCAGCCTCGGACAGCACTCTCCCGGCAGGCACCCCTTCTCGTTTCATCGTCCACCCCCTCTCATCTCCTTTTTTCAGTCCGGGCAGCCCCTGCGGAAATTTCCCGATAAAATAGTCTCTGCTGACCGGCTTGACGCGGACTAGGAACTCCTTAACTAGCTTATCCACCACCGCGCCGCACTGCTGACACGTGGCCTGTTTCTCAGCCATGCTCCGTCCGCACGCGTTACAGAGCGACATGTGTCCGCACTCGCTCTGCGAAAGGTCTCCTCCCGTCGCTCCGCACCCGCTGCACGCGGCTGGCGGAAGCGCCTTCTTCGCGGAGGCGGAAGCGGAAGCGCTTCCGCCAGTTCCCCCCGCGGAGCCGGCGCCTCCCGCCGCTCCGCCTGGTTCTTGCTTGACAGGCGGTTTGGCGGCGCCTGTTTGGGGTAGTGGTTGCGCCGGCCGCTGCTGCAGGTTTTGCGGCGGCTGTTGCGGTCGGCCTGCTGACGGATACGACGCCATGCGCTGCTGCTGTCGAAGCTAAGAAACGATTTTTTAGTCAACTCTCCCACGATCGAACTATTATGTCGCGGATGTAGGAATTGCCGGTGTTGATTAGTCGAAGATGGTTGGAGAAGCGTGAGTTACACGGCCTAAGAAGGCCAAATCGCCAATGGCCCGCGAAGACCAACTCGCGATAAGTATTCTCAAGGAATGTCAGTTGGGGAATAATGTAGGAACGGGGCCGACTCGTTTCCCCGAGATCATCACCCTAGGGATTATTGGCATTCGCCCTAAAAGAAACATCGCGTTTGCCAATTCGCAGCTCAAACAAAAACTAGATGGGACGTGTTCAAAACCGGACTACATATGATTTGGACTGCGGATAAAAAAAACTCATGACAATTTTGACTAATGGTACTTTGCAATTGAAGCTAATAATCCATAAAAAATGCTATCTCAATGGTAATGAGTCCTAAACAGTGCATTCCTAACTAGCTAGTATTTGGACAGCATGCGGATGGCCGATCCGACGGTGGGGAACGCCTCGTGCACATCCAAGAGATCATGGAAATCCGCGGCATCGGTTGCCCCCACAAAGAGCCACTTGGATATCCTCGATATAAACTCCTCCAGTGTCGGCGACAAAATGGCCTCCCAGTCCACCTGAACATCAGGAGGCGGCTTGGCAGTGATCTCCTTGCCTGCCGCCAGGAAAAGGCCGAGCAGGCTGGAATAGCCTGCCATGGCGGATCCCCGGGAGAGGGGAGAGAAGTTGTACCTGATGGTGGGGAAGAGGGGAGATGGGCATGGGAAATGTGGGAGGCATGGGGTACTTTGTGAGGTGGCTCAGAGGGTGGACAGGCTGGAGTAGCGGCCACAGCAGAGCCCCGACTTAGTGGGGAGAAGTTGTACGTGATGGCGGGTGGGAATGAGGGTGAAAGGAAGGCAGGTGCTTGAAGACACTTGAAGAGAACTGGACGCTCTAGAGGGATCAGAGCAAGTACAGGTAGCATCTAGACTGACATGCGCTTCATGTATGGGAGCCTTCCCAAAGATCATCACAGCTCTCAGTCTAGCCTAGGGGGTACCCACCAGTAATAGACGACGCGCAGAATGGCGGTTTTTACAAGCTTGGAAGGGGCAGCCTAGGGGGTACCTACCAGCCTAGGGGAGTGACATTTGCTGCATGGAAAGGGGCAGCCAAGGGGGTACCCACCAGTAGTAGACGACACGCAGAATTGCGGTCTTCACCAGCTTGTCGTCCTTGCTCTTCTTGGCATCTGCCATCACCTCACACAGGTTCTGTTGAGGTGGACGGGTTGAGAGGAGGGGAGGGGAGATTACAGGGAGGTCTGTAAGGCAAGTGTTTACACCTTACACAAGTGTCTGTAGGGCACGTGTCATTTCTTCACGAGCTTGTCGTCCTTGCTCTTCTTGGCGTCTGCCATCACCTCAAACAGGTTCTGTTCGTATGGGGGATAGTTGGTGGGGGATGAAAGTGGGAGGAAGGGAGGTGAGGGAGGAAGACGTGATGGTTGCAGTGCAACCACAATGCAATGCATCTGCTGTTACCATGCCACACTGCTGCTACCATGCCACACTGCTGCCACACTGCTGTTAACATGCCACACTGCTGCTACCATGCCACACTGCTGCCACACTGCTGTTAACATGCCACACTGCTGCTACCATGCCACACTGCTGCCACACTGCTGTTAACATGCCACACTGCTGCTACCATGTCGCATTGCTGCAATCACAACCGTCACTACCATGCTGCAGAGAGCTCAGCATCATACTCCTTCCATTGGGAGGACATCAGGGACATATTATCGTGGCACAATGTACTGTAGCAAACATGTTACACCTTCACCTTCCATGCTGCTACGCTGATGTTACCACGTTACACTCTCTCTCACCTTCCATGCAGTGAGCTCAGCATCATATTCCTTCCACCGAGGGGGGGGGGGTGTCAGGGGCATACTAATGGAAACGCTGCTGTTTCCACACTGTGTGGTTACCACTGCTGCTACCACGTTTCGCGCTCACCTTCCATGCAGCAGCGAGCTCAGCATCATACTCCTTCCACCGCCGGGGGGGCGTGAGGGGTATGTTACCATGTCACACTGCGGTTACCACGTTACGTTGCTGTAAGCACTGTCCTCACCTTCCATGCAGCAGTGAGTTCAGCATCGTACTCCTTCCACCGGGGGGGCGTGAGGGGCATCTTGATGGCAAAGTCAAACGCCCCATCGCCCCTGCGACATGCATGCACGTAGCAAGAGTGGGCACCGGAAGGGGAGTGGAGGATGCAAAGTGTTCATTGACGCCCCTGAAATATCAAATGCTTCATCTTTCTGAGAAGCGCATGCAGCAAGAGTGAGCGACGAAAGAGGAATGATGAATGCACAGAGGATATCGATGGCTTTAGGGCTCAAAAGAGGGGAGAGAGAGCCTGAGAGAAGATGACTGGTTACAGAAAAACGAAGGTCCGGACTGCTGAATTCGTTATTGCGTAATCCAGTAAAAGGATCCCATCTAGCAGGAAAGTGATTGCCTGTCAGACAATAATTTGGTCAAGGGCACTAGCTGTGGGAGCATGTGAGCGAAGAAAGGGGGTATGGTGGGGCTTACAGCTTTCGGATGGCTAGGGTAGTCCCGTTGAGCATGTAGCTGCCGACAGAGTAGTATTGGGGGGGGGGAAGGGTGGGGGGCGAGAGGAGTGTGTGAGGGGAGGGTGGGGAGCCGCCGCAAAAGTACAGAGTGTATAACCTTTAGCAAGGAGGCGGGCTGACCGGGTGAGTGAGGGAAACGTGGGGGAAGGGGATGAAGACAGAATGTGGTGAATGCTTTGGAATAAGTGAGTGAGGTTGGAGTGAGGGGGACACGGAACTCACTCAGGCTTCGCTGTGGAGAAGCATGGCACGGTGATGAGGAAGTTCTGCCCCACCACGTTCCACAGCTCCTCGGGTGTCTCCGCTGCTTCCACCTGCATGGTGCATCAAAAAGAAGAGGGCATACAGTGAGGAGAGGGAGGAAAAGGAAGGAATGGGAGAGGGGCACAGTCATGAGGAGGCTCTGCCCCACCACGCTCCACGGCTCCTCCAGTGTCTCTCTACGATAATCCACGAGGCAGCCACTCAACAGCATAACAGTACTTCGCATGCAGCCTTGGGAATCAGCACACGCACACACCCCCTCACCTCAGCGTCCATCTCAACGGGAATCTCGTATTTCTGTGTCAGGTCCCCAATTTCCACTGCTCCCTGCTCCAACATCTCGTCTCTGATCAGTGCGAAAGCCCTGGAAGAGGAGATGTGAGGGACAGTACAAGAGGGAGAGACGTGCAGGAAAGTAAAGGAGGGATTAGGGGCAATGGGGGAAGTAGAGACGGGTGAAATAAGGGGGGCAATTTTCCCAGGGCACTGTCTCTACTAGCACTGACTCCACGGCTGTGTTCCAGCAACAGGTCTCCACTAGCAATGTTCCAGAGTGTGTCTCCCACAGCTACCATGCGACAGGTCTCCCACCCTCTCTCACCCCTTGCACCCACATGTAGTAGTTAGCATAGTATTGGAGGCTTTTGGAGTGCCCCTGCACAACTGCAGTCACACCTGTTGCCTCCCCTGCTGCTCTCACCATTGCTGTGTTTCAGTGCATCCTCACACCAGTCGCCTCCACTGCTTATCTCTCACCAACCCACGCACCCACCATTGCTGCTACACATGCAATTACCGTGCTGTGTACATAAACAAGCAGGCCACAGCACCAATCCCCAACCCACCTGCCATAGTTAGCATAGTAGCGGAGGTTCGTGGAGTGCCCCTGCACCATTGCTGCTATTACCGCTGTCTCCTCTCCACTGCTGTGTCTCCGGTGTGTGCCTCCCACCGCTGCTCTGCCCAGCCTATCACCCACGCACCCACCTGTCGTAGTTGGCATAGTAGCGGAGGTTCTTGGAGTGCCCCTGCACCATTGCAGTCACGGCACCAAAGCCCTTTTCGAACTCCTCCTGGCTGCAAGTGCAACGTGAGGAGCAGATGGGAATCAGATGAGGAGCACGAAGGAGAAAAACACAAGAAGCACAGAGAGAGACATTGAAATCGCTCAGTTATGCGTGCGGATGTTGGCGGGTTAATCACCCCCTGCTGTGAAGAGCACATGAGGAGCAAAGCGACACACAGACACAGACACAGTAACACAGAGACGCATTGTGGGCCGTGCGTGCGGCCCCAATACTCAACCATTATCCCGTCATGTGTTGCACGACCTTTATGTTGATTAATTTCCAACAGCATAGCACCATCACCAATAGCACAGCATGCAATGGAGTACAGGTCCCTCCACCCGCCCACAGTCACCCCTCATTCCTCCTATCCTTACCAGCCACACAGCGCCCTTACCAAGTGCACAGCACCATCACCAACCGCACAGCTATGTGACGGAAGACGCAAGACGCGTCTTGCGTCTAGCGTCTAGACGCAGCGTCTAGACGCTAGACGCGTGTTTAGACGCTAGACGCTTGGGTAAAAAAATTTCGGTCAGCCCAATTCTCGCGGCCGAAATTGGATTTCGCAATTTTGACGCGAAATTCAATTTCGCAACATTTGAACACCCTCCCACCCATTTCGACAATGAAAAACAGCCCAACCAACCAACTTTTGTTACCCCCCAACCCAAATTGCAACCTCAAAGGTCTTTGTGGACCACCACCAAAGGCATATAGGAGCACAACCACCTCATCTGTGCTCCTCACATCAAGTGCAACTCAATTCTCCTTCAAAAACCCTTGGGGTTTACACGCTAACTCAATTCTTCTTCAGAAACCCTCAACCCTTTTTGCCAAAATGTGTGCAATGTCCTTCTCCCCGCCTCTCCACGCCCTATAAGAGGGATTTTTTCGCTGCCCGGACGTTTTTTTTAGGCCTGCCCGGGTTTTCGTCTAATATCTAGTCTGGCCTGAAATGCGTCTAGCGTCTTAGACGCTGCGTCTAGACGCAACCGTCTAAGACGCTAGACGCGTCTTCCGTCACATAGCCGCACAGCACCAGCACCGCACTCACGTGAGCTGGTCGACCCACACGATGGGGTCACAGGGCTCTGACAACAGCCGCCAGCGCACCGCAATGGAGTACAGGTCCCTCCACCCTCCCACCGTCACCCCCGCCTCCTCCTCATCCTCATCCTCCTCCTCCTCATCATCATCGTAATCATCGTAGTGGTCACTCCGCCTGCTGCTGCTGGTTCCCTTGCTGCTGCTGCCGCCCTTGCTCTGCTGCTTGCTCGCTGTTGCTGCCTGCTCTCTCCACGTGGCGCGTGCTGCCTGCATCATCTCCAGTGCTGCCATGCCTGCTGCACGGTGCTGTTAATTGGGGCGGAGGGGCGGATGGGGGAAGGAAAACGAGAGCAGGAGGGAGTGACCTTCAGGCACTACATGACCCAAGGCTCTCTACACGTCGCGCGTGCTGCCTGCATCATCTCCAGTGCTGCCATGCCTGCTGCACGGTGCTGGGGTAGCAGGAACGGTGGAGAAGGGTGGAGAGAGGTAAAGGTTGGGATGGATGGAGAAGGATGGAGAGCATGCAGAAGAAGAACCAGCGAGAAGGGGGACAAGGGGGGAAAATCTCTCGTGCATTTGTGCCGTGCAGCTTGCATCATCTACTACGCTGACACGGCTTACTGCGACTACCTGTCTCTGGTTGGGCAGAACGCTCTGATGCCGAGCCTACCTGTCTCTGGTTGGGCAGAACGCTCTGATGCCGAGCCTACCTGCCTCTGGTTGGGCAGGAAGCCAGGGGAAGTGTACTGCGTGCGGGCACCAACGGTGTCTGCACTGCAGTCTTGATGAGCTCCTTTGTTCCCCGCTTCACCTGCTCACTCATGTGCCTGGTGTGGCATGATGTATGATGTAGCTGAACCTACTGGCATATGCCGAGCCTACCTGCCTCTGGTTGGGCAGGAAACCGGGGGAAGTGTACTGAGTGCGAGCACCAACGGTGTCTGCAGCCTTGACTAGCTCCTTCCTGCCCCGCTTCACCTGCTCACTCATATGCCTGGTGTGGCATGATGTATGGTGCATGATGGTGCATGATTTGATGTGATGCATGGTGTGCACATAGAAGGCATCAAGCACAATGCATGATGTATGGCACGTGCAGGTGGTGTGCCGTGTACCACGCATACCATATGTGTGTGTTCGCGTGCCATGCAAGCTCGCATGCATGCACACACACACATGCACAAACACGCACAGACAAGCATGCACACACACACAGCAGCAGCAGGATTTGAATCTCATTCAGCTGTCAAACACCCTTTGGTACGGTTGCGAGGGGTGTGGGAAGGCGCCCTGCTGTGCATGCCTCTCACATCTCTCATCCTTCTCACCCACTTCTCTGGTTTCATCTGGTTCTCGAACGCCGACCGGTATGGTTGCGGGCGATAGGCTGAGAAGGGGAGCCTTGATGTGCGTACCTCTCACATCCCACTCTTTCAATCCAAGTCTCCCGTGCCCTCTCTCACTCACTTCTCTGGTTTCATCTGGTTGTCGAATGCCGCACGGTATGGCTGCGGGCGGTAGGCGGGGCGGGGAGCCTGGCTGTGCATGCATCTCTCTCACATCCCTCTCTTTCAATCCAAGTCTCCCGTGCCCTCTCTAACGCACTTCTCTGGTTTCATCTGGTTGTCGAATGCCGCACGGTATGGTTGTGGGCGGTAGGCAGGGAAGAGGTCCGTGGGCACGGACCGACGGGCCCATGCTTGCTGCGAGGGGCAGTGGGGTTGGGGGAAGAGGCGAAGAGGAGAAAGAAGATGAAGGAAGTGGAATCTGAAATAGGAGCAGGGATCAGACAACAAAAAGAGGTCGGTGGATGGCTTGCCGTGCCCAGGCCTGCTGTGAGGGGTGGTGGAAGGTGGGGTGGAAGGAGGAAGAGCGATATGACAGAAAGGGTATGAAGAGGAGGAAAAAGAGGAACAGGGCAAAGAGGTTGGCTGGTGGGCACGGCACGGCACGCCATGCTTGTTGTTAGGGGCAGTGGAGGTGGAAAAGTATAAGAGTCAGTGGGTATAGCCTTCCTGAGCCCAAGACCTTGCATCAATGACCTTCGCTTCGTGCCCCAAACCCCACCTCACCTTTTGGCAAGATGAGGCGTGAAGCGTACCTTAAACTCGGGCCCAAAATTTGACTTCGAAAGTCAAATAACAACTGAATTCACTAAAAATCGCAGCTTCTGCCAAGCTGAGATGTGAAGCGTACCTTGAACTCAGGCCCGAAGTTGTCTTCAAAGTCAAAGTCGCGGAGAGGCTTGTTGAGGCGAGACGCTGTGAACTGCGCCACCTCCCTCTGTGCATGAGAGTGAGTGATGGAGCCCGGGTGGGAGAGAGAGTGGGAGAGGGAGGGGGAAAGAGTGATGGATGCATGGAGAGGGTGAGGTAGGCAGAAGGGGCTTGTTGAGACGAGACGCTGTGAACTGCGCCACTTCCCTCTGTGTATAAAAGTGAGTGATGGAGCGGGGGTGGGAGAGAGCGAGGGAGAGGGAGTGGGAAAGAGTGTTGGATGCATGAAGAGCGTGAGTGAGACGGAGAGGCTTATTGAGGTGAGAAGCTGTAAGCTGCTCCATCTCCCTCTGTGCATGACAGTGAATGGTGCGTGGGGAGTGGTGAAAGAGAGAGATAGTGAGCGGGTGGGAGAGAGTGAGCAGGTAAGAGAGTGAGATCGAGCAATTGAGGGTTGGTGAGAGTGAGCGAGTGCAAGCAAGTGAGCGGGTGGCTTGAGTGAGGAACCACATGACAGCACAAAGGCAGCAAACAAAAAACACAAAGCAAAAGGAGAGGGAAGGTGCGAGAAGCATGAATTCTTGCAAGAGATGCATTTTGCAGTGCGGGACGATGAGATGGAATAGTCATACCAGTAACCTCCCTGTGGGAACAAAAAATGAGGGGTTTAGGGTTCTGGATTTTGGGTGTAACACTGCTGAGAGGAGCCCACCTGGTAGCACATGTTTAGGGAGTGTAAGACTGCTCAGGGGAGCTCACCTGGTAGCACAAGTTTTAGGGGGTATAATGCTGCTGAGAGCAGCGCACCTCATAGACTGCCATGAAGAGCAAAGACTGCTTCTCTGTCTGTGTGGGCTTGGTCGATTCTGAGTCGATTCAGAAGTCACCTGGGTCCAAGGCTGCTGAGAAGTGCTCGACTGGTACAAGACGCTCAGGGTGCAAGGGTGGAGTGGAGAGGGGAGGGGAGGTCACCTGGTAGAAGGCCATGAAGAGCAATGGCTGCTCCTCCTGCCGTGTGGGCTTGGACAACAGACCATCGTATGTCGTCACCTGGTGGTGCGAGAGCGGGGGAGAAGTGGGTTAGGGGCGCTTTGGTCATATGGGTGGTTCCATCCTAGTGTGGGCTTGGCCAACAGACCATCGTATGTCGTCACCTGGTGATGCGAGGGGCGGGAAGGAGTGGGGGAGAGCAGGGAGGAAGGAGGGAAGGCAGGATACAGGTGCGAATTTTGAAGCATGATTTCTTTATCCACCAATGAGAGCATGGGCATCACATGCAGCAAGTATAGAAATTCCACCCTCACACAGCGTCCTGCAGCTGCCCCAGCGCGTGGTGGCACGACCCCTTGATGTAGTGCCCCTCCACAATCAAGGGTTTAAGGTTTAAGGTGTAGGGTCTAGGGTTGAGAGAGCATCACATACGGTACGCATCCACTCACCGCGTCCTGCAGCTGCCCCAGCGCGTGGTGGCACGACCCCTTGATGTAGTGCCCCTCCACAATCAAGGGTTTAAGGTTTAAGGTGTAGGGTCTAGGGTTGAGAGAGCATCACATACGGTACGCATCCACTCACCGCGTCCTGCAGCTGCCCCAGCGCGTGGTGGCACGACCCCTTGATGTAGTGCCCCTCCACAATCAAGGGTTAGGGTTGAGAGAGCATGACATACGGTACGCATCCACTCACCGCGTCCTGCAGCTGCCCCAGTGCATGGTGGCACGACCCCTTGATGTAGTGCCCCTCCACATTCTCCGGCTCGAGCTTCATTGCCACCCGCACCAGCTCCAGTGCATGCCTGCATGCGGTGAAGTGAAACGAGGGGGGAAAAGAAAGGAAACAGAAGGGGAGGAACACGAGGGTCGCTGTGAGTTGCTGTCCAGAACATGGGGTATGATGGGTCACGAGCTCATGTGCCGTTGCCCATGGAGTGCTTGGGCAGAGGCCAGAAACAGTGTATGCAGGCGAAGGTATGCACCCACAAACTTGGAGAGGAGGTATGGTTGCGAGGTCGGTCCAGAGGCTAGGGACAAGCAAGGTATGGGTGTGATGACAGTGATGACAGGGAAGGGAACTCACTTGTGGTCGCCCATTGCATGCTTGAGCAGCGCCCACACACGGTAAGATTGGGCCCCAGGGACAGCTGGGAGCTAGCACGGGCGAGCGTGCAGTGCAGACAAGCAGGGTTGAGGGGGGAGACTAGGCTACACTAGGTTAGGTATGAGGGGCGCATGAACGGACTCACTTGTGGTCGCCCATTGCGTGCTTGAGCAGCGCCCACACGCGGTACCTGTCACCTGTGGGCGAGCCTGGAGTGGTGGCATGGATCTGAGGTCGGTGCAGAGGTTACGGCGAAGGTATCGTTGGGATGACAGGGCACGGACTCACTTGTGGTCGCCCATTGCGTGCTTGAGCAGCGCCCACACGCGGTACGCTTGGGCGAACCTGGGATGGAGGGCAGGAGGCAAGGATGGAAGAATGGAGGCATGAAGGCATGGAACATGTTATGGCAACAAGAGAAGAACATGAATCATAAGAGCCCTCGCTTCACCAGGTTACGATGCCATGATACAGGCTTTTCTGATCCGGGCATGGCATAGCTTGTCTTTACACTCACCTCAGCTCCAGCTGCGTGGCTTTCCTGTAGGCCTGTTCGGCCCTGTCAGGCATGGCGAGCTCCTTAGCTGCTTGCCCCAAGCACAGCCACGCCATCCAACCCATTCAGCACCCTCTAAACCGATTTTCAACCCACATAGATGCCGCAACGCTCACCTGGTCTCCAGCTATGTGGCCTTCCTGTAAGCCTGCTCGGCCCTGTCAGGCATGGCGAGCTCCCAGCGGCCTGTCCCATGTACAGCCACTCCATCCTGTTGCCTGTCTCGCCCCTCAATGCCCCTAGTCTGGGTATGACTTACTAGATCGTTAGAGTAAGGCCTCAACGCTCACCTGGGCTCCAGCTGTGTGGCCTTCCTGTAAGCCTGTTCAGCCCTGTCAGGCATGGCGAGCTCCCAGCGGCCTGCCCCATGTACAGCCACGCATTCCTGTTGCCCGGGTTTGCTGCCTCGACCCTCAAGACCGAAGGGGATAACTCACTAGACTGGTTCACTAAGCCCTTCATGCTCACCTGGGCTCAAGCTGTGTGGCCTTCCTGTAAGCCTGTTCAGCCCTGACAGGCATGGCGAGCTCCTTAGCTGCCTGTCCCATGTACAGCCACGCCATCCATGCCATTGCTGGACCCATGCAATTGATAGATACCTACCGTCTCCAACCCCTCTTCACCGCACTCACCTGGGCTCCAGCTGAGTGGCCTTGCGGTAGGCTTGCTCGGCCCTGTCAGGCATGGCGAGTTCCTTAGCGGCCTGTCCCATGTACAGCCACGCCATCCTGTTGCCCGGGTTTGCATCCACCACCTTCTCGTATATCTCCATCGCCTCCTCTGTCTCGCCCAGCCCTACCAGGGACTCCGCCTGCAAGGAATGGGTGCAAAGCGGTGCGGAGGAATAGAACAGAGTGCATGTGGATGTGGCATCTCATGTGTTGCCCGGGTTTGCATCCACCACCCTCTCGTACACCTCCATCGCCTCCTCTGTCTCCCCCAGCCCCACCAGGGACTCCGCCTGTAGTGCAAGGAATGTGCGCACGGAAGGGGGACGAGGGGAGGAGTGAACGTGTGCACAAAGCGGAAGGAGGGCGAGACAGACCTGGTGTGGAATCTCCTTGTGTTGCTGGAGTTGCAGCCACAACCCCCTCCACATCTCCATTGCCTCAACCTCTCCCAGCCTCGCCAAGGCTTCCGCCCTATTAGGAACACAGCACCAGCCAACGCAGCACACAACAGCCCACTCACCAGGGCAACATGTGCCAGCTCCTCCTTGGGCATCACGGCCACCGCCGCCCTCAACTCCTTCCTTTGCTGCTTCGTACAAGGCAGGTTCTTCACTCTCAGCAGTGCAGCAGGCACAGTTGAAGCGTGCACTTCACCTCAACACTTATCAAAGCGACACGTGCAAGCTTCTCCTTAAGCAGCACCTCACGGACACCACTGCCCTCAGGTCGGCTGCCTTGTACACCGCAAAGCAACAGCCAGCAGTGCAGCACCGTACAGTGCAGTCGGCCCCCTTATTTAGAGTGTGCAGTTTTCCCATTCATCCAACACTTGTGTATGACCCCACTCACCAGAGCAACGTGCGCCATCTCCTCCTTGGGCATCACGGCCACCACCGCCCTCAGGTCCTTGGCTGCTTCGTAGAAACGGCGTGCCCTCGCATACACCATGCCTGGTGAGGGGTGGTGGAGAGCAGAGGGAGAGAGGAGAGCAGGTGTAAGACGTTTTAAATTTCAGCTACCTCGTAGAAGCGCCGTGCCCTCGCATACACCATGCCTGGTGGTGGGTGGTGGCAGAAATGTTGTGGTGGTGAGCAAATTGTCAAAAATAAGCCGGCAGACTCTTGCCCCTCTCTTCTCCCTTCACTTTCCACTTTCATCCAGTCAATCACTTGCCAAACGCAAAGCCCCACCTCTTTCCCCACGTCCCTCCCCTGCCATCACACCCCTTGCTTGCCCCTCATCTCAACTCACCTCGCTCCATGAGCAGGTCCATCTGCCCTCACCTCGCTCCATGAGCAGGTCCATCTGCCCCTTCTCCAGGCTGAGCGCCGTGGTGAAGTCCTCAATGGCCTGATGGCGTGAAGGGTGGGCAGGGGGAGAGAGGCATCAAGGGGGAAAGAGAGGCACGAAACGTGATGCGATGATGGGTTTGGGAAGGAACACATGTGTGTGAGGAGGGACACGGCCACCCTGCAGGAGCAGGAGGCACCAATCCCTTAGACCTTGTTGACTTACCTTGTAGACCCTGCTACTGCTGGTCTTAGCCATAACATAGTGCACTAATCCCAGAAACGACCCCCGTGATTGGCACCATGCGTTATCACATCTTATACCCAAAACCCGTCGATGCACTTGAAACTACAATTTTTTTGACGCATCACATACCACCCACCCTCCTAGCCCCAGAATCCGAGCAGCATCAACTCACCCCGTCCACTTCCCCTATGGCAGCTCGCGCCTGGGCCCTCCTGCGCCACGCGTCCACCATCTTGGGCTCCAGCTCGCATGCCTGACATGGGGGCAAGAGGAGGGGAGGAGAGAGGGGAGCGATGATGATGGCAGTGGGATGCACTCAAATCAGTGACGCGCCTCATGGTGGCCTGGGCCCGGAAAAGTGAGCGTGAGACGGGAGAGAGATGGGGGTGGTGGAGGAGGAGGAATGCACTCCGATGGAACTTCTGAGGCGCCTCAAAGGTGGTTTGAGTTCTTCTGCGCCACCGATTTCACCATCATGGCCTCCAGATGGTAAAAGCGATGTTTTGGAACGTCTCAAAACATCACTTTGTTCTACACAACCGAATTCACCATTATGGCCTCCAGCTTACTCACCTCCATTCGGTGAGTTGTGACTCACACGCGACTCTGAACTCACCTCCCTTTTGAGGCCAATCCCATCCCAAGTGGTGGGATACGATGTGACTGAAGCAATGGTATAGTTTGGAATGAGGTTTGCATGGGAGGTAGACGCTTGCAGTGAGTTTTGGAGTGGGAATGCATGAGAAGAGGGGGGACAGGCAGGGTCCAGGGTTTAAGCAGAACAAGAACGAAAACGAGTGAAGACACGGCAGATGTGGGAAGGAACAAGACCAGGGAGCGTCTTTGATCTGCAAACTTCCCACCCACCAGCGAGTAATCCTCAATGGCTTCCTTGATCTTGCCCGAGAGCGCGTAGGCAGTGCCTCGACCAATGAGAGCCGGCGCACTGTTTCCCAGCTCGTCGAGGAGCTGGCGGGGGACGGAAGGGGGAGGGACGGGGAAAGGGGTAGGGTGGGGGAGAGCGAAGGAGCAGAGAGACGGGAGACGTGTTTTACAACATACTATCAGAGTGATAGTGTTTCCCATCTCACAAAGCTAGGTGCAAGTCTCTCTCCCTCATACCAGAGTGAAGGTGTTGATGGCCTCGTCGAATTTCTGTTGGTTGACCTGCTGCACGCCCAGGTTGATCATCACTTCATTGAACTGCCGCGTCATCACGTTCCCGCCGCCCCCAGGGGGCATCATGGTCCCCCTGTTGCCCTTCTTCTTCGGCTGCTGGTCCAGCGCCGTTGGCGGAGCGACGAGCGGGACGAAGAAGGGCAGCGGGGGGAGCAGCGCGCGGCGCAGGCAGAGGGAGAGGCGGGACTCGTCCGCCAGGGGGAGCGGGGGAACTGGGTCGCGCAGCATTATGGACACGGGCTGGGACATTGGCGCGCCCATGGGGAACAGGCGCGCGCCTGAGCGGAAATCGAAGGGGAAAGGAAAAGCGGAAACGGAAAGGGGAAAACAGAAAGGCGCGGGAATATTCTAAGCTTGAAGCAAGTGCAGTCCAGAGAAGGGAAAATGCCTTCAAGATAAAATAATGTAAAATTTCCGCGTGGCAACGTGGAGGAAAAAAACAGAAGGAAAGGGTGTAGAGTGAGTTACCTCGCTTCAGGTACAACTCCCCGCACAACGCGTCACGGAGGAACGCCTGACCGGCCGGATTGCCGTCAGGATCGCTCGCGAACGAGCGGCGAAATCTGTTCTTGATTCGCGGGAAGTTGTAACAGAAGTCGTCGTTACTGCGAGCGGCAAACGATGGGCATTCGTCAACATTGACGTCAACCAGAGCGAGTTTCTTAATATTACAACGCGAAGCAGGACACGGTGGGGAACGGGTTGACACGGAAATATAAATGTCGTAGCGCAGTGTCGCGAAGCGCCTTGCAATGCAGGTACGGGAATGTTGGAAAGAATCATGGAATATGACAATGACCAACAGCCAGGGCAATGGAATGGGGAAGAAAGCAGCAGATAGACGAAGCAATGCGAGGTGGCCTTTTTTAAACTCAAAAATCACGACGGATACGACATCTAGGACGGCGGTATAATGCAGGACAATGGCGACAATGTGCCAGGTGGCAGTCGAGCACGCACCAGAAAATGCGGGTCACGCTGTAATGCTCCTGCACGGCGCTCGCGACCACGGCGACGACGCGCGACAATTCCGAAGAGTCGCATCCTCTGCGGCTCGGCGCGACTCCAGCGCGTGTGCTTATAGCGGGCATGAGGAGCGTGGTGGGGGAGAACGGCAGCACGGAACACAGGGTGAAATTGAACGCGAGGCATACGAAGGTCTCGGTTACTCCCATTTTGACGAAAAACCGAGACCCTTCACAGAGATTAGTAAGAATGTCTGTAGAAGGCGGTCAGTCTGACATTGCTACAGCCCGCCAAACCAGGTGCAGGCTACTACTATTTTGGTCCTGGTGATGGGAACAATCGTTAGAGCTGCCTGTGAAGGCTTGCTCCTCCAGAATTTGCTTATCTGCTGATTTCCGTTGGAGATGAGTGAACTCCCTCCTACCCTCCTCTCCGCTCTCTTGACTTGGTTGGAGCTAAGGGCGCGTGTGATCGGTAGAATTTGTGAAAGTTTACATTTTAAGGGCGAGTTGTGCTACATGAACATATGTCGAACCAAACTCGACTTTCATTGTATCGGGGTTCGCACATCTGGACCACAACACTGCAGAAAAGCACACACATATACAAGGTCGAGTGCGCGTATTCGAACTTGTAAAAACGCACCGAACCGCATTTCTACAAAGTAGGTTACCCGGTTCTAAAAAGTAGGTTACCCGAGTCTCGCCACGTGGCCTCCATTCAGTACACGAAGGCTGTGGTGAGTTCGTTGTGGTACTGTCGCTACTCGTGAGTCGCTCGCACATTTCGCCAGATGCTCGAACGTGCGGGAAATCACACACGTGAATGTGAACATGCCGAAGCACGTTCACAACTAAAACTCGAGTCTTGTTCAAGTTTGCAGTTCGCATGTTGCCAAACCCAAAGTTGACGAAGTTTCGCTCGTAGCCCTATGCGATATTGGCGAAACGGGTAACCACACGAAGTTCGCACTTTTTTTTGAATTTCAAATCCGACCTCACACGCCTTAAGTCGGGAGAGGACGGTCCAGTTCCTAGATTCTTGACAGGCTTTCGTGTTGCACGGGTAATGTTAGGCCCGACAGCCTAAGTCCGCTAAAGAATTAGCGGGGTCGACTAAGTCGAGGATAAACGCGGCGGAAGACTTTGGCGAAAGAGAGTGTTGGCGAAATAGGCGAAGAAGTAACTGAGTAATTGAAGAAGAGTTGAATGAGAATTGGTTGATAATGGCAAGTACAAGCAAGGTTTAAGTAGCATGCAAGAGCGATTGTTGGAAAGTAGTTCGTGGGATAGAAATTGTAAAGCAAGAAGACTAGAGTGCCACGTGCAGTGCCCTAGATATCAGACTTTGGAGTCTGATTCAGAGTCCGTTCAGACTTTTTTTTTGTACCTAGTCTGAACTCAAAGAATTTTTTTATGCACCCTGTCTGATTTTCCAGAGTTTTTTTAACTGACTTGTCTGAAATTTCAGAGTAGTCATAGTTGTCAGAATCTAGCAGCAGGAATGGATGAACTAACAGGATGCAGGAGTACAAGTAGTAAACCCTAATTGGGTTGTACCCCATATGGGCTACCCCACTACAGCCTAAACAATATGCAGCACATATAGTTTGACACACCCCCATAGGCAAAGTGGGGGAGAACAAGGGGTCACACGACCAGTCAAGAGAAGCAAAACAAGCTCAGGGTGGATCACAACGTCACCACGCATTCCGAGCACAAGCAAAAGGCCACAGGGCCAGTTCACATGCAGAGATATATATGCAGCAATAACAGTACAGTGATGGCTACCTAGCAAGAGCCAGCATGCAGGTATATATATAGATCACAGTACAAGCAGAGACTACAGCAAGTGTGGAAACGTAGGCAAAAGGCCCAACAGAGTACAAAAGCGCTGATGATCACCAGACGGAAGTGCCTTGGTGAATATATCAGCAGTGTTGGCCCGAGTGGCCACGTGGCGAAGACGAAGCTGGCCTCGCTGCTGCAACTCTCGAGCCAGGAAGTAACGCAGAGCAATGTGCTTCGTTCTGTGCTCCAGTCTGTGCTCCTCACACAAGGCAATGGCGGCCTTGTTGTCGACGTACAGCACTGGAGGAGAACGAGGCTGCTCTCCCAAGTCAGTCAGCAGGTAGGTGAGCCAGCGTAACTCCTGTGCAGCCATGGCTGTGGCATAGATCTCAGCCTCACAACTGGAGCTGAGAACTGAAGACGAATCTGTAGAACGCCACGAAACTGAACCAGAGCCAAGGCTGAAGGTGTAACCCTGTGACGACCGCTGAGTAGCCTGGTCGTCAACCCAAGAAGCGTCTGAGTGTCCAGTGAGGACAACTGGGCTCGTCCCTCCAAGCACTAGCCCCATGCCTGATGTGCTGCACAAGTAGCGCAGTACCCTCTTAGCAGCAGCCATGTGCTCAGGTCGGTGCCGACCAGGAGCCACGTAGCGAGCCAGAAGACCAAGAGGGTACGCGAGGTCAGGTCGAGTGCAAGTCATCAGGTACATGAGGCAGCCGACTAGCTCTGGGTAAGGACCACTCGGCTCTACGGACTCGTCCGAAGGTGGAGCTGAGAGCGTGTGACCTGTAGCCAGAGGAGTGGCCTGTGCTGAAGACCAGGTGAAGCCGAAGCGCTGAAGGACCTGCTGCACCATGTGTGACTGAGTCAAGGTGATGGTGCGACGTGCTCTGTCTCGGGTGATCTGCAAGCCAAGGTAGCTGCGCAGCTCACCCAAGTCTGTGCACGTGTGTCTCTTCTGCAGCTCCGACTTCACGTGGGCGAGAGCCTCAGTATCAGCAGTGGCAAAAACCAAGTCGTCGACGTACACGAGGATGTAGAACGGCGGCAGGGAAGTGTCGGTGCGCAGAAACAGCGACGGGTCAGCAGTAGAAGGCGCAAACCCAAGAGCCGCAAGCGTAGTCCTCAGTGTGTCGTGCCACTCACATGGCGCCTGGCGGAGACCGTAGACCGGCCGCCGGAGGCTCCACTGGGTACCAGGAGGGAACGACCCAGTGAAGCCCGGGGGGCGGCGCAGCCAGATCTCCTCGTGCAGGCTACCCTGCAAGAAAGCTGTGCTGAAGTCAAGAGAGTGAAGCTCGTAGTCACGGTGAGCAGCAACGTGCAGCAGCACCCGAAGAGTGGTCATCTTTGGGGTGGGGGAGAAGGTCTGGAAGAAGTCAACTCCCTCTCGCTGACTGAAGCCTCGAGCCACGTAACGCGCCTTGAAGACAGGCGGAGAACCCGGCGGCCGCTTCACCCTGAAAATCCACATGCCACTGACGATGTTCGCCCCAGGTGGGGGAACCTCGTCAACGTAGGTGCCTGTGGACTTCCAGGAAGCCATCTCTGCGTCCATGGCTGCCTGCCACTGAGAGGAGTAGGGACCCTCTATCGCCTCTGCGTAAGAGCGCGGAGTCGGGATGTCTGGTGCATCCGGGTCTCCCTCAGGGGCAAGTAGCGAGGACACAAGATGAGGTAAAGCAGCAGCAAGACACTGGAACTCCTCCTGCCTGTCCTCAAGGACGTCCGTGCTAAGAGCACACTCACCCCCAACGGACGGAGGACAGACAGACTCAGACTCAGCAACAAGACTAGCGGCGTAGTCTAGACGACAGGCAGCAGCAAAGTCAACAAGCTCAGCGACAAGAGCAGACGCAGCAGTAGACTCAAACGACGGGTCAGTGACAACAGTGGCTAGGAGACGCGTGACAGTAGGGTGCTCAGTACGAAACCGGTCAGACTCAGGGTCCGGAACGGCAGGCAGAGAGGACGCAGGGGGAGACGGCAGAGGAACAGGCTGCGGAGCAGAGGAAGGACGACGGACAACAAGGTGTGCGCTGGGGACAGCCGGCTGACGCGCACGAGCGACACGACGAACGGTACGACCAGAACGAACGGGCGAGACAGGACGCGACGCAGGCTCACGACGCGTAGCAGGACTGCCTGTCTGCTCAGTGTAAGGAGAGGGAGCAGGTAGCGGTGAGCCAGTCTGTAACGGAAGACCAGTAGACGACGGGAGAGTAACAACCTGACGAAGAGCAGAGTCAGGCGGCGGCAGAGACGACGGAGACGGCGGAGCGAAGAACAGTCGTGTCGGCGCAGCTGCACCAGTACCGGCAGCTCCAGCAGCTCCAGTGCCTCCAGCAGCTCCAGTACCTCCAACAGCTCCCGTACCTCCAGCAGCTCCAGAAGCTCCAGTCCCAGAGCCGACACCCCCAGTCCCAGGGTCTCTCACCTCTGTGTCTCCAGCAGCAGCACCCCCAGACCCAGCACCTCCAGTCCCAGGGTCTCCAGCCTCAGTGTCTCCAGCAGCAGCACCCCCAGAACCAGCACCTCCAGTCCCAGGGTCTCCAGCCTCAGTGTCTCCAGCACGAGCACCTCCAGAACCAGCGACTCCAGCACCTCCAGTAGACAAAGGACCAGCACCACTCCTGTCAGAATGAACGGACTAGAATGATTGAACTAACAGAGAAATCAGTACAAATAGCAAACCCTAGAATTGTGTACCCCATATAGGCTAACCCACTGTAGCCTAACAAATGCAACATATATAATGTTTGACACACCCCCATAGGGGACACAAGACAAGTCAAGGCAAAGCAAGGCAACAACAAGCTCAGGGTGGATCTCAAGGATACCACACAAATTCCGAGCACAAGCTAGTGGTCACAAGACCAGTTCACATGCAGGTTTATAACAGAGCATGAGATACAGTGATCACAACCTAGCAAGAGTAAACATGCAGGTAGATATATATATAGTGATCACAGTACAAGCAAAGTCAAGAGGTAAGCAAGTGAGGTCCAGTAGGCACAAGGCCTAGTAGAGTGCAGAAGCGCTGATGGTCTCGTGGCTGAAGCGCCTTGGTGAACACATCAGCAGTGTTGGCCTCAGTGGCCACGTAGCGAATACAAAGCTGACCGCGCTGCTGCAGCTCTCGAGCAAGGAAGTACCGCAGGGCGATGTGCTTCGTTCTGTGCTCCAGTCTGTGCTCCTCACACAAGGCAATGGCAGCCTTGTTGTCGACGTACAGTACTGGAGGAGAACGAGGCGGCTCTCCGAGGTCAGTCAGCAGGTAGGTCAGCCAGCGTAGCTCCTGGGCAGCCATGGCTGTAGCGTAGATCTCAGCCTCGCAACTGGAGCCGAGAACAGAAGAAGAGCGTGTAGAGCGCCAAGAAACTGAGCCAGAGCCAAGGCTGAAGGTGTAACCCTGA